TTAGAAAAATCTAAAAGTGTAAGTACAGTAATGTGCATCAGATGTTCGTGTTGGTGCTACGTGATATTTGACACGTGTCGAGAGATCAATATATTTAATTTTGAAAGAGTAAAACCAAATTTGGTAGATTTTCACACTTTTATTTTAAAAATAAAAATTTTTAAACAAACACTAACATGACATATGTTTCGAAGTACAACTTCTTTTTCAAATGTGACTATTTACAATTCGGTATCCAATATATATACAAAATAATTTAACAAAACAAAGTACTTAAGAAAACATCAATAACATTACAAAATAAACTAACTATTTAAAGTAAATAAGGGTACTTAGGTAATTATAATATCCATCAAATAACAATAAGATAGCCCATTACCGGGATTATCTCACAGAAAACTGGGAAAGAGGTTTAATAAGGGTGAATTATTAATATCTAATTGATCATTTAGTAAGTTATCTGAATTTTTAAATCTATTTATTTCAAGTGTTTCTAAATGGTTTAATTTAAGGCTCTTATTTTCTACATGTAAAATTTCAAAGTTGTCTGTAAAAGAATGATTTTCAGCTAAAATATGATTTGAGTAAGTAGAATTATTTTTGTTTTTTGTATAGCTATTATAATGTTCGGAATAGCGTTTTTTGAAAGTACGGCCTGTTTGACCAATATACAATTTTGGACAACTACCACAATTTAATTTATATACCCCCGATTTATTATTAGGATTAATTTTACCCTTATTGTTTTTAATATACTTCCCAAGCGTATTATTGGTTTTAAAAGCTACGTTAATATTTTGGTTTTTTAAATATGATGATACCTTTTCACTAGGAGCTCCTATATATGTAAGACTCTTATATCTGCAAACAAATCGCAGTAAATAATAATTTTAATTCAAAGTTAGTAGACAACATTTTAGAGAAAAAACTTTTTAAACAGGCTATTCAACAAGTTTATCCCATAATTAAAGATCCAAATTGCAGATATAAGAGTCTTACATATATAGGAGCTCCTAGTGAAAAGGTATCATCATATTTAAAAAACCAAAATATTAACGTAGCTTTTAAAACCAATAATACGCTTGGGAAGTATATTAAAAACAATAAGGGTAAAATTAATCCTAATAATAAATCGGGGGTATATAAATTAAATTGTGGTAGTTGTCCAAAATTGTATATTGGTCAAACAGGCCGTACTTTCAAAAAACGCTATTCCGAACATTATAATAGCTATACAAAAAACAAAAATAATTCTACTTACTCAAATCATATTTTAGCTGAAAATCATTCTTTTACAGACAACTTTGAAATTTTACATGTAGAAAATAAGAGCCTTAAATTAAACCATTTAGAAACACTTGAAATAAATAGATTTAAAAATTCAGATAACTTACTAAATGATCAATTAGATATTAATAATTCACCCTTATTAAACCTCTTTCCCAGTTTTCTGTGAGATAATCCCGGTAATGGGCTATCTTATTGTTATTTGATGGATATTATAATTATTACCTAAGTACCCTTATTTACTTTAAATAGTTAGTTTATTTTGTAATGTTATTGATGTTTTCTTAAGTACTTTGTTTTGTTAAATTATTTTGTATATATATTGGATACCGAATTGTAAATAGTCACATTTGAAAAAGAAGTTGTACTTCGAAACATATGTCATGTTAGTGTTTGTTTAAAAATTTTTATTTTTAAAATAAAAGTGTGAAAATCTACCAAATTTGGTTTTACTCTTTCAAAATTAAATGGATTTTCATCAAGTAAAGGCCGAAACAATAAATAATTCAATATATTTAGTTTGTATTATATCTAGGGCTGTATGAAGTTACTTAAGGTCTGTCTAATTATAGATGAAAAGTATTTTTGAATAATACTTTAAAGGGGGTTGAAGGGAAAAATTCATGGGGAGGCCCGGCAGCGCTACAAAAGGGAGGAGCGCTGGTTTATGTAAAATACAAGATGAAAGGACTTTTTTTAGAGATTTGACTAAAAAGTTTTTGCTTGAGGACCTTTCTTTTGTTTTGTTAGAAATGTGATATCGAAAGGGCTTAATTTTTTTATAAAATTATCCCAGGGCCCCACCTGGCTCTCGACGGCCCTGGGCAACTTTTTCGTTTCAAGGTATTTTATTTCCTGACATTTTTCAGATAACCAGTCATTAAAAATTATATAAAAAAGTCAAACGGATTCAAATCTGGTGACCTACAAGGCTCCTTCGTCATCTACCTCTTGTGTGTTGAAAAAGCGGTTACGATGGCGCCACCCCGTACAAGCCTAGGGAACATGCCTAGGGCCCGTCCGAACGGAGAGTTTCACAGGTGAAAATCGGCCGGCGTCTGCAATCGAGTAGTCATAGAAACGTTTCGTCATTAAGTCGGCCGCCGTTGCCACGGCCAACGTGATTCTGATTGATGGACGGCGCACGATCAACGTGCTGCCTGTCTCGCGGCTGATAGGAAAATCAAAATTTTCCTTCTAATCATCGGTCAGTCACTTGAACGAACGTTTTGCGGTAACTTGGCGCGCTTTTCGCGGGATTCACCTAAAGGTATAGGTGCGAATGAAGTTTTTAATCGAGCGGGAATATATTTAAACTTTAAAAAATATTTTTTTGGAAAAAAGTGATTGAATAACGGTTAAATTTGGAATTACTTTACTCCTAAGGGTTTTCCGGTAGAAGATGTGACGAGAATTTAATTTAGTTCAACCTGTTGCTTTATTTTATACGTACATAAATACGAGGGTGTGTAAGAAAGTAACTATATTACTACTGGTTCTGTAGAATATAAAAAAAGTGTTTTTACAAGGTTGAATTCTGTAGAATATTAGATTTAGTTAGTTAAAATACAATACAAAATATAATCAATGATTAAAACAAAAAATTAGAACATTTATTTGTTTTGCAAAATATAATCATTATACAGATTTTTTTATATGGAACGGACATACAAAAAAGACAAAAATTTTCCCATTCTTACAATATATATAATGCGGGGTCAGTTAATTTATTTTCACTGTTATTTAGCAAAAACTTATTATTTTCACTAGTAATCTCCCTAGAGCTTGAATTATTACCGGAAATTTTTTTCGAGTACACGATTTTTTGAAAATTATTTTTCTTATTTTCTTAAAAAATCGTGTACGAGGAAAAGTTTCCGGTTATTAATTCAAGATCGTGGGGGATTCGGTAAGAAAATTTCACACCTAAAAAATTTATAAGTAATTAATTTTTATTTGACATTAAGGTTATTTAAGGACATGAAGAAGGGAAGACTAGTTTTGGTCTAGTTAGTCATGAGTGTTAGTTGGTATGTCAAAAATTATTCCAGTCGATTGCGATATTTGTTCTTAATAAACTTCATATTCGAAAAAGAAGATTCACACAAATAGGTTGAACTGAATAATGCTTTCACTTTCAAGGCAACACGGCATAGAACTGAATATTTGTCTTTACTTACAATAGGCCAGATACATTTGGTACTTGAGACTAACGATTTTAAGGCTAAATCATTTTGAAACTCAATTACTTCCATTTATGTTGCAGCGATGTCTTCGCCAAAGTTCTGTATAACACAAGTTGCAAACTGTTGGATATCAATTTCCATAAAGGGTGAAACAACAAACTGCGCTACTAAAGCCATTTCGTTGAAATCCTTAAAACGATTTTTGAAGTTATTCTTCAGGGTAGAAACTATTTCTACATGATATTTGCTGTCATAGGGTTCTAATGGATTTTGAGATATTTTTTCTGAAAGAATAGGAAAATGCTTGGCATCGCTGTCAATTAGGTTTTGTTCCCAAAACTCCAGCTTTTTGATAAATGCTTTTATATCAGAAATCATTTCCGCTAGTTCTTTGTCTCTCCCTGAAGCTGCAAATTAAGATCGTTTAATTTCTTTGTAATGTCCACGAGAAAACCAAATTCTCTAAGCCAAATTGAATTTTCTAGTTCCGGAGTCGGTTCATCGCGTTGTTTGAAAAATTGAACTATGGCAGATAGGACATCATTAAAACGTTTCAGCACCCGTCCTCTACTTAACCATCGGACTTCAGAGTGAAGGAGTAGGTCCCCGTATTGACAGTCAACTTCATCGGCCAAGGTTTTGAATAATCTTTGTAACGCTTGAACTCTAATCTTGTTCACAATTTTTACCACCAGTTTCATAACGCTGTTTAGTTTCAGGAAATTTCCACATAATGCTTGCTGATGAATAATGCAGTGGTAATAGAGAAATTGCTGAAAAGTTTCATCTTTACGACATAAAAACATATTTTATCTAATAAAAAAAATCTTTTATCCATTAAACAAATGGGTGAAGGTCGACCTTACTTACGGATCCTGGACTAATTTATGTCTGTAATTTCTCAAGTCCCACATAGGCTTTAAGATGTTTAGATAATCTTCCTCTGATCCTTTAAGACCAATATTTGAAACTTTTTAGTATATTGTTGAGTTTATTTCTTCTTTTTTCCTTACAAATATTTAATAATTTCTCCCATTGACTTGGATATAGGTACCAGTAAGTCATCCTCTAGTAACTATTTCATCATTTAATTTTTTTTGTCTTTTAAAACCAAACGTTTGCTTAGGTTTAATCTCGGGTTTAATGGATTTGACGTTAAATTTTCATGCAATATTAATGAACCACCCTATATGATATTTCCTGATGTGTGTTTTATTTTTTTTTGTTTTTACTATATTTTTATCAACTTTTGTCAATAATTTAAATACTGTTTTGATGGGTTTACACGTCTAATTTTTCCTAGCTTTCCTACTATTTCTGGTTACTTGTGTTCTATCTTAATAACTTATGTAAACCATCACAATGTCTACTTTTTTTATTTGTTTGGTACCCTACGTACTTTTCAAAATATCTTTTTTATTTATTCTGATTAAATTTGCTAAAGAAATCAAAACAATCAACATTTTTCTATTTACGATTAATAAACAATATGGCAATACAGTTATTTTTAATTAAAAATGGCCGTAAAACTAATTGATATTTTCCTATACAATAATATGTAAATTACTCATTCCTGATAACGAACTTATTCCAGCACATATTTTAACTGATTGCCACTTCCTTAAAACCGATATTACTTGAATAATATATTAGTATATCTAACAAAACGACACGAATACCTATTTTTATTCATTTGTAGATAAATAAAACCTTCCTTTCTTAATAAACAGTGGATTAATTAAAAAACATGATTAACTATTTTTAAAAATAGTGATCCAATATTAACTGAAAAGAGTGAACAAGATTAAAATAGCCAATGAACTAACTAAAAATAGTGTTTTTGTTGATTCTGAACAGTGCATTAATTAATTGTTAATCGTGACCAAAATATTAACTAAAAAAATATTAACTTAAAAATAATGATGAATGATTAACTAAAATAGAACATAAATCAGGGCCTACTATTTTAATTAATAAAAAAGGACAATTTAACCAAAAATAGTGATTGTATATTAATTGAAAGAGTGAACTAAATAAATCAGCTAAATTACTAACTAAAAATATACTTCGTTCAGTGATTTAACTAAAAAAAAATGGTTTGACTCTAAATTAATTAATTAAAAACAGATTAACTAAAATAGTGCTCAAATATGACTAGTGAAAGTACTTACAGGCAGATAGTGAGGGTGAGTTCGAAGAAAAATAGAAACTATGACGAAGAAAATGGAAAACAGTTTGTTAACCATTCGGTTGATTGTCACGAAGAGGTAGTAGACCCTTTTACCATCAAAAGGAGAGAATCTCTGCAAAATAACGTTTACGATATTTACGGAAAGGTAAGAAAAAGATTTTATGAACAAATATTTGTGAAAGCACATTTTTGCTGATAGTTGTTGATATATTTTTGAACAATTTTTGGACAAATTTTGATTATTCTGAGGTTATTTAAAAGCTTCTATGGTTTATTTGAAAATTAATGATAGTAAAATTATATAAAAATATAGACCTTTGTCATAAAAACTGTGCTATCATGATTTTCAAATAAACTATAATTAACGGATTGATTGACTTATAGTCCTTCCATTATCAATTGCAGAACACAGTTATGTAGGGAATCATCAATATTTAATATATACGCACGGCACTCATGCCAAATTTAGAAACGAAAAATGTTTACTCCCCTTATACAATGCGGTAAATATTAAACGAACGGTCAGTCCACGTGTACTTGATATATATGTGTCAAAATCCATCATCTCCGTTGTTTACCAATGAAAACATCGAATCGTCAACTTAAATGCACTGTATTGGCCGAAGGTTTACGGAGGGCAGGTGTGTTCGAAAATATTCCTGGAAGACAGTCTGCGATATCAGTGGAGTACTGTCGTGCGGTGTGTGTTTTGTATGTGTGGTTGGTTTAATTCAAATTTCTTTTAATAAATATAAATATGGCGTTCTTTAGACCGTGGGCGAATGAAGAAAATGAAATTACACAGTGTAGTGAGATTAAAGACAGGTATACAATAAGGATTTAGATATACAAACACAACAAGTTATTTTAAATATATTCGAATGTTTAAAAAAGGAAAATTTTCAGCAGTCTGATAATGCGTTCATAATAACAATTGCTGAATTAACTAAAGTAAATAAATTTTCCATTTATGGGGTAGTCACAAAAGGGGTTGCTGTGGATCATTCACAAAACCGAAAAACAAGTAAAGAAAAACTGAAATCAGTTGACAAAGCTACCCAAGATTGTATACGAAGGACAATATAGTTTATATAAGGAGAACAGGGTTCTAACATTGGAAGTAATACAGCAAAAGGTAGCAGATTTTCCAGGATACACTTATACCAGTTTGGAAACATTGAGTCAAGTTTTGTCAGCATGTGGTTTTAAACAAAAAAAAATGAATAAACGGATGGTAATCACCGAATCGTCAAGGATAGTTCAATGGCGACAAGATTATTTGCGCCAGATAAAAGATTACAGAAGTTCTAATAGACACAATTTATCTAGATGAAACATGGTTTGACAGTCACAATGTAGTAAATTTCGGTTGGGTTGACAGTAGTAAAAATTCTGTTTGAATGGGCCATGTTCTAAAGGGAAACGTATTATAATAGTACACGCTGGAAGCAAAGACGGTTTCGTGTCTAATGCTTTATTATTATCTGCTAAACAAATTAAAAACTGTGCAGCTGATTATCATGAAGATATGACAGCAGAATTATTTGAAAAATGGTTTAATGAACAGCTTTTACCTAATATTTCACCACAGTCAGTAATCGTTATGGACAACGCATCCTACCACTCGCGGCAACTCCTTAAAATACCAAATAGTAACAGTAACAAAGCTCAAATTTTAGCGTTTATGTCTGAAAAAAATATTCCTAGTCCTGCCAGTGTTCGTAAAAAAGGCCCAACAAACAAAGAATTGCTTGCTGTTATTAAAGGCATGAAGTTGGAAAAAATTTATTATATTGACAAGCTGTGGAAAGAACAGGATCATATTCTTCTCAGACTACCTCCTTACTATTGCATATTTAACCCTATAGAGTTAATATGGGCAAACGTAAAATCAGAATTACGAAAATGTAATCAGTCTCCAAAACTGAGTAAAGAGGTTGTAGAACTCGTAAAGAAAGTTCTAGCAGCAGACCGCCAAGAGCTTTGGAAAAATTGTGTCGAACATGTTATTAAAGAAAAAGATGATTATGTAGTATGACCCTCTTTACAACCCATCATAATTCAACCAAATGATGACTGTAGTTCAGAGGATTCAGACTGCCATGATTATTTATAAAGATACTTTAGAATTGAATTGTTTTTTTTCTTTTGTTTTATTTGTAAAGAATTTATTTTTCTTTATGGTTTTTGCTTTGAAATTTCGTTTTCCAGAAAAAAAAATGAATGGGGTACAAAAAGGGCTCAGTTCACGTCTAGTACCCAGTTTAAACCAAACGCCCTTACAGGCAGGTACACTTTACTCGCTTTTTTACGTTTTATAATTTAATATTCAGATGTAGCAAGTTAACGAGCTATAATGATTTTTTTTAAGTCCAAGTAAGACTACAATTAAGTGCATCTGTCTAAATCAAGGCGTATAATAACGTCCAATTTATAATGATTCGATTTCCTTTTAACGAATACTTTCTTGCATATGATATATATTAAAAGTATTTATAAAATAAATTTATAAAATGAGGTAGGTATCTACGCCTATGGCAGATCAAACAAAATTGTCGGTAAAGGTTCCGAACGAGTTTTTATGTTCTGCAATTGATAATGGAAGAACTATAATAATATTTCAGCAATGTGTGCTTTCAGATATCTTAGTTGAATACTGCAAAATGGTTCTAATAACATTTTAATGTACATTTCAATAGGTAATGTTGCTGGGAGATTCTGGAGTCGGGAAGACTTGCATCCTAATGCGATTTCGAGAAGGTACTTTTTTGGCTGGGAATTTCATATCTACAGTGGGCGTCGATTTTAGAGTAAGAAAAATAATTATAAACAAGAAATTACAATGTCCAAATATTACAATAAATCCTTCATGACATTGATTATATTGGAGTTTGAAATAGGATACTGATATTGGGGTCTATTCTGTAAAAATTTGGTTAAAAATTAACCCCAGGTTATAAGAATAACCGGATATTATTTGTAATTTTGTATTCTGTATTATTTACATGTCAAATATGTTCTATTTCTTATTTTTAATGCTGCGTGGGGCTTAATTTTAATAAACTTTTAGGTATATTACATCGTTGCCATGTCTATTTTAACCGTGACTGGTTTTAAGATAATTATAACAAAAAATTAAGCTTATGAAATATCCAGTGGAGATTTGGAATAAAATTTAAACTGTTAGTTAAAATTAACTTAAACGTTACAAAATAGACCCCATTTAGCAATATAGGTACTAAAGGGTTTCGTTTCTGTTATACACTGTATTAGTGTAACGTCACTGGGCCAAACAAAAACAGACTATTCTGTCATTGATTTTAACATAAACGTTTTGATTTTTTTTTGATAATATACTGCTTGAAAGTTTAATTATTGGTTTTAGATTAATAAAATAAGTAAATAAGTTGGTTGACATTAACTAAACATATTTTTATTTATTATTTTTTTACTTACTTTAGAAATATATTCTTTTAAAACCATTGTAGCTTACAATATAAATAAATGTGTCTTGACAGAAAAAACAAAACATTACATGAATATACAGTGTGTCCACGTAACTTGACGACATATGGAAAAAAAAATTATTATTAATTTTAGAAAAATAGTTATTCTTCATAAAACAACCATCTGATATCAAATTTTATCAGTCGCATACGAGGTTTGTCAAAAATAAAGATACTTTACCCTAGCACAAATTCATATTTTTTGACTATCCTCGTATACGACTGAAAAAATTTGATATCAAATGGTTGAATTTAAAGTTTTAAGTCATGAAGAACTTTTTATAAAGAATAACTTTTTTTTTTCTAAAATTATAAATAAAAAAGTTTTTCATATGCCGCCAACTCACGTATTTATTTGTTTGGCTCATTTTTTAACATCATTGTATTTTTGTTTAGACGAAAGTAGTCACCGTAGACAACACGAAAGTAAAATTACAAATTTGGGATACGGCGGGACAAGAGAGATTTAGAAGCGTGACGCATGCGTATTACAGAGATGCGCACGGTAAGTTCAATCATCCACGTATTATAATATCGAATTCGTTCACCTGTCTCTTTTTAGCGCTCCTACTGCTGTATGACGTCACGAACAAAATTAGTTACGACAATATCCGAGCTTGGCTCGGGGAAATTCGAGAATACGCACAAGACGACGTAGTTATAATGTTATTAGGTAAGTCGAAAAAAGTTGAAATCAATCAAAAAAAAGTCAAAAAAAGTCGAAAAAAAGTCAAAAAAAAGTCAAAAAAAGTGAAAAAAAAAGTCAAAAAAAGGTCAAAAAAGTCAAAAAAAACGTCAAAAAAAGTAAAAAAAGTAAAAAAAGTCAAAAAAAAATCAAAAAAGTGAAGTCACAAAAAAGTCAAAAAAGTAAAAAAAAATTAAAAAAAGTCAAAAAAGTCAAAAAAGTAAAAAAAAGGGAAAAAAAATTAAAAAGTCAAAAAAAGTAAAAAAAGTCAAAAAAGGTCAAAAAAGGTCAAAAAAGGTCAAAAAAGGTCAAAAAAGGTCAAAAAAGGTCAAAAAAAGTCAAAAAAAGTCAAAAAGAAAAATGCCAAGATTGTCCAACAGGGTCGAAATCTAGTTGGACTATTATAACCATGACTAATACTTAACCTACTTCAACAACTGACAGAGGCGTACGTCTATTTTTTAAACATAATAGATTTGCTTAATAGGTATTTTTGAAAATTATTTTTTTTTGCTTTTGGGGAAGTCTGGATAGTAAAACCTTGAAAAATCGGTTAAAATTATTTTTAAGACTCTAAAGCTGCCGCTAAAGGGGCATAACACCCGTGACCAGAATTCTAAGTAGAAAAAGTGAATTATTTTCAATAATACATGTCAGAAAGATCAAAATTTCGAGTTCTCAAGCCTGAAAAATAGATTTTTCCGTGTTACATGTCAGAAAAATATATTTTATTGAGTTATGTTATGTTGATAATGGGGTGTTAATACACTGCGACCTAAAAGATCTATTGTGCCCCCTTCTGTCGCCACTGCACTAAGGAAATGTCTCAATGCCTATAGCGACCCTTCCAATCCTATTTTCTCATTGAGTTACAAGTCAGAATAATCGTATTTTTGAAATACTAAGAAAGAAAAACGATATTTCAGAGTTTTAAGTGTATTATTCTCATTTAAACATGTCAGAAAACTCGATATTTTAAATTCTAAGCCTGAAAAATAGATTTTTTCATGTTAAAAGTCAGAAAAATAGATTTTTTCATGTTAAAAGTCAGAAAAATAGATTTTATTGAGTTAAAAGTCAGAATAATCGTATTTTTGAGCCACTAGCAAAGAAAAACAATTTTTAAGTATATATTATTTTCATTTAATACTTGTTAGAAAAATCTTTTTTTTTCGAGTTGTAAGCCTGAAAACTGATTTTTTCGTGTTACAAGTAACAAAATTGTTTTTTGTGTTACAAGTCAGAAAAATTCATATATCGAGTTTTAAGTCTCAAAATTCGATTTTTCCAAGTTACATGTCAGAAAAAACGATTTTTTGATGTTGCAAGTCAGAAAAATATATTTTTTGAGTTGCAAGTCAGAACAATCCTATTTCTGAGATAATAGCAATAAAAAAACTATTGTTTAGAGTAATAAGTCAGAAAATTTATTATTCTTAGTTCTACATGTCAGAAACATAGATATTTTGAGTTCTAAGCCTGGAAAATAGATTTTTGCTTGTTACAAGTCATAAAAGTAGATTTTATTGAGTACAAGTCAGAATAATCGTATTTTTGAGTTATTAGTAGAGGAAAACGATTTTTCAGGGTTTTAAGTATAATTCTTAGTAATGTATTAAGAAAAATAAATTTTTCCGTGTTACGTCAGAAACAGATTTTTTGAGTTACAAGTCAAAACAATCGTATTTCTGAGTTAATAGAAAAAAAGTTACAATTGTTTTATTCTTAGTTATAAAAGTCAGAAAAATCAATATATGAAGTTTTAAACTTAAAAATTCTATTTTTCCATGTTACAAGTCAGAAAAATCAATTTTTTGATGCTAAACATCAGAACAATCGTATTTCTGAGTTATAAGCAAAAAAGAAACATTTTTTTGTCTAATAAAATTTGTTGTGGTTAAGACTGGTGACTTTAAGTCGGAAAATGTATATTATTAGTTATACATGTAAGATATTTCGAGTTATAAGCCTGAAACATAGGTTTTTCCGGGTTAGAAGTCAGAAAAACAGATTTTATTCAGTTACAAGTCAGAATAATCGTATTTTTGAGTTATTAGAAGAGAAAAATGATTTTTCAGAGTTTTGAGTATGTATTTTTATATTTATACATGTCAGAAAAATCGATTTTTACATGTTGTATACCAGAAAATTGGATTTTTTAATGTTACAAGTCTGAAAAATGGATTTTTTTTACAAGTCAGAACAATTGTATTTATGAGTTATAAACAATAAAAACAAACAATTTTTTGTCTAATAAAATTTGTTTTGGTTAAGACTGGTGACTTTAAGTCGGAAAATGTATTATTCTTAGTTATACATGTCAGATATTTCGAGTTATAATACTGAAACATAGGTTTTTCCGGGTTACAAGTCAGAAAAATAAAATTTATTGAGGAACAAGTCAGAATAATCTTATTTTTGAGTTAGCAGAGAAAAACGATTTTTTGGAGTTTTAAGTACCTATGTATTATTCTCATTTACCTATACATGTCAGAAAAATAGATATTGCGATTTCTAAGCTTGAAAAATCTATTTATTGATGTAACAAGTCAGAAAAATTGTATTTCTAAATTAATAGTAAAAAAGAAACAATTTTTTAATTTTATTCAGATTTCTAAGATGGAAAATGTTTTATTCATAGTTATACAAGTCAGAAAAATCCATATATCGAGTTTTAAGCCTCAAAATTCGATTTTTCCAAGTCCAAAAATATATTTTTTTAGTTACAAGTTAGAACAATCTTATTTCTGAGTTAATAGCATAACAAAATTTATTATTCTTAGTTATACATGTCAGAAAAATAGATATTTCGAGTTCTAAGCCTGAAAAATTTATTTTTCCGTGTTAAAAGTCAGAAAAATTGATTTTATTGAGTTGCTAGTCAGAATAATTGTATTTTTGAGCTACTACTTAGCTAAGATAAACGATTTTTCAGAGTATTAAGTATGTACAAGTCAGAAAAAACGTTTGCTTGATGTTACAAGTGAGAAAAAAAAATTTTTTAGTTACAAGTCAGAATAATCGTATATCTGAGTTAACAGTAAAAAGAAATAATATTTTAGAGTTCTAAGTCGGAAAATATATTATTCTTACTCATACAAGTCAGAAAAATCAATATATGGAGTTTAAACTTAAAAATTTTATTTTTCCATGTTACAAGTCAGATAAATCGATTTTTTTGATGTTTCAAGTCAGAATAATCGTATTTTTGAATTATTAGCATAAAAAAACGATTTATTGGAGTTTGAAGTATTATTCTCATTTACCTATACATGTAAGAAAAATCGATATCTCGATTTCTAAGCCTGAAAATGGATTTTTTGATGTTTCAAATCGTATTTCTGAGTTAATCGCAAAAGAGAAACAATTTTTTACAGTTCTAAATCGAAAATGTATTATTCTTAGTTATACAAGTCAGAAAAATCAATATATGGAGTTCCAAACTTAATAATTTTATTTTTCCATGTTACAAGTCAGAAAAATCGTTTTTTATGTTAAAAGTCAGAAAAATCGATTTTTTAATGATGATACAAGTCAGGAAAAACGATTTTTTGATGTTATAAGTCAGAAAAATAGATTTTTTAGTTATAAGTCAGAACAATCTTATTTCTGAGTTAATAGCAAAAAAATACAATTTTTCAGAGTTTTAAGTCGAAAAATGTATTATTCTTAGTTATACATGTCAGAAAAATAGATATTTCGAGTTCTAAGTCTCAAAAATAGATTTTTCTGTGTTAAAAGTCAGTTCAATTAATTTTTTTTTTAGTTAAAAGTCAGAATAATCGTATTTTTAAATTATTAGCAAACAAAAATCGATTTTTGAGAGTTCTAAGTCGGAAATATATAAAATAAATGTATTATGGCCCTTCTACTACTCCTATAAAAACATATATACGTTCAATATACATACACGATACTCAAATAACCCGACGTTCGACAAATAGTCTTATTGTTGAGTATTGAACGCGGTTTGATTCAATTTGCGGTTCACAAATCGAATTATCAACGAATGTCGTTCGATGCGCCTCTGCAAATAAGCGCCATTGAGGTTGGGAAATCAAAAGGCCGAAAGAGCTTTCCATTTTCGACTTTCCAACCAGTTGCGGTTCGGGGAAACGAGGCTTAGAGTCGACTTTTTTTATATGGCGATTTTAATTACGTCTACCGTAATTAGTTTTTATATTATAGTCGGGGAGCCAGCGAACATTTTTAATAATAATATCTGTTTATTCACATAAAGGTACATTATAAGAATACATACATATTGATCCGTTTCAATCTTTAAAATATTAGAATCTACATGAAATATCTTTTCAGGAAATAAGGCAGATTGCGGTATGGATAGAGCTATTAGAAGAGAGGACGGTGAACGATTGGCGAGAGAGTACAATGTCGCGTTTATGGAAACGTCCGCTAAAAGTGGACAAAACGTCGAATTGGCTTTCGTAGCTGTAGCCAGGTAAACTATCTATATCTATATAATAAATAGTAATCTTATATCATTTAGACCAGTGATCGCCAACCTCTCAATGTGTTGAGCTACTTTGTTAATTTTGGAATAAACAGCAAGGTACCCACACGGAAGCCACGTAACGCAACGTAAATGAAATAATCCACAGTTAATTTATCATTATATGTATTTATTTTACTATTTAACTGGTAATACATAATACATAGGTACCAATAATAAACTAATAACAAAATAACTAATATTACTAGTACGTACTTGTTCATAGCTACATTCCTACCTATCAAACGAAGGTGTTTGAAAAATAAACACAAACTTTTATCCAGCCACAACGGCTTGTCACGTAAGATTTAAAAATAGTTAATAATAACAACAAAAAAGTAACGCACTACATGAACATAAACATTGAAAAATAAAAAAGCACGTTCAATGAGAAGGCTGACACTCAGACTCATCGATAATTTTTTTAATGTTTGCAGTATAATTTGATACAGCCATTCGAATACAATTATCCAAATGTTCATCTGTAAGTCAATTGCGATATTTGTTCTTAATAAACTTCATATTGGAAAAAGAAGATTCACACAAATAGGTTGAACTGAATAATTCTTTCACTTTCAAGTCAACACGGCATAGAACTGAATATTTGTCTTTACTTACAATAGGCCAGATACATTTGGTACTTGAGACTAACGATTTTAAGGCTAAATCATTTTGAAACTCAATTACTTCCATTTCTGTTGCAGCGATGTCTTCGCCAAAGTTCTGCATAACACAAGTTGCAAACTGTTGGATATCAGTTTCCATAAAGGGTGAAACAACAAACTGCGCTACTAAAGCCATTTCGTTGAAATCCTTAAAACGATTTTTGAAGTTATTCTTCAGGATAGAAACTATTTCTACATGATATTTGCTGTCATAGGGTTCTAATGGATTTTGAGATATTTTTTCTGAAAGAATAGGAAACTAGGCATCGCTGTTAATTAGGTTTTGTTCCCAAAACTCCAGCTGTTTCATAAATGCTTTTATATCAGAAATCATTTCCGCTAGTTCTTTGTCTCTCCCCTGAAGCTGCAAATTAAGTTCGTTTAATTTATCTGTAATGTCCATGATAAAACCAAAATCTCTAAGCCAGATTTAATTTTCTAGTTCCGGAGTCGGTTCATCGCGTTGTTTAAAAAATTGAACTATGCCAGATAGGACATCATTAAAACGTTTCAGCACCCGTCCTCTACTTAACCATCGGAATTCAGAGTGAAGGAGTAGATCCCCGTATTGACAGTCAACTTCATCGGCCAAGGTTTTGAATAATCTTCTTTGTAACGCTTGAGCTCTAATCTTGTTCACAATTTTTACCACCAGTTTCATAACGTTGTTTAGTTTCAGGAAATTTCTACATAATGCTTGCTGATGGATAATGCAGTGGTAACAGAGAAATTGCTGAAAAGTTTCATCTTTACGACATAATGCCACCAGACATTTATCACAACCCACCATAGCTGGAGCACCATCGGTTGTCAAGCCTACCATTTTCGATACTGGAATTTTCTCGGAAGAAATAACATTTTTTTAATGAGAAAACAACTCCTGTCCAGTAGTGTGTCCTTTCAGTGGAATAAACTTCAAAAGATCTTCTTTAATCGTAAAATCACATAAAACCATTCTGACGAACACGGCCATCTGGGCAGTGTCAACGACATCTGTTGATTCATCCAGTTGAAGTGAAAAATAAACACAGTTATCTAAGTCAGTTCTTAACTGTAAAAAAATATCATTGCTCATTACTTCTACACGTCTCATCACTGTATTAGCAGAAAGTTGCATAGATTTTATAGCTGAAACTATCTCATCTTTATTTCTAAAGTTGGCAAATAACGAATCAGCAGCTTCTAAAAACGCCTGTTCTATCATTTCCCCGTCTTCATAAGGTTTCTTTTTTTTTGTGCAATTATCTGGGACACACGGTACGATGCTTCAGTTGCAGCCTTATTTTTGTCGACTGTTCTTAAAAATATTGATTGTTGTCCAATTAACTGCTTTTTTAACTGTTTCAGTTTCTCCTTTCTGGCGGCAGAATGTAGTGGGAATGATTTTTCAAAATTAGAATGTACAGTTTTATGATGTCTCTCAATATTTCCTTTTTTAGCAACGGAGACCGAAGTATTACATAACAAACACACATTTTTATCTTTAACTTCTGTAAAAAAAGTATTGTTCTTCTCATTCCGAATGAAAGTGGTATGTCTTTACCTTCTTGCAACTGCTTGCCATAATATTATCTTTTGTTGTTCTCTACTAACGCAACCGCTGGACGTTGGTTACGCGTTCAGTTTTAAACTAAGCGCAATGTCGCCGCGCCGTGTGTATTTATCCCGTTCAAAGCAATCCTGATCGTTCTCGAACGCTGGTCCGGCTGGTCGGTTCTAGCCGATTCTAGCTTGATGGCGTCAGCGGCAGATCGCTCACCGCAACGTTGCCGCTGTTTATGTTTAATATTATGACAATTATATTTTTTTGTGGAATTTTCGGAAGCTTCTCTGATTTTTGCAGTTTGTATTTTTTAAATTAAAATCGTTGTGAGAGCTACCAGAATTGCCACCGCGAGCTACCGGTAGCTCGCGATCGACAGGTTGGCGATCACTGATTTAGACTTTATAATAAGCACTATTTATGTTAATAAACAAATCAAAAACACAATACTTAGTACACTACGGAGATAAGGCCTTTACTTTTCATAATATATTTAAACAATTTATTATATCAGTAATGTGAAGAGAAAATAACTAGCTCTGTGGATGGTACTGTTATACAGGGTGATTCAAAATTGAGTGCAAAGATTTTAAGGGCGTATTTACCAGCCAAAAATAAGAAAAAATTTCATATAATCGTATATCCTAACTTGCTTCGTTTTGTAGATACAGGGTGTCAAAGTTTTTCAAAAATAAAGTTACATTATTGACCGATTGATCTAAAAAAAAATTTAATTGTCAAAAAAGTAGTGCCGTACCATAAATTTACCTAGGTAGCCCCCTGAGACGCTACTGGAATTAATAAATTTATTTTATTCTTACTAAAGAAAGGCCCTTATGACGACAAATAGGCCTACCAAATTTTATTTAAATCGGCTGAAAGGTTTTTGAGTAATTGATAAAAAAATCGATTTTTTTAAAAAACTTTGACAAACTGTATCTAGAAAACGAAGCAAGTAAAGATATACGATTATATGAAAAAATGTTTTTATTTTTGGCTGGTAAATACGTCCTTAAAATCTTTGCACTCAATTTTGGATCACCCTGTATATTGCAATGTGAGCCATTTCTGAGCAATTCGGCCATGCTCTGATCCTTTGGGCCCCTCTGCTTTGTTTGATCCTTTTTACGAACCTACTCGCCCTTAAAACCAGGAATATTTGATGAAAGGGATAATCCCCCTTTACCCAACTATAGGGACGCCTATCTTGACAGATACCCGGTATGAATCATTCATTCTAGAATGTACTAGAACCCTGTATAGAGAATATTCGAGCAAAATGATGAGAGCGCTACAATAGCAAATGGACAGTCCAAGAATTTGATGGATCTTTCGGGAACGCCATGGCCAATATAAATATGCGTTTGCAGTTATGAACAGGCAGTCAGTCGAAGTCGAGTCATAGCTATGAGAACGTCAATAAAGTAAATAAAGAAAGAGTACTGGGTTATTTTAATAAAGTGCTCTCGAAACCTGAGCGAAATTACTGCGCCACGAGAATAGAACTTCTGGCAGTTGTTAAATGCGTGGACCACTTCTACCAATACCTATATGGATGGAAATTCTTAATCCGTACTTAAGTGGCTAATGTAGTTTATATAATTAAATATTCTATTCTATTGTTTTGTCCTCTACTTTTTTTATATCGATAATATCTATCGAGCGTGTCAAACTTAACGTATTTATTATAATATCTTGTAATGTTAATAATCCAATATGACGATTTTCTGTTTCAGGGAGTTGAAATGCCGTTCGACAGGACAAAAGGACACAAACACGTTCAACGTCAAAGACTACATAAGGGAACAAACCGAAAAACCACAATGTCCGCCTTGTACCACTTGAAAATTAGAAACAAACAAAAACTCGACAAAACAGGGTGATTCAACAATTTTAAATAAATCAATTATCTTGGTTATACGAATCACCCTGAAAGTATAGCGTGGACAACAAAACATACTTTTCCCAGATTATTTTTTAACAATTATTAACTCTCCGTGTACATCTTTGTATTTCTACAGGGTAAGAATACCAAAAATGGTGACTAATACGAATATTTCTAAATTATGTTATTTCATTTTTAAACACACTGTACATTTAGAATAAGCATCTTCGAAAATTAGTATATTAGACAAAAATTAGTCATTATTTTACAACACAAAGCTCTCACTCTGTATGTATTTATTTATATGCGAGTAAGTAGTAATTTTCACATTTTTGGTACACCCTATATGAAATTTAACTGTAATTTATTTAAAAAAAACTAAGTATTTCAAAATTAAAACTTTTTATTTTAAAAGATATAAATTATTGACGAAACATATCCATGGCAGGTATTGTATAAAAAAATAATACTTTCAGAAATCACCCTGTAACGTCTTGTTATTACAAATTTAGGTGCTGTATTATAAAAGTGCTAGATATAATAATATATAACCATACAATATTGCAAAAACACCAATTATCAACCAAAAGGACTTGCTTTAAAAAAATTAATTAAAAAAATATTTATACGGGGGTGTCTCATTAAAAAATAATTTCCGAAATATCACAACTAGGCTGGTGCCGATACTGTTTGGAAAAAAAAATTAATAACAGGTTAGGACCAGGTGGAACATGTAGTAAGGGTAACTAAAAGAACCAAACAGTTTTAAACACGAAATATTGGGAAGGGGTGGAGTTTAGGGGTTGAAAACGGTTTTTTGTGTTTTTCGGAGAAACGTGAGCTCCTAGCGAAAAGTATTCAATACAAAAGTGGTAGATAATGAAAAAATCTAAAACTTTTGTATATGACTTTTTTCAACATAACCTCAAATTTTCCGAGAAAATGGCGAAAAACCGATTTTTTTCAGTTTTTAATTTTTTTCTAGCGTAAAACTTATTTAACTTAGATGAAATTTGGTGAAAGTTAAACATTTTTAGAGTTAAATAAGCATGAATTTTTTAAATTTCAAAAAATAAGTAGTTTCCGAGATATTTACATTTTTCGAAAAAAATACTATAAACTTCCACGGAACACTTTATTGATGTTTTTTCGATTTCAAGGTTATATAAAGGCTCATTTTAATCGTTGAAATGTCTACTTTCAGATAGTCTATACATGTTAAGAGTTTATTTTTGATGAAATCAATAAAAATTGAGAAAAACTGAAAATTGTTAATTTTTCATTTTATAGTGATATTACATGTAAGTTATTTCATTGAAACGTAACCCGTACAAAAATAATTAAGAATATTCAGGGTTTCCTGATGCAAAAATTGACTGTTTTCAGTTTTTCTCAATTTTGATTCCATCAAAAATAAACTATCAACATGTATAGACCATCTGAAAGTTGACATTTCAACGGTTAAAACTACCCCTTATAAAACCTTGAAATTGAAAAAAAACATCAATAAATTTTTTCGTGAAAGTTTTAGAGTATTTTTTTTTTTTTCAAAAAATGTAAATATCTTGTAGACTACTTGTTTTTTGAAATTCAAAAAATGCATGCCTATTTAAAACTAAAGAAGTTTCACTCTTACCAAAATTCATGTAAATTAAATTATTTTTGCATTAGAAAAAAAATTAAAAACCGAAAAATCGGTTTTTTGACATTTTCTCGAAAAATTTAAGTTTATGTTGAAAAACGTAATATACACAAAAGTTTTATATTTTTTCATTATCTACAACTTTTTTATTGGACACTTTTCGCTAGGAGCTCACGTTTCGTCCCAAAACGTTTATATACCCCTAAACTGCACCCCTTCCCAATATCTCGTGTTTAAAAGTTTTTGGTTCTTTTAGTTATTACCCTAATTACACGTTCCATCTGGTCCTTACCTGTTATTATTATTATTATTTTTTTTTTCAGCATTTAAAGTCCGTTTTGGCACCACCTAAACCGTTTAAATGAATCTAAGTACAATTTACTCTATTTAAACGTTCAGTTTTTATACACATACCACTTTTAAATTGAAACGAACTGTTTCCATTTCCAAATTCAATTTCTTTATTCATCTATACTGTCTTTATTTTCAAAAATAGAAAAAAAAATAATTTAAATTTCTTTTGTTTAAAATCAAATTCTTATCCGACGTTTCGTAAACGTAGAACCACCATTAACTTCTTTATTTGTGTTATTCCGATGCTGATTATAATAATGTAACGATATATTGTGATTGGTCAATTTTTCGGAAGATTTGTACTATACAAGTGAGTAAGTGGGCTTTTTCAATGGGACAATCTTTATAATAATCGAAAATTTTAAGAAATCGAAATGATTTCGAGGTTTTTCTAGGACCAATCCTATTTGAATTTTATAGGAATGATATTATAATAAAAAAAAAATGTATGGAGCTACTTTTTGTATGACGCAATAAGTATTTTTAAAAATTATGATTTTTTTATTTTTTTGTATTATTATTTAATATACAGGGTGATCCATTAGTGTGAAAAAGTCCAATATCTCCGCCATTATTGGAGATATAAAAGAATATTTTCACAGAACGGCAGACAGCGTTAAACTACATATTTTAAAATTATTTTTGAATATACAGGGTGTTTAATACCTTCCCTCTGGAACCAACTTATGTTCTTTTTAATGGATCACCCTGTATTTTATTTTATATTTGAATTGCCCTCGCTTTTCTCATTATAAAAATATAAATTAATATTAAGAAAATTATGTATTTGTGTTTTGATTCACCCTGTACAGACTTGATGTAAATTGAAAAAAGTAGTGTCTTCAAATAAAATTTGACCATGATCGAAAAATTGTGGTAGAAAAAAATTGGTTGTCAATTGTTTCTTTTGCATGATATAGGTCATTGAATTCAATACGATTTTCATACAAAACTAATTATATCTTGCAAAATACCCTGTATAAACCAATAATAATTAATATTTTTAGAATGGGAAAAGCAAGGGTAATTCAAATATAAAATAAAATAAAATACAGAGTGATCCACTAAAAAAAAACATAAGTTGGTTCCTGAGAGAAGTTATTAAAAACCCTGTATATTCAAAAATAATTTTAAAATATGTAGTTTAACGCTGTCTACCGTTCTGTGAAAATATTTTTTTATATCTCTAATAATGGCGGAGATATTGGACTTTTTCACACTAATGGATCACCCTGTATATGTAAAATAACTATTTCACAGAATATATTTTAACTAACCCCTGTATATTAGGGAGCATATCGTCGTGTATGATATTTTAGATTTAAATGATTAAATTTTGTGTATGTTAAATTAAAAACTAAATAATTATGTATAGAAAATATACAGTGTCACCAGTAAAGTTTGCATCATATGGGATTGTTTTTTTACCTAATTTATGCAAATTTAGAGTTTTTTCCTAGAAAATGACATTGAAATTTTATTTTATCGATTGGCTATTCCTGTCAAATTTGACATTTTAAAAAATACAATAGTTTAGGGTATTTCTCAAAATTTCGAATGTTCTATTATTTGGCAGATTGATCTTATAAATTATTGAAATTTTTTTGAAAATATCTTAGAAAATATGTTAAATTTGACTTAAATTTAATTTGTTTTTCTTAATTTTTTTTAATATTATATTTTCTTTATTTTTTATTTTTGATTTTTTGAATTTTTGTAGTTTTTTATTTTTTTTATTTTTAAATTTTTCATTTTTTTTATTTAATATTAACAAAATGCATGAATTATTTACTTAGATCATAATAAACGGCATACACTTGGAAATTTGCCAGCGCCTGTAAAAAAATTAAAAAACTTTTTTCTATTTTTGTATCAAGAAATTTTATTTTTATTTTTATTAAGTTTGAAAATTGGACAACAGCGCCTATAAAAAAAATTGAAAAAATTTACTTTATTTTTACTTTTTTACTTTCTATTATTTTTTTGCTTTTTCTTAATTTTTTATTATTATTATTATTGACAGAAAAATATTCATTGTCATTTTTTATTATTTCCCAAGCAAAAACTGTTCATGAACTTTAAAACAAATCCCATATGATGTGGATTTTAACAATGACGCTATATATATAGATGCCTAAAACTTTAAATATTAAAAATAAATAATAAAAATTATATTATAATGACAAATATATGTCAATATTATTTTTATTTGTTATAAAATTAATTCAAATAGAATCTCATCGTGTTTATTATTGTTAAAAATTAGTTAAAAAAATTATATATTGGTTATAGAGAGCGGTGGTATTTGATAGATTGTTTTAATAAAATTATTTTGAAAAAAATGGCTCTTATTTCTATTTTAAATCATCCTGTATCCTGAATATACCAATAATAAATAATAAAAAAATTAATATGAGTTTAAACTTTTTAATACTCATCAAAAACAATCGAATTCAAACCACTTTTAACAACATTAAGATCATGCAGAATCCTATCAAGCTGCATATTATTATCATCAACAACCTTCCGGTACAAATCATCTTTTTTCTCTCCTCTATACACAGAATTCAAAATGTCCTCCATCTTTAAAAACATCACATCATCTACCAATTTAGTTTTTTGCCCTTGAACGTTACTCATGAAGAAAAACTCATTTTCTTCATCTTTGGCACCTTTAAACAAAACAACGATGGTTTCTAGAATTAGTTTCACATCGTTTTCCAATAAACGCGTTTTTCTAACCTCAAAGTTTCTCAAAACGTTCAAAGCTATTTGTTTCATGGCCGCCATCTTGTGCTTCTCCACCGTCAGACATTTGGCATATCTAAAAGTAAAAATTTTAGGTATACATATATGGGCCACCTAACATATTCTTAAATTCAAACATAATATTTTCAAACCTGACGATATAGTACTAGCTAAACATATCTACTACTTGCATAAGACGCTCACGTACGCCAATACGACTTGAATCAAACTACAGTCCCATATACAGGGTGTTTCATAATATATGCACAAGACTTCAGGACGTGAGAGCTCGTCCAAAATTACGAAAAAACGTTTCTATTAACTTACCCTTTAAAATGCACCATTTTCGAGATACAGGGTGTTGAAATTGAAAAAAAAAATTCTACGCCACTGGAAAAAGTACAGTTTTGAGATGCCCATTTGAACCATCAATGTTTTCTACACAAAAAAGGTACTCTTGATCATACGCTCTAAAGTCGACCGTTTTCGAGAAAAATCAAATTTTGTTTCATCAAGTATGTATGTATTTCAACATTAAAATTTGATTTTTTTGAAAACAGTCGACTTTAGAGCGTATGACCCAGAGTACCTTTTTATGTAGAAAATATTGGCGGTTCAAATGGGCGTCTCAAAACGGTACTTTTCCAGTGGCGTAAATTTTTTTTTTCCATTTCAACACCCTGTATCTCGAAAATGGTACATTTTAGATGGTAAGTTAATAGTAACGTTTTTTCATATTTTTGGACGAACTATCACGTCCTGCGAATATATTATGAAACATCCTGCATATACTGTACCTCTTGCATTCCAGCATTTCTTTCCCACTCAATAGAATTAAAAAATATTTCTAACGAATTTCACGAGTTGAAGTAATAAACAGTTTCTCGCTCATCGTCCAGTTTTTAACTTCCAACAATCAACATGTTTCGAGGTTGGCATCAGTGGCGGCTCGTTAACTAAATATTTATTTTTCTGTAACAAAATGCTCTGCAATTTTGTCTATATACAAATTACAAAACAGAAACCTCCAAAACTCTACCTAATTTCGGGGTATCTGGACCATTGCATGATGTAAGTTCTGATCGAACAGCTCAAGCATTGTTTACCCTAGTTACAAGTTGTCTACAAAAATACGACTACAAATCAAAACTTGTTGGACAATGTTATGACGGCGCTAGTGTTATGTGTGGGATACATTATCTGAATTAATAATTAGTGGACTGTAAATGTTAGAGCTTCGTTGGTAGATCCTAAAATGGCGTGTAAATTATATACACTATTTACAGAGGAGTGAAAGATATGTTAAGATGCCTAGAAGGCAGAGCTTGATAATGAATATATTATAATGCAATAGAAATGCAATATATTTTATGGCTGCTACTGTAGAACAGTTAACAGTTCATAGTGAAGTGATAGTACTTCCTGTCTGAATCAAATCCAGTCGGAAACCGAGTTGTCAAAGTTACCAACTTGAAGTAATGAAAAGTAACTAATGAAACAATAGTAGTGGAGGTTGTCTCCAACATTATGTCAGGACAATTAAATGGTTTACAATCGAAGATTAAGGAAGTAGCACCAGAGGCAATGTTCGTTCATTGTTTGGCGCACCGTCTGAATTAAGTCCTGTCTAGGATAGGAGAATCAACTTTATGTACAAAAAATATAAAAGTCGAATTTTTTTGTTTTATTTTCAACGCGCCACCTACATTCCTTACACCCATGAGCCGCCACTGGTTGTCATACATCTCTCGCTAGTTACATACACGGAAATTGCCCAGCTGATAATAAAACTGCTGACTAGAAGAAGACGGCCAAGGCTAATCATCTTTTCTTTTATAATATAAAATTCATTTCTCTGTTCTAACGTCGTTGAATAAAGTCGTTATAAAAAGTTGTAAATTTGTTATTAAAAAGCTATTTTTTGAATTATTATATTTAATTCACTACACCTTTACACCAATTTTAAACTTCGACACGACAGAATTCCTCGGAGTCGTCATACCTATCGTTCTCGCTAAAAAACAATCTTTTTCAACCTTCGATCAACACATTATCAAACTTTTCTTTCCTTACCTATCTTCATCAGCTTTGGGATACACCAATTTTCTCTCCTCTATATTCCTGTCTTCTCCCCCTTTTAAACGATGTTTCTTTAATCTAACTTTACACAGTTCCTTGTAATATTCGAAATTCTCTTTGATCAAATTCAAAACGTTATATTCCTGGTAATTCGAGTAAATATTTTGAGCTTTACAGTAGTACATCGATATAACAGCTACGTATACAGTCATAACAAGCATAGTCAAAAGTGTGTACGTTATAAAATATAAATAATGCAAAGATGATTCGAAGGTATCGAAATCGAAACCAAAAAAACCTATAGAGCCCAAAACCAGGCTCATGAAGCTGTGCGTTAAATTGCTGAAATCGTACGATTCGTCACCAAATAGCAAGGTCCCGGCTATAGCAAAAACCACTATCAAATGTAAATGACAGATGAACAGACAGAATAACGGTACCGTAGACAGTAACAACGTTTTTTCTACGATCCTAATGATGATTAAGAATCTCATCAGCTTCCAGAGTCTCAGCGTGGCTAGAAACACTAAAACAGCTGCCATGACAGTCAAGATATTCTCTGCGTAAAACAAATGAAAATAATTGACGAACTCGTTGTGTTTGGCCACCTCGATTCTATCCAAAAACTCGCCTACTAAATGCGATCTTTTGACGTACAAAAACATGCACGAAAATGACGTCAGGATGATGAAAATGTCGACGAAATGCCAGGCATCTTTGAACGCCATCTTTTTCTTTTTAACGATTTTGCGAATGAGTTTTATCATTATTAATACGACTATGATGATGAAAGATGCAAATATAATCCATAGTAGTGTAAAATTTTCGTTTACCAACAGTAATCTGGCCGTATAAACCTGAAAATCAAATATTTTATTAGAACTAAGATAATACATTTATTTAGACTAGCCTTAATCAATTATCATCAATATTTTCATCAATAGATAAATTTTGAATACCCCACGGTTCAGTCTGGAACCCTTTTTAGTATTCCATGTATAATCGACGATACTTACGTCGAATACAGATCTTATATAACCTGACAAGCTCAGCTCGAATATCACGGTGACTGAATTGAAAATGTTTGTATTGGCGCTGTACGTCAAAAATTCGATAAATATAATTCTAGTGCGCTCGTCAATCCATCGGTGACGCACTAGATATTTGACATTCGTCAACGAGTTTTTCAAATTCCTTCCTAAAGTTGACACGTATCCGCCACCTGGATATGTTGCGAATTTGCCTTAAAATAAATAATAATGTAAAAAGTTAGATTAAAAAATTAGACAATTTACCTATATATGATAAAGTTCCTGTATCGACCCCTCTATACTTCCAAATACAATCCATACGAGCGAATGGATCAGAATCTGAATCGTTCCTCCAATCTTCGCTGAATTGTTCGTATTCAGGACCATTAGGAAAGGAAGACGTGCAATTTGTTTGGACAAAAACAATATCAGGCATCACGCGGCACATCTCCTTTTCTGATCTGTGTTGTCTGATTCTCGCTATGCCGATGAATTTATTGGAATTATCTATTGTCATTCCGGGGTCTTTGCTCAAAAACTGCCCATACCATTGGGGGGATTGTAGCGAATGTACTAAGGTGGCTTCAATGTACTTTTCTATTCTGTAACATATTCATGACGTATATAGTGTCTCCAGTCTCCAAATTTGTATTATCATGCATATATGTATAGTATATACGCTGTAGGAAAAAGTCAAAAAGTTCTAGTTTGAATATTAATTCTGTATAGGTAAATTAAAGCTAAAATAAAAATACCTCTCTTTTTTCATCTCCCCTCCCCCTCCCATTAGTCCAAAACTTGTATTTTTTACTTGTATTTTTTATTTGTGCGAACTTATTTTTTTTATAGGTATTCCTGTCATGTCTATTTTTTTTATTGGTGAGTTATTCCCTACCCACCAGAAAATTCCTGCGAGAAATTCTTACAAGAATACTCCAGAATGCCGATTTCATTTATATTTAAACCTGAGCTCCTGTTGGTAGTGTTATAAGGTACCTGAGGCAAATAAGGCCCACCTAAGGAACAAATTCATTTTATTTGAAAAAAAAAGTCAAAATAAAATGGAAAATACACATAATCAAAAACAGTTACGCTTCTTGGAACAAATGAATACATTTCTAATATAAATTTCTATTTTTTTTTGAGCCTTTTTTAAAACGCCTGCAATGGGCCTTATTATACAATAATAATTATACACGTGTATTTATTAATTATAATAATAATAATAATAATAATAATAAATGGTCTTTATTCATCATAGTTAGACATTTACAATAACAAAAAAAAGAAGGAAAACGATGAAAAGGCGAAGTTCAGCACAAGGCTGTTTTTCAACTTAACCTGCAACGCAAATAAATACATTCTATTTCATACACAAAATGAATATTGATGAAAACAGCTTAAATTATATTTACAAAAATTATTTTTCAAGAGAGTAAACCTATTTCTTGACAGTTCATGTTTTCGTTTTATAATGCAGATTGATTAGCTAAAATGTTTTCTTTGAGACCTTTCTTTAATTATATTTTTTACTAGCAACGTATGAGAATGATCTTTCGAATAATGTGGTACTATGCATGGGTACTACTAATGTAGTTCTTTTTCTAGTGGGATAGTTATTAATATTAGAAAAAGACGTTAATTTTGTGAAAAGGTATTCCGGTTCTTGTTTTAAAACTTTGTGAACTAATACCAGCAAGTGTAACGACCGGTAGTTAGACAATGTTAATTCAAAAACATTTTTAAAACAAAATAAACTAAAAAAGGCACAAATATTAAGCTTATAAAAGAAACTAAGGCATTCTAAAATAGTTCATTAGCAACACTTTGGACAAACAAAACATTCCGTATCGCGTTGTGTTAACCCTAAACAAGCTTCATGACACCATTTTGCACAAGTTACATATTGTCTCTTGTCAAGTTTGTCTTCAGTTCCTCAAAGAAAACAGTACCACGAATCACTGTCCAATGCTTTTTTTGAGGAAATTGAAGCTGAAAATTTTGACGTTAAATTTCATAGAAAAAAAAAACACTTTCTATTCTCGAATTTTTCAATTTTCCGGTCAATTTTTACAATTTTTCATTATCTAAAAACCTTATTCGTACTATTAAAAACATTTAAAAAAAAAATGCCAAATCAGTCCAGCCATTCGCAAATGATGGGCTTAAAAACGAACAGCATTTAATTTTAATTTATATGTAGCTTATTTGCAAAGTTACACAACAAAACCTTTGTCAGATAATAGATGTCAGCCAAAAAACTCAACAAATTTGAGGGGACGATAACATACCTAAGAATCAAATCACACGATTTATTACGGGTTTATCAAAACTTATGGACCAAATGACCTAAAAAGCATTATTAATTCTGTATTGGCGTATTGTGTGTTGCCTAATGATTTACTGACCTAGATCAATCTACCGAGAAGGCAGCAATAAAAATACTTTTCTTTTGAAATCTATTATTCTAGCAAAAACTAAATATACCTACATCAATAATTCAAATATTCCTAATGACAAAATAAGATTTCAGTATTTAAAGTTCTACTTTTACCAAAATAAAAACTTTAATAGCAATTGTTTGGGGATATTTTCGACGAGTATTATCTACTACCTATATTGCAATGTAGACCTAATTTATTTGAACATAGAACATAGGTTAGGTTGAATTAAAAATTATTAGGTTAATCGATGATCACATTTTAAATAAACTGTAGGTACTTTATTTTTACCTCTTAATAATATCTGTTATAGATACCTACATTTCATATAAAAAAATATGCTTTAATTAAAATATAACTGACTTGAATTCCTTGGATTCAGCTGTCTTGATTTTTCTGTTGTAATCTTCATAATTCAGCTAGGGATTGTAACTCTGTAACGAAGCACTTTTACAATTCTTTAATTACCACTTTAGCTGACACACAATTTTTTGTATAACTCAAGAAAACTAACCGACACAGAGGTTAAATTTACGAATCGTATTTATTTATTTAAGTTTCAAACTAGAATTCCGCAGCTGCAAACCATACACACTGTAAAATATTATAACTTTATTAAAACAACAGTTTCCACAACCGAAATTCGCGAACTAATTCAAATATTTAACGTAGAAATGATCTCATACGATGCTTTAAGGGTTGCCTGCATTAAGTTTTCGACCAATGGAAGCTCGAAAATAAACCGGGTTATTTCAAACGGTCGTAATTGGACCAATTAGAAGAAGAGAAGAGAGTTTAGACAGTTTAAGCTTGCGCGTTGAATTTTAGTGGTGGAAAATATTGAGATAGAAAAGAAACAGGGTCGGCTCTTCGTCAAATTTATAGGGAGATTTAGGTAATAGAAGGAAAATCGTATAGATAATGGAGTAAAATTTATTTGAATATGTTACATTTTAAATATTTGTAGCAAGTTATAAGAAATATAATTATTATGTACTAATATACTAAAAAAATTGAAATAAAATATTTGAATATTGAAAATTGTAATGAAAAATAAGTAATGGAACATCACATATTTGCCAATTTCCGGATTTCCCTTGATAAAACGTTCCCAAAAAGGAATCACAGTTTGTTTCAAATTAATACAGGGTAGGCAAAAATACAAAAGTTGTTCATAAATTAATTATTAACTAAATAAACAATACTATTAAACATTACCGAAACAGGTCTATTTTTTATTTAAATTTACTGTTTTTTAAAATAATAATCTAATATACCTTAGTGTGATGATGCCATTACCATGTTTTTGAATCTTTATCTCTGTATCTGTAACGTATGGAGGGTGGGTTACCCCCACGGCACTTAGGCCTCATTAGGCCCATTGAGCATCCTCCTGAGATGATAGGCACCTCCCAGCTCGTGAGCCAGCCTATTTTTGAATCTTTAATGCAAATACCTTATTACCTAGTCTTCGTTAAATTATTTTGCGCCTCTATTTAACAAAAGCTTTGGAACTCAAGCCCACCGAGCCCCGGGCTTCACACGGCTCCTATAGTTTGTAATAATCTGAAAAGATACTGTTTCTATCTTTTATGTCAACCCTGCAATATATGTAAAAATATTGTTTTCATTTTTCAATTCCTTAAATAGGTATTTATATGTTTCCATATTTCTTTCTCTATCTGCAGCGTGTACAAGGTGTGTACTTAGGCCTCATTAGGCCCTCTGTGCATCCTTTTACATTCCTCTTGGCTTGTCAGACAGCCTACAAGGTCCTTCTCTTATATCGAGCGGTTTTTCCATACTTTATACTAACCCTGTATAATAATATATATTATTATTAGCGGAATACCTAACTATTTACTAAATTAGAAGAAAATATTTTGGTTGGCAAGTTATTATTCAAAACAAATCTATAAAACAAAGGTTATCTAAAAAATGTTAATAATTAAGTGGTTGTTTATTCAAAAACATTCTTGTTTTACTGATAAAAACGATCGATATAATTAACAATAATTTAGTATATGAACAGTTTTGACTATTAAAACTTCAAACTTTTGTTATTTTTAAGTTTTTAAACATGTAAGTATACTTAGTTCACTAATTTCATTTTACACTAATAAAAAAAGAAGGACTTCGGTAAATGGCCTTTTGGTACGTACCTAATATAGGTACTAACCAATAAAATTCATAAAATACTATTTAAAAAGTAAAGAATATAGTTGAATCAGAGAAGAATATGCAATAGGTAATTGAAAGTCAAGAATATGTGAAGTATGCAAGAATTTAAATTGAGTTGCCAAATGACTACTTTTATCTTTTATCTCTGTGTGTATTGTAGGAAGAGTGAAATATAATATTATATTGTGCAACAAGTGCAGAAATCAGCCTTTTCCACACGATGTGTAAAATTTTATAGAACGAGTGTGGAATAGGTCTTCTGCACAAGTAGCACACTATATTTTTTCAACGATCACAATGATTAATATAAAATCAAACTTTTTTTTTTTAATAATTTGATATAGGGGCTACAAAAAGGTATTTTTTATTGAAAAATGTAAAACTTAGTTATAACAAAAGTCAATATTAACGACATTTCAATTAGAAATATGAATAGGTGGTAAAGCATAGACATACGTCCATTTTTTAATTAGTAAATTTCGATAATTCTAAAGTAAATTAAATGTCAAGATTTGAAAGCAGATCCTACTTGATTATAGATTCTCAAGTGATGCATAATTTTTTAAAAAAATAACTTTCTTTGTAAAATGTAAAATAAAACTTTTGCATATATTTATAAAACTTTTTGAGACATTAAGGCATTTTAATGCCTGTGTGCGAGCTAGTTTATTCTAAAATATTATTTAATTATACATAAAATACAATATAGAATTATAATATTAAAAAAATAAATAATAAAACAAAAGGTATCAGGGTTGAAAAGTGACGCAATCATCAGATGATTTGTCTAAATGAGCAATTATAAAAATTCTCTGGAATTAAAGTCATAAACTGACCATAAATATACCTTTATTTTTATTTTCGTTTTAATTATACAGGAAACTCTTGATTTTGCTTGGTTTGACTCTCCTGGTATCATTAGCATTGGCTGCGCAGACCAAAGAGACGTGTCAATGTTTCGAGGAATTCGAACCCTCAGAGGAGGGAAACGAATGGATTTGTAGAGGAAAGAAGAATTATAGAATTTTCCGTTGCGGCGAAGAACGACCTCCTATTTGTGAATGTTACAAAAAAGGAAACGTACTCAAGTTAGATATTGGAGAAACCGCATGTGGAAGTAAGGGGGATAACGTCAACTGTGGACCAACTGACGTCTGGGGACCGTACTATAAGAGGAATCCCCATAGAGCTATTTACTATTAAAAATATTTTATACATTTTTGTGTTGAATAAATCCGATAAACAATATTTCGTTTCTTATAAATACCAAATACCAATTTACAAATAAGTATCGTTTTACAAATAACATTTTACAAATATCATTTTACAAATACCATTTTATAAATACCACTTCATAAATGTCATTTTATAAATACCATGACAGATGACAGGTGAATATTGACTTTTGTGTTGTGGGGACAAGGAGTCATTGTGGAAACTGGCTAATAATTGTGAATTTATTGATATTGTTAAATTTGGTTGCATTCATTTGTAATTTTAATTTGTTTAATGCATTTAGTTATTGTAAATTTGTGTTATTTCCTTGGAAGTGTACCGGATGGACAGCCTTCAAATTACTTTAGTATTCGAATAGTAATTTGTTTACACCTTTGTCTTCAAAATAATCTAAAAGAAATATCCAGTGAAAGAAATGCCTTTAACTTCAAATGATTTAGACATCGAATATGTTGATCGAAGTAATTAGTTACTTCTTCTGACTTAAACTAAACGTTTGAAGACAAAATATGCTATTATTGGTAACTTTTAAAATTTTATGTTTTAATGCAAACCGTTTCTTAAACTGTAATCCACGGGACCCCATCACTGAAGGGTTCCGTGAAACTTACGTGCTCAAGAAGATAACAAATCTTAATTTGGCTAACAGTTTTTAATGCGAGTAATTTTTACTGTCAAATTTGAATGGCCCCGCGCTTTTTTTCTCATCGTCTTTTTTCATATGGCCTCTTACCCGATAAGGACTTAATTGAAAAATAATCAACCACGTCCACCAGGTGACGCTGAAATTCTATCACCGTTTTCTAACATGGGAGTTACAGTTCTAAGAGTAAGTGTTCTGTGGGATCAGTTTTCAACGATACCTGAGCATGCTCGTATGAAAAGCTGTCTGTGTTTATCAAATTTATCTTCGTTATTTTTGAACATAATTATTAGTTATTAGATTTGTTGTTTTTACGTAGTAAAGTTGATTAGTGCATTAAGTGGACGTTCTGTTTTTATATTTTTGGCACTTTTCTAACAATAGCATAATAACAAAGTAACTCTCTTCTAATTTATTTTCTCGTTGCAGACATAAGGATTCCCTCGTGGACAGCGTTGTCAGATTTCGCGCGCAGGACCACAAATAAATACTTTTATCTAGGAAAGTTAGTTACGAATTTTTAGATTTTCACAATATTTTTAATGTTATATCAAATGTTCTATTTTTTACACTAGGCTCGCGAAGGAAATATACGAAACACTGTATAATATAACCGTAGCTCTAAATAATGTCCAGATTTTAAGTAGAAAGGAAAAGTTATTTTTTGTCTCTATGCTAAATATGTAATTTTAACAGTAAACTAGTAATATTCGGCTCGAAGGACCACTAAAACTATGTACAAAACGGGACTTTAATTTATTGAATTGTAAATAATATTAATACATAGTTTCAATCGCGGTTATTCTTCAATACAATTATTTCTGCTACTTTATTTTCTATTCTTGAATGGATTTTCAAATATTTAATTTATTTAAGATGTCATCTTAATATAATAACTGACAGATTCGAGAAAATAATTTAGAAGTTTTTTGTTCTACAATTTTGAATCAAAACTCGATTCCCTTTTTTGTCACCAGTTCCTGGGCTGTTATTTAATTAAACAAGATTTTAAAATAAATAGGAGACCCTTTTAAAAATACCTACTTCAAGAGAAGTTTAAATAAACCTACTAATACTACTGCATACGTTTAATAAATGCAAATACATTTTTATTTAGTCTTCGTTAAATTATTTTGAGCCCCTCTTGCTTAACAAGCGCCCTAGCACTCGAACCCGTTGAGCCCTATGCTTAACACGGCCCTGATAGTTTGTAATAATCTAAAAAGATACTGGTTCTCTCCTATGCCAACCCTGCAATATGTGTAAAAATATTTTTTTATTTTTCCGATTGAGATAGGTATTCAGATTTTTACATACTTCCCCTGGTATCAGTAACATGTAGAGGGTAAGTTGCTCCACGGTACTGAGACCTCACTAGGTCCATTGTACATCCTCCTAAAAACTGGTCAGCCAGCCTACAAATTTTGTTTAGTTATAATATATATTATAATAAACGGGATACCTATTTAATAAATTATAAGAAAATATTTGGCTGGTACGCTATTATTTAAAACAAATCTGTAAAACAAAGGTTATCTTAAACATGTTGAATGATCGTTAAGTTCGAATGAGTCGTTATTTATTCAAAAATATTCTCGTTTTACTGATAAAAACAATCGTTATAATAAACAATTTAGTATATGAACAGTTTTGACCATTAAATCTTTTAAACGTTTGTTATTTTTAAGTATTTAAACATGTAAGTATTCTTAATTCACTAATTTAATTATACGTTAATTTAAAAAGTATTTTGGTAAATGGCTTTTTGGGTACCTACCTAATTAACCTACCAATGAAATTCGTATAATAATATAGTTGAATAATAATATACAGTAATTGAAAGCACATTGAAAGTCATGAATGAGTGAAGAACGCTGTCACAGTTGTCATATGAAGAAATATCTTTGAAAGAATTAGACAATCCAATGTCCTGTCAGAATGGACAAAAATAGCCGATGCTTGGCAAAAACAACAAAGCTTCTTAACTTGACTTTTTCATTAGTATTTGACCGTTATTGCAAATCATGCAAGTAATTTTCTATATATTCAAAATAAATATTTATTTGTGCCATTTTTCAACTAAACATACCGAAAACAACTCTAAATACTCCAAGAAAATAATACAAACTTAGACTAATAACCTCACTAGAAGTGTTTTTGTCAAGGGAAGTACGTACTTTTCTTGTTTTTACCAAGGGTCCACCATTTAAAGTCACGTGATTTGGATTGCCTAATTATATTTCATCACACAAACTATATCAATCAAATTTATAAAATAATGACAAATGGCGGCATTTTTCAAACATTTCATTACTGTCTATTGAAAAAATAAGTAGTCTTTTTAATAATAATATTAATAATAATAATAATGGGAAACAGTAGCAAAGCCTACACAGAACACGAGGCGAAATAACCTTAGCAGTTGAAGCCGATGACACAAAAAAAAATATAATAAAAGTTAAAAATATAATTACTTTTAATATTAGTTAGTTTTATTTATTATGTTTGATTCTTTATTAATTTAACTCTATTATACATCTTTAAACTAGCTTTTCCTTATTCATTTTTACTCTAGGCAACTCTTGATTTTGCTTGGTTTGACCACCGTGGTGACGGTAGCATTCGCTGCCAAGTGCAAAAAGACGTGCCAATGTTTTGAGGAATTCGAACCCTCAAAGGAGGGAAACGAATGGATTTGTAGGGGTAAGAAGAATTTAAGAATTTTCCTTTGCGGCGAAGAACGACCTCCTATTTGTGAATGTTACAAGAAGGGAAAAGTAATCAAGTTAGATATTGGAGAAACTGCATGTGGAAATCTAGGGGATAACGTCAACTGCGGACCAACTGACGTTTGGGGACCGTACTATGAGAGGAATCCCCATAGAGCTATTTACCATTAAAAATATTTTATAAATTCTTGTGTTGAATAAATCGATAAACAATCTTTCGTTTCTTACAAATACCAAATACCAATTTACAAATAAGTATCTTTTTACAAATATCATTTCATAAATACCATTTTATACGTCAAGCGTCACTGGCCACTGGCGGCAACGAGAGCAGACAAGCCACATTACATATTTGTACAATAAAACTAAATGCTGTTAAAGTGTTTTAATTATATTCAAAAAAGCAAATACAATACATGGCACAGTCAGTAGGATACAAATATGTAATGTGGATCGTCTGTTCTCGTTGCCGCCAGTGGCCAGTGACGTTTGATATGCCTCACTTGTCATTGTCGACAGTCGACGCAGTTCAGCCAACCTTTACAACTTAAATCTACTAAGAACGAAACTAACTAAGCTACGCTACAAATACCATTTTATAAATACCTTTTTACAAATATCATTTTATAAATACTATTTTGCAAAATCCCATTTAAGCTTAAATAAAGCTGTCACTTTTGATAGGTTAAAATGCCTACTTTTAATAGTATTTGTAGAAAAAATGAATTCTTACTGTTGCCTGCCGTGAAAATATTCCGAAAACGTCCTGGAATGAACGCCCTGTATCAAATCTTTGATTTCCTCGTTGCTCTTGGTAGCCATCGGATCTTTATCACGTAAAATGATCGTGTACAAGATAATTATATATACGGTGATCATTAAAATGTCTTCGAAGATTTCGTAGAGTCGATCTTTCATTTTCGCCCAGTATTTGATCTCCTAAAAAACGTTTTACTAAATTTGACAGACAAGAAGTGTTTTTATTCGAATGACTAAATAAATTTGATTGTAAAATGACCTTAATTTTTTCAAAAATGTCTTTAAATTTTTCAAAAATGCCCTGAAATTTTTTAAATTAACTAATGACCTTGATTGTATTTACAATAATCTTGATTTTGTTCAAAATAACTTTGACTTTTCTAGAATTGCCTTAAATTTTCTGAAATGGTCTTGATTTTTTAGGAGTAATCTTTATTTTTTCCTGAATAACCTCAAAACCTTCCGAAAATGCTCTCCAACTTTCTAGAATCAATTTAAAATTTTCTAAATGAATATATTTTCCAGAATGTCCGTAATGTTTAATGAATGACCTTTATTTTATACACAATGATCTTGATTATATCCAAAACAACTTGACTTTTCTAGAATGACTTTGATTTTTTTGAAATGACATTTATTTTATCCAAAATAACGTTGGCTTTTCTAGAATGACCTTCATTTTTCTGAAATGATCTTGATTTTTCTGAAGTGACCTTTATTTTTTTCCAAAATGGCCTTTATATTTTTCAGAATGACCTTAAACCTTTCGAAAATGCCCTCTAACATTCTAAAAACACTTTGAAATTGTCTAAACAAGCATGTCTTGATTTTATCCAAAATAACCTTGACTCTTTTCTAGAATGACTTTGACTTTTTTGAAATGACATTGATTTTACTAGAATGGCCTTGATTTTTTCCATAAGGGCCTTAATATTTTTCGGAATATCCTTAAACCTTTCGAAAATACCCTCCAACATTCTAGAATCAATTCAAAATTTTCTAAATGTACATACTAGCAAGAATGACCTTGATTTTATTCAAAATAATCTTACCTTTTCTAGAATGACCTTAATTTTTCTGAAATTGTCTTGAATTTTCTGGAGTGACCTTTATTTTTTTCATAATGGCCTTTATATTTTTCAGAATGACCTTAAACCTTTCGAAAATTCCCTCTACATTCTAAAAACACTTTGAAATTGTCTAAACAACTTAATTTTCCTGAAATGACCTTGATTTTTCAGTGAGTTCCTTTAATTTCACTAGGACGATTTTAAATGATTCCGGAATGACCAGAACAGTTATAAACTTTAGATGACTCATTTACTTTAACTTATAGAAGTGGAGCGGGATAGTTTCCCATATTTTCCAGATTTAGAACCATGTGATTTTATATTCTATTTACCGTTGTTAAAAATATAGAAGTAAACTTACTTTCATTTTTTCCTCGTCCAAAGGTTCATAGAGGTGTTTGAAATAAGGTCGCATACCGAATTTTCCAAAAGAATTGTAAAATTTTTCTCTTTGAGTTTCTACGTATTTTATCATGGAATATGCCGTAGAAAAAATTCTATCGATCTAAAAAAATGTATTTTATAATTCACAGTTCAGATTTAAAGAGCATTGAATGTTTCTTACACGAGTGTGTCTCTTCAGAGACAAATTATTGTAAATGACGATTATGTTTTCTAAAAGGAAAATGTAAATTATTTGACTGACTATGGAGGACGTCAGCCAGAGTAGGCTCGTTACATGAGGCACCCAAAATCCAAATATTAATGTAACTGTCATTGATGCAACTATCAAAAATATTAGTATAAACCAACAAAAAATTTTTAAATTATTTTTTTCTTTCAAAACCGTATTTTGATTATTACTGGCTTTTCTAAAAAATAAAAACTGATTTAAAAATCGTTAATTTTTGATAAAATTGTTATACTTTAAATAATACACGATTGGGTAATGAATGGCGAACGTTAAAGCAAAACCAATAACTGTTATCCAAATAATTTCGTGGTAAAATCCGTAATAAGGATAGACAGTAATACTGTCACTAGGTTTTAAAACTGGCACACCATACAGCAACAGCATTATGGTAAAACTGGTCAAAAAGATCGATAACATTGCCGTTAATCTGGTAATTTTTGATAAAGATGCGTCTTCTTCACTAAAAAAAATTATTATGAAGACAAACATTTGTTTTTGTGCAGAACTAACCATATATTCCACATGTGGCAACCGTGTAACGCAGATATAACGTTTTTTATGGTCAATTTAGATTTTCCAGCGTCTACTGGTGTTGCTATATAAAAGTAATTTTCAATATCTTTTATTTCGAATTTAAAATTGATCGAGAACGTCCAGTTATTTTTCGTCTGCATATCTATTAATTCTATTTCTGAGCAATTCCTACAAAAGCGTACAAAGTTTGATGTTATGATCTCAGATTAATAAAAGGTAGACACTGAGTTATCCAAAAGAAATGTTTGTGCATTTCTTAAGGTATTTTAATGAATTATATCTATAAGTTTCGGACAGTAATATATTGCAAACCTAATATAAAGAGTGATCCACAAATAATGTTTCTAAAGTAAGCTATGGGAAGCAAAGACAAAGATATACGAGTCATGTCAGTAGACAGGAACTCCACTATCATTGATTTTTCCCCATATCTGGGGAAATTTGTAGAGTAGATCTGGCAACACTGCACCACATGAAACAATAGTAAAAATATCTGATAATTCCCCAGAAACTTGTTATGGCAATGCCGCTTATCCAACGATCAATAGATTATTTAGACGGATAAGGTGAGGTTATGTCATAGGGTCCCGTAGCGTCGATCCAATTCTTACCCGAGTTGCAGCTCCACAACGATACCCTATGTGTATGGACACCATACAAGTACCCCAATTAACCGAATCCGCAAACCCTCATTTTTGCAATCACACATATAGAGTCACTCTTACGTCGACACAGTACTTGTGGTTTTACATCTGGATTCGAACTCGAAAGCCAGTAAAGTTATTTTAATTTTTAATATTAAATTGTTACTAAATAATCAATCACAAAGTAATCCTAAAGTTCGGAGACTAGTTACTCTTTCTCATGGGAACAACTTCGAACATTCATATTTCCGAATTTCATTTACACCCGAATGAAATACCTACATACGCAGAAATATTTCAGACATTACAAAAATCCAAAGTAATTCGCGTGTCCAAACTATGTCTTATTAATATTTCACACCCACGTACAACTTTTCTAGCTTTCTAAAAAGTACTTTATCCTCTAATCGATTTTTCATTATTATTCATCCTAAAAAGACATAGTTTAAATTTCAAATCAGGCAGCCGTTGCAAATTTCAAACGATTCCAAAGAGCTTTAGCCAATTACGTAATTGTTTTACCTATGGGCGGAGCCAGGAATTAGAGACATAAATATAAGCGTTTCCCGCAAAAACAGGCAATAGATCGTTAACTTTTCCCTACCTCCACTGGGACAACCTGATGGAAGGGACGACCCACTGCGGCATGGACTCAGTGGGGCAGGGGTTCGGTGGTATCTTCACTACCTCGATCAGGGCATGACACCAAAGAAAGCAAAAAAGAAAGCTGTGGAGCACAAATCCCAGGGAGAGGGAATTAAAACCAATCCCAAGGATCTGAAAAGAAAGCGGGACGGGAATAACACCACACCACCGCAATGGAAAGAAAAGAAAAGTGGCCGATACCTCTATTTCTGACAGTTATGCAACTGTCGTCAAGACGGAGTGGGTCGCAATCCTACCTAGGGGGTTCCCTGAGACAATCCTCACTGCGAATGAACTAAGAAACCATAGAAGAAGAGATATTCGCTGGATGGGAGCATAAGCTCCAATTCGGAAGCATCCACTTCCGGCCAGGAATGGTCTTAATCGACTGTGAAACCCCACAGTCAGTAGAATGGCTCAGGGCAAAAATCCCACACCTGAGTAACTGGAAGGGAGTGGAGTTGGAGGTATGGGCGGGAGACAACATCCCGAAAGCACATACAGCCACGCTCTTTCTCCCAAAAAGTCAAGGGCAGCCTGTAGAAAAACTTCTACAGATAATAGAAGCGCAGAACTGTGGAAAATCGTCAGCCCAAAAGACGAGGGTAAAGGCCAGATCCTCAGGTTACGAATAGATGACCATCCTGACAACGGATCAAGGATAATGGATGCACTATCGATTCGGGAAAATCCCCGTACACGGCCTTCAAAAGAAAGAGGAAATAAAGGAACTGGGAGAAACAACAGAACCAACTCCTAGTACTTCCAAAGATGAGACTGATGTGGAGAGCATAGAGAGCCTTAACCTCTCAAATCTCTGCGTAGATTCATCTGAGGATGTAGAAATTGATGAAGAAGCAGAAGAGGGGGATATGGAACACACCCTCACCGATAAGGATAACACCCCCATTAAAGGAGAGTAAAATCGCGGGCATCGACATGGCCCAAGTGAATGTCTATCACGCCAAGGAGCCTCGGCTGTGATCTCCAGGACATTCACTAAAGATTAATTAGGGATCGTACTGATCCAAGAATCGTGGGTCTACGGAAACCAGGTAAGAGGACTTGCATGTAAGGATGCAAGGGTAATTTATCACACTAGTGATGAAGTACCCAGAACATGCATAATTGTAAGAAGTAGTATTAAATATTCTTGTCTTTCAGAATTCATGACGCGTGATCTCGTTACCAATTCGAGCATAACTGAAATTAGGGATGAGGCGGCAAAACATAGTAATAGTTTCTAGTTACTTCGCCGGAGATGGGCATGTACCACCCCCGGAAATATCGAGGCTAGTGGAGTGCTGCCAGAGAAGACATCTGCCATTACTTCTTGGATGTGACGACAACGCGAACAGGACTTATGGGGAAGCAACGACACCAATCAAAGAGGTGAGTAACTTTTAGAATATATTTTTAATAAGAACCTTATTGTGCAAAATATTGGGAATACTCCAACATTTTTAACAAGGGCAAGAAGTGAGGTATTAGACATCACATTAAGCACACTGAGCATTAAAGATCTAGTTAACAAGTATTAGAAATTAAGAATTTAAAAAAACCGACTTCAAAAACGTGCAGATGCCATCAGCACATCTTAACCAAATTTATATGGGACTACCCCTGAAGTAGCCCCTTTCTAAACCAAAAATATTTATTGAAATCGGACATCGTGTTAAAGAATTATCGCTGAACATACATAAAAAAAAATATCGCGACGAATTGAGAACCTCCTCCTTTTTTGAAGTCGGTTAAAAACTGGAGAGTATCAAGTGAACCATCTCTATCTGATCACAAGATAATTGTGTTTACGTTAGAGAACGACATTCCTGAGACGATCCTTAAGAGGAATCCTAGAAAAACAGATTGGGACAAATACAACACCATTCTAAAACAAAATTTAGCACGTATCCAAACAAAAAAGGGGCCCAGGCACCCACTTGCTCTGGAAAGCGATCTCGAAGAACTAAATGGGGCAATACTTGAGGCACATGAATCAAGCTGCCCCTTTTAAAGGAATAGAACTAGTAGGGATGCTCCTTGGTGGAACCGCCATCGGTCAAACTTACTATATTATATATACTCTATACCTGCGGCAGCGAGACTGCATAGGGCCTTGGCAAAAGGGAGAGTTTATACAGTTATGGCATTAAAGAAATCAAATGGAAGCTTCACGGAGAGTGAGGAGGAAAGAGCTCGCCTCTTACTCGAAACTCACTTTCCTGGAAGCACACCTTTTCTAATAAGGGACACAACTAAGGTAAACAGGCCCCCAAGAGAGGCCGCTGTAGTGGCCAAACACATATGCAGCCGAAATCGGTTAAAGTGGGCCTTAAACACTTTTGAACCGTTTAAGTCTAACAGGAAGTAAACTAGCTGTTATCTGTCTAAGGGATCTATCGATCGCAGGAGAAGCGGCGTTTCTATTTAATAACAAATTTCTACTCTACAAATTACCCAAGATTTGGGGAAAACGATCAAAATAGAGTCAAATGATAACTATTATATACGGCTCTAAATTAAATCCAAACTGACAATTAAGAAGAAGAAGAAGAAGAAGAAGAAGAAGAAGAAGAAGAAGAAGAAGAAGAAGAAGAATCGTACGCTCTGATATACGTGAATTTTTCCAATGTCCACTTTGGAACACTTTTTGTGGAGCTCTCTATATATTCACCATGACGGTCTGTGTCCTATAGAGTCGAACCACAGCTCAATCTTTTCAATATCCCCCAAATAATGTTCGGTAGCTAAGAAGAACCAATCTTCTTGGTTTTTCTGAAGCAATCTTTTATCCGGATCCGGATAGTTCAAAACGTGTTCCATACTATCCGAACTCCTTCCGTACAATTTTATAACGATATTGGAGGTTGTGCTAGCGTCTTTTTTGTTTCCAGTTTTTATGATGATCAAATAACCATATCTGTACGTGCTAGGTATGTCGCTCAGAAAAAATATTTCTTTGCTTGTTTCCTATAAAAAACAAACACAAATTGAAACACACTAGAAATCGGGACGAATATGTCCCAATTATTTTAAAAGAGCGCTATAAAATACGCCATTTTGAATTTAAATTGAAAACAGTATATAAAATAAGTAAATAAAAATCATAGTTAAATATTTCTACTTACTTTTCGTCCGACTATTGAAAGATACGTCAAAAATATACAATACAAAAGCCACACTATCCAAACTGTCAAAAATATGACATAACAAGCCTGAATTTCAAGCTTGTGATTTACATAAACAGTGTGTTCTTCTCTTACGGCGTTATTCGTCACTCTCCCGGACAATACAGAAGATTTATGGCATAAGCATTCAATATTTAGTATTGTAGACGTATTTGTACTCTACAAAATATTTTGTATAAATCTATCTATCTATTACGCAGTTTTACCAACCAAGAAAAGTTGGCAACACTGATAATCTTACATCGCACGAAAATTCCCATTTCCTTTCTTGGAAATTCCATTTGTAGCACGCCACCGTGTATATTTTCAAATTGAAAGACACTTCGGCTTCACCCTGTAGGATCAATGCACAATTTATAAAATGTATAAAGTTAAAATTATAAAAAATACCATTTCTTCTGAAGGTAGGATACTTAAATAGTGCCAAAGATCGTACTTTCTCTTATTTGTGACGAAGAACTTTGAATTATCTGCATTTATCTTTTGACATTTGGTTTTGAATTCAACAAAACTCGGTTTATAATATTTTGTGACATACACCTAAAACTTACCATTGATATATTCGAAAATATTAAGAACACTGCATGTTATTTAGTTATTAAAAACATTTTGAATGTTAGATAGATGGAGACTCCGTTTTTTCTCTTTTCATGTTTATTTTAAAAAGCATCTGATACAAAAAATATATGTTAGAATCCTATAGAATCCCATATTTATCTCCATCAGAAACCTAATTTTTAGTCTAGAATATTGATTATCTACTACGCTTGAATTTTAAAGCCTGAAATATTTAGTGAAATAAAATATAATCTAGTTATTAAAAACATATTTCTTTGACAGCTGTTATGAGGTTTATACAGTTCAAAAAGTTCATACCCTGACTGTCAGAGAATCAGTGGTCGCTTTTAGCATGACAACAACGTAATAAAACGGGAAAAAAAGAAGATAAATACTTACATTTAAACTACTTGAACCCAAATCAACAAATTCTATGAAATAATCTTCTTCTTTGAACACATCAATTCTATACATCGTGATTTGTTCAAAATTATAATATTTTTTATCGTTATTAGTAATATTCGGTTTTCTTGGTGTAACGCCACTGTGAGTGGTGATTAATTCTGGTACAGGGTGATCAAATGATAAATAAAATGGTTTGGAAAATTCGTTTACTCTTTTTCGTTTCGTTTTAAATTCGAGAATCGCTATGGGAGGTGATACTTCAGGCTTTGTTTGCCACCAGTACGGATTTTTCGTGCTGGTACAGAACTAAAAACAAAATATAAAGAAAATAAAATAATGGATCATCCATTTTGTTTAATTTTGTTTACCAATACATCAATCTCATCGTTTTCGTAAGGCAGAAAATCTTTGGAAGGCTGCAAAACTGTTTTGTGTGAGGCTATTGCGACGGTTAAAATGTCTTTTCCGAAAGATTTTGTAGAGGTAACGTTAAAATGTCCGCTGTCAATGTATTTACCATTATCGTACGGCGAGAAAGTAATTAGCAGAGATTTCGCATTCAAAAAACACAAATCTACTAAATTTTTGACGTAAGAATCCAGCTAAAAACATTTAATGAATTTTCAAACATTTGTAAAAAGGTTTTGAATATTTTTTTATATTCAAAAGGAGCTTTTAACAATAAGAAACCCAAAGGCGCATTCAAGGGGGTCATAAGGGGTTACAACTCCCCTCCGAAATGTTAATGATTTAGTAGCAATTCAATTCAAATGTCGTCTTTCTCATTTTAAGTTATACAAAATGGCATACTAAATCTTAATGTTAAAGTACTTTTAAAAAAATGATAGGATTTTACAATTAGTTCAAGTATATGATAAGATACGTCAATACATTACTTGAACAACTAAAATTCAGTGGCGGTTACACGGGTGGGGGGAGGAGAGTGACATGAAGTACAATTTTACCTACGTATTTAAGACGACACGTATCTGAGCGGCTTGATTAATTGTTATGAACCAAATGACCTAAAAAGCAATTATGTATTGGTGTATTGTGTGTTGCCTAATAAAATCCATATTCTCGAAACAGATGTCATTAGACAGCAATGCAAATATTATTAGTCGTTGGCCTGTAGCATGGAGGTATAATACTAATGGAGATGCCATGAGGCAATTGTTTTGCATATGATACGTTTTATTAAAAATTACTCCACTGGGCGTGGCTTAAATGGTTGACTAAGCAGGGTCGTATTCAAATATAATTAAAGTCCGTATGCAGAATTAAAACTTTTAAATGACTTACTTACCTAAGATTTGTTTCAACATGATTGATTCGAAATTAATTTGATGACATTGCGCAATTATGACTTCTGCACTATTTACTATTATTTATTAACCGTTTTCCGACCAAGCCAATGCCAAGACCATAAAAGAGATTAATATTATTATATTGTTCTGTCTTCGCCGAAACCGTCCGATATATGACCTGTGTGATCGAAAATCAACGTTCAAATAACACTGTGCATCAGATTTGTTAATCTCTTTGTGCTTTAAAACTAAAACCCGAACCACGAATATTTAAAATTGCAATAAACAATCAGTACGCATAACAGTATATGTTCAGGTATTCCAGATATTCCGGGTATTCACAGAGTAGAAGCAATACATCAAAAGAAATTATTTAGATTAGGTAAGACATTGTAAATATTATAGTCAATTAAGTTTTTTGCCATTTAGTTAAACGATCTAAAATGTCAATTATTTTTTAAGATTTCAAAGCTAAACATGGTAGAAATAAAAAGATTGGTGTTCCAAAACGAATGATTTTGAAACCTATAAAAGACGGTCCTGTGCTCGCGAGCCCAGGTGTTGTTGGTGGCTAACAACAAGGTCTACGTGACAAAAGCCATGTACGCCAACAGACTCCCGCGTGAACTAATTTAAGTGACGTAATCATATGTATATCTCTCTCTTTAAAACAATACAAAATACAAATTAGCAGAGAGGTTCATGCCTTCATGAAATAAAGATTGTCTCTCGCCAGCAATGTTAGGTATATAAAAATCACTTCAGTTCTCTAAGCAAAGATAGTACATAAAACAAAATGTGAAGTCCTAGTGCAGTATTAAACATGTAGGTAGTAGTTAAGTAAAATAATGTGAATATGTACAAAGTTGAAAGTTTTCGTGCAGCGTTTGTGCACAATAAATTGTTTTTTACAAAGTGTTGAATTTCCATTGTCCACATGGAGATGGTTGCAGCTAGCACCGACAGGAGACAGTCCATATGGTAATAAGCGTGCCTTTTGGTTCAACTATTAAAAACCTACAAATGCAACAGTTGGTAAAAACTTAATATTCCCTGGTTCGGCGTGTGTTTGTGAATTATTATTTACTAAGTTTGTTATTATATTTTTAAAAAACAACTCTTTTATGAACTATTTTTGTTTGTATAAAAATGAATTGAATAACGGTTTAGCCGAATTCATTCCTTTTGATACACTAATGTATTTTTAGTTGCTTAATAAACATTATTTATATATTATTTACCTTGAATGTACCTACTTATACCTACCTCACTTAAAGCTTTTGATACGTTCTCATCATCAAGGTAATCTGGATAATTTTCCTGAACTATTGGAAATTCTAGTAAAGGAAATTGAGTTGTGGGTTCGAACACGTCAGGAGTATCTAATAGTTCCAAATTTGGATTTAAACCTACTTGGGAACATTCAGAAAATAACCTGGAAAACATATTTTATGACTAATAGGGTAAAGTAACTCAAATTTTATCAGAAATGATAAATATGTCTCTGTTTGAATAGCAGAGAATTAATAATCGATGGAAGTTAAGTCTGGACTGTAAATGGATATTTAAATTAATAAAACTATTATTCCATAAAGTATACAATCTAATTCTTGTTATCATAAGGTTGACTTGGAACTATATATTATTGAGAAACCATCAAGCTAATCCTAGTATTGGTACCTGGTATCTTCTAATATTTCTTCGGAAAAGCTTTCTATAAACCTTTCGTGTTGAACCAACTCTAGCTCCCTCTTTGCGGCATCTTTACAGATTGTTGAAGCTTTTCGGGCAATGGTCGGGTTTTGTTTTAACTTGGTTTGCTCTGCTATTTCTTTAGAAACGCTAGATACTTGTATTGTACGATCTCTGGTATCTAGTGGAATCTGAAAAAGAAGTAACATTAGCTCGTTTTATAACATTATGTTCAATGCAGCTTCTGACCTTGTCCAATATATCAAACATTTTCATTTTGTAATCGTTCACGACGTCTTCCAGTTCTTTATTTTGAGAAATCGCTTCGAGTTCTCTGGAAAAAACGCCAAGGAATTGTACGACCTTATCGAATTTCTTCTCTTTCATCATTGCGTCGAAAGATTTTTCAGAATGTTCATCGAAAAAGGTCGATTCTATTTCTTTGATCAGTTCCTCTTTGGGTTTCGAAGGATCCATGAAGTCTTTCACCTAAAAGCGACAGAGCGTAAAGTAATTACTTTTGGATCAGTGTTGAAAAGTAAACAAAAAAGCTATCAAGTCAGGATAATACAAAAAAAAAGCCGTAGAAGTAGACGTTGTAGGGGTGGAAATTTGAAGAACACTAAGGATATCTGCAAAGAAAGAAAATATTTATCTATAATTAAATTAAATTAAAAGTGTTTGTGACTTACCGTTACATCCAAAATTTTAGAATCAGAAAATTCATATTCGTCGATAATTTTCACTTTTATTTTCGATTTTGTCGGTAGAACGAAAACGATATCCAACAATCTGGCATTTTTCTCCAACAATATTTCTAAAACATATATTTCGCTTCTTTTAACTCAAATTTAAATAATTATTTATGACATCTAGGTATTTTAATTAATTATTTACAACACCTAAAATGTGTGCGAGAATTTCAAAAATAAAAAGAATATAAAGAAAGAAGAGATCTAAATGGTATCCTTGAGGGACGCCAAATTAACTAGTAATATCGTTAAATTAGGCCAGAACATTTAAGTCTTTACCTGTTTCACCAACTATACCAAAGATCTCAAACATATAGGGCCCATCGGGATATTTGCAATGGACTGAAAACTCCGTTTTTAAAGCTTCTCCACTCTGTGGAGAAACAGAGCACGATTCAAGCTTAGGGGGTTTGTGCGTTTTGATTTCTACAGCCGTCCCACCTGTTAATTCGCCTAAAATTCAAAAAATTATTAATCGATCCCTATATATATATATATATATATATATCATACGCGTTCTAAATCATAATTAAAGTAATTGTTTTCGTTTTACCTTGGAGTTCGACTTTAAGTTCGTAGATTTCCCCGGCATCAAGTACGTTTTCTTTGATGTAAAATATTTCGTTGCTTCTGCCGTATTTTGTGTTTTTTTCGTAATCGAAGCCTGCTTTGTTGATCGACCAATGCTGTAAATCTTCTATTTTTTTATCATTTTGGCAAACTACTTTAAATATGATCGTTTCTTTGACGTTTGTCAGCAAAACTAATGGAGGACAGTTTTTTACACACCTTAAAAAATGCTTATTTATATAGATGCAGTGTAGAATATTATGCAACAAGCACGAAAAAGTTAGGTACTTACGTAATTTTTAGCTTTGCAACATTTGTTTTTACTTTAACTATCTGCGTCGTACTAACCCAATCAGATTCTCTACTTTTTACAGAAAGTTTAAAGGTGTATATATAATTTTCAACAGCAAAATGTTGAGGAACTTGTAACACAGCAACACCTGCTAAAATAATTAAAAGATCTTGTTTTTCTGTAGTTTCACAGTTAAAACAATTTTTTTTTTATTGATGCATATATAAAAAATTGTACCATTAGGCAGTTGGTCCAAAGTAGCTGATCCGTCACTCATTGTACAATTCCATTGGTACTGTAGGTGGCCCTTCTGACGTGGTGGAATTTCCATATCAATAGAATCTCTGCCATCCATCGTAAACGCCTTAGCGCTCTCTACAGTTACTTCTGAACCACCTTGTATAATAGGAATTGGGTTTTCGGGGCTTATAACAAATATACACTGTTTAAAAATTTGTTTTTAATATTTATTACTACGTATAAACATAAATGAAGTCCACAACTATTGGATAATAACTCACAGCCTCATTCAAACTGCCGCGTTGCCCGTCGTTGTATATTTCATTAACGAAAACCATAAAAGAATGCATCCCACCTCCTATCATATATGGTTCTATATGAAAAGTATCTCGATATTTGTAATGATCAAACTTCCATTCCGTCTCATCTGAAAATATGTAGAATATAGAACTAAAATTATAGCAGTTAACGTGTTAAATATTCATATTATTTCTTTACTTTCCAATATAATATCCCAATGAAAATGAAACTTATCCACTGGGCAGAGAGTTCCAGGCGTATACAAGGCCTTTAATTTGTTCAGATACCTTCTAGAAAATAATGGAGGATCATCGAAATCACTACAAAATTATTATTTAAATCATTAATGAGTTCAATACTACGAATCCTTTTTCTACATGTGCCCCCTATTAAATTCAATTTATTGTAGAGTGCAGGTACAAATGTGCTTAGTGCAACTCTGCTTTTTTAGAGGGAGTACGGTTCTGACCATTGAAATAGAATTTCTGAATTACCAAAAGTAAATTACATAAGATTTTATACTAAAATGCACATTTACCAGTTTAATATTATCAAAGTACTGCCACATTTTGAGCCAGAAACCTCTTGATTTGTATCTAAAATATTAATAACGTTTTTTTTTTTTTTCATAAATACAAGAATTTTAAAACTTATATTTTTGTACTAACCTCTTTTTCTTTCTGCTACACATCTTAGTAATAATATGCTAAAGAAAATATAAATTTTATTAGCAGAAATATTTAATTTGAATGACATTTTTGATAGTCAAATTAACATAACCGTTTAGCTAAATAAATAACAGATCCAAAGTTGCAAGAAGATAAGAAGAATATCAATGTCAAAAGTCACTATTAGGCATTCCAAACAAATGAATTACCAGTGGGCAGGTTTGGTATATCTAAGGGTGGCGACATATGGTGTATTCTATCTACTTTACGTAAAATCATGAAAAATGGATTACATTTAAATATTTTATGTCAAACACAATAAAAATAATATTTAAAAAACCCACCTATACATTTCTTCATAAATTGGCAGGCTTGGCGACTACTACTTTGAATAAAAATAGCGTCCAAGTTGCAAGACTATGTCGCTACCCCCTTAGATATACAAGAATTTCCCACTGGCACCTATTGTTTGACAGGTCGTTGGAATGCCTAATTTTCTTATGTCAGTGTCAAAACTGTCAAATGAATGAAATGTGTTAACCCACGTGTGAATTTAGATTTCCGATAATAATGGGAAAATTCAGGAGTAAATTGAAAGGGCAGACGAAAGGAAAGCGATGGCCGAAAGGACAAAGCTCCAGCTCCAACCCCGATACCAAACGATACAGAGACATTGCCAAATCGAGGTTTTTCCAAGAAAATTTAGGTTAGGTTCAACACAACACCGATAATAATAATACTGAAAATTACCAGTAACGGTAATAAAAGGATATTTATATTGTTTTTAGGTCCTAGTAACTTAACATCTGATGCTCTTAAACATCACGATGCGGTTCAATCGTATATACCGAAACCAAAGGAGTCTGTTAAAATGGATGAAGATGTTGAATCTTCAGTTGGCACCCAATCTTCGTTCATTACGATGAAATCTTTCGCTTCAGAATGGTCCGATTGCAGTAATATGTCGTACAGTAGATTTTTGAATGTTTTTCGTTCTGATTCCGCTTTGCATAAGGAAATGTTAGCGATTTTGGCTGCCATTACAGAGGTTATTAAAGAAAACGGGGGATCTGAGACACCTACGGAGTATTTTGGCGCCCTTGTATGTAGTCATTTTATTAAATAAACCTTTTGTTATATATTTAATTATGTTATCTTCAGATGACTGCTCTAGAAAAAGTTTACAATGCAGAAGTAAAGAATGAAGACCAAATAACGGCTGTGCTTGCTTTAATAAACATGGGAATTAAAAAAGTACCAGAAGGGGTTTTAAAGAAAAATTTTGATGATATATCAATAAAAATGTTGCATATACTTAGTGAATATGCAGATTGTGAAAATAATACAGTAATTAAATCAATTTTCGGGATTTTGGGAACTCTTTTAAAAATACAGGAGTTAGTTGTATGGAATCATGGATCAACAGCACAAATTTTTAATGCATTGTTGAATCCCTTTTGTGTTCATACCAAACCCAAGGTAAGTTGTGAATGATTTTTGCCTAATATGAACTTTAATTTATTATACTTAGCTTTGCTAAATTTTGATATTTTTAAAATATGTCTTGAAGATTTTAATTCTAAATCAAGAATGCTGCTATCAAATTTAAACAAATTTTATGTCACAGGGTAAAAAACTTTAATGTATATGTTAAATAGTTATTACTAACTTACCTTCAAACTAGATTAATAATTTTTGATTTTGAAGATGTAATACTACAATATCTCTCAAAATTTCAATTATATTAATTTTACTGTCATATATTGATAGATGTCCTACATACCATTTTAACATTTTTGACAGGAGTCATGTCAAATTTAGACTTTTGTACAGATTTATCAAACTCCTGTAATCAAAAGGTTATTTTAGTGGCGTAAAGCAGCTCAACACGCGGTAGCTGTAGTGATTACCAATGGCAGTTTTGTAAAGGAAAATGGCCCCAATCCAGCTGCAGATAAGGCTGCTGAATTTTGTGAACAAACTCTGGAGACCTGCATGGGCGGTTCTTCTGGTACCGTATTGGTATCTTCTGTACAAGCAGGACAAACTACTATTTTACACACACTAGGCTTACTGAAGGATATTATTTGCAAGTTTTCCAAAAATCATATAAAGGTGAGCAACCGAGAACAAGTAAATCATAAAAACATTCTACAGAAATTATTCTTACAGAAATGTTGTGAAACTATCTTGAAACTGATGACTTTGAACTACCCCATAGTTACCACCTGTGGCATGCAAGTATTGTATTCCTTATTTTCGGCCCAAAATGCTGTAGTACCGGCAAAACTCAATGCACAACTTATTACAGCACTTTATGAGTACCAACCTTCGATGTCTGACGTCCAACCCACTCAAGCTTGGGTCACTGTCATGCAACAGGCTCACGTTCATTTAGCAGAGTAAGTTTTTAAGATTTAATATTGTTTAAATACTACAAAAATGAAGTAGAGTAAGTTCTTGTCATCTCATTAGCTGTACCATTTATGGTCTTCTTTCCTACATTTTATTGTTATTAGTTTTACCTACTTATAATTTCCTCTATATTGTCCTACCTGACTTGAATTTGTGATACATCTGAAATACTTTCTTTAAAATTTGCTAGAGAGGAATTAGATATCTGAAATATTACTATGAAAGCATTTATAATGAATATCAAGTGTATCCGTTTGGATTGTGTGAATGGTACGTTTGAACTACCTACTCTTCAAAAATTTACCAAAAATCATTTACACACCTTTAAAAATTATACTGATAATATTTCTAATCAATAATAAGCATATCTAGTTTAATTTATGAAAGGTACATTTGAACTACTCTCTAAAAACCTATTAAAAAGCTGTTAGATCTATTGAAAAATTGATCTGATATTATTTCTTGTCAGTATTGTGTATGGTTAATTTGAACTATTTTTTAAATACTTGCCTGAATTCATTTAAACATCTCTAAAAATCATTTTGATATTATTTTTATCCAATATAAACCATTTCTTTTTCAAGTGGTAAAAGTTACATTTGAACTACTCTCTAAAACCTTAATAGAAAGTTGGTAGATCTATTGAAAAATTGATCTGATATAATTTTTAGTCAATATTAAACATGTTTGGTTAAATGTATGAATGATACATTTGGAATTGCTCTTTAAAAACTTGACAGATATAATTTGGATGTCTCTAGAAATTATTCTGATATTATTTTTATCCAATATTAAGTGTTTCTAATTCAATTTATGAAAGGGACATTTGAACTACTCTCTAAAAACTGATTTAAAAGCAATTAGATATCTCAAATATTAATGTGAAAGCATTTATAGTGAATATCATGTACATCTAGTTAAATTTGTGAACGGTACATTTGAACTTCTCTTCAAACATTCACCAGAAATTGTTTAAACGTCTCTAAAAATCATTCTGATAATATTTCTATTCAATATTAAGCGTGTCTAGTTCAATTTATGAAAGTTACATTTTAACTACTCTATAAAAACTTAAAAAAAAACAATTAAGATGTATCAAATATTACTATGAAAACTTTTATTATGAATGTCATGTGTGTCTGGTTTAATTTGTGAATGGTACATTTGAACTATTCTTCAATTTTTTGCCAGAAATCGTTTAGACGTTTCTAAAAAGTATTCTATTATTTTTAGTCAGTATTAAGTGTGTTTAGTTCAATTTATGAAAGGTACATTTGAACTACTTTCTAAAAACTTATTAAAAAGCAATTGGATATATCAAATATTACTATGAAACCAATTATAGTGAATATCATGTGTCTGGTTTAATTTGTGAATGGTACATTTGAACTATTCTCTAAAAACCTATTAAAAAGTAATTGGATATCTCAAATATTACTATGAAAGCATTTATAGTGAATGTCATGTGTGTCTGTTTGATTTGTGAATGGTGCATTTGAACTACATTTCAAAAATTCACCAGAAATTGTTTAAACTTATCTAAAAATCATTCTGATAATATTTCTATTAAATATTAAGCCTGTCTAGTTCAATTTATGAAAGTTACATTAGAACTACTCTTTAAAAATTTATTTAAAAGCAATGAGATATGTCAAATATTAATATGAAAGTTTTTTTAGTGAATATTATCTGTAAGGTTCAATTTGTGCATGGTACAATTGAACTACTCTTCAAAAATTTACTAGAAATTGTTTAAACATATCTGAAGAGTATTCTGATATTTATATTCAATATTAAACAGGTTTCATTCAATTTTTGAGAGGTACATTTGAACTACTCTCTAAAAACTTGTTAAAAAACAATTAAGGTATATCAAATATTATGAAAACTTATTGTGAATAGCATGTGTGTCTGGTTTAATTTATGAATGGTACATTTTAACTACTCTTCAATTTTTTTGCCAGAAATCGTTTAGACGTCTCTAAAAAGTTTTCTATTAGTTTTAGTCAGTATTAAGTGTATTTAGTTCAATTTACTTCGTTAGAATTCTAGTGAATATGAAGCGTGTAAGATTGAATTTATGAAAGGTACATTTGAACTACTTTCTAAAAACTTATTAAAAAGCAATTGGATATATCAAATATTACTATGAAAGCACTTATAGTGAATATCATGTGTCTGGTTTAATTTGTGAATGGTACATTTGAACTACTCTTCAAAATTTTTGCCACAAATCGTTTGGACGTCTCTAAAAATTATTCTGATATTATTTCTGGTTAATATTAAATGTGTCTAGTTTTATGAAAGGTACATTTGAACTAATCTCTAAAAACTTATTAAAGAGTAATAATTATACTCGTACCTATATTACTATGGAAGCATTTCTACATACTATCTATCATGTGTGTCTGGTTTAATTTGTGAATGGTACATTTAAACTACTTTTCAAAAATTCTGATATTATTTTGTCATTATTAAGCATGTCTAGTTGAATTTGAAAATGGTACATTTAAACTACTCTTTAAAAACTAACTAGCAACTATCTAGATTTCTTGAAAAATTCTGAAATAATTTCTAGTATTTGAGAATGATACATTTTAACTACTCTAAAAATTTATTAGAAAGCTGTTAGACATATCAAAAAATTAATCATATCATTTCTAGTAGTGGTTAAATTTATGAATTATACATTTGAACTACTAGCTAAAAACTAACTGGAAAACATTAAGATATTTCAAAAAATTACTCTAAGATAATTTCTAGTGAGTAGCAAGCACGTCTAGCTGATTTTACGAATGGTACATTTGAACTACTCATTAAAAACTTATCAGAAAGCGTTTAAATGCTAAGAAAATTACAGAGTGATCCTTTTCAGTTAATATTAAACGTGTATAAGTTGTGTGACATCTAAAAAAAATACTCTTGACAGAATGTTAGTGAATATGAATCATATATATGATTGAATTTATGAATGGTACATTTGAACTACGCTCCAAAAACTTAAAAAATGATTCTTATTTCTCATCTAGCGAATATTAAGCGTGTATGGTCAATTTGTGAAGGGTACATTTGAACTACTCTAAAAACAAACTAGAAAACGTTCCCATCTCTTGAAAAATTACTCAAAAATTATTTCTAGTGAGTATTTAAGAGTGGTATATTTGAACTAATCTCTAAAAACTGACTAGAAAACGTTAAATGTCTCAAAATTTTTTCTAAGATAATTTCTATTGAGAATCAAATGTGTTGGGTTGAAGCTACGAATGGATCATGTAAAAACTCTTTAAAAACTGGCCAGAAGCGTCTAAATGTCAAGAAAATTACACAGTGAGCATTTCCAGTTAATATTAAACATTTTTAGTGAATTTTATGTTACATTTAAATCATTCTTAAAAACGTACTAGCATTCGTTTAGATATCTCAATAAATTACTCCGTTAGAACTCTAGTGAATATGAAGCGTGTAGGACTGAATTTATGAATGGTACATTTGCACTACTCTCTAAAAACTAACTAGAAAACAATTAGATGTCTTGAAAAATTATTCTAAGATAATTTCTAGTGAGTATCAAGTATGTTTGGTTGAATTTACGAATGGCTTATTTGAACTACTCTTTAAAAACTTATTAGAGAGCTGTAGTAGAAGTATTGAAAAATTAATCTGATATAATGTCTAGTAAATATTAAGCATGATACATTTAAACTACTCTCAAAAACGTACTAGAATTTATTTATGTTTCAAAAAATCACTGTTTTAGATTTCTAGTGAATATGAAGCGTGTGGGACTGAATTTATAAATGGTACATTTGAACTACTCTTTAAAAAATACTAGGAATCGTTTAAATGTTAAGAAAATTACAGAGTGATTTTTTTCAGTTAATATTAAAAGTGTATAAGTTTTGTGACATCTAAAAAAAATACTCTTGACAGAACGCTAGTGAATATGAAGCATATATATGATTGAATTTATGAATGGTACATTTGAACTACGCTCCAAAAACTTATCAGAAAATGATTCTTATTTCTTATCTAGTGAATATTAAGCGTGTATGGTCAATTTATGAAGGGTACATTAGAACTACTCTTTAAAAACTAACTAGAAAACGTTCGCATCTTTTAAAAAATTACTCAGAGATCATTTCTAGTGAGTATTTGAGAATGGTGCATTTGAACTACTCTCTAAAAACTTATTAGAAAGTTATTAGATGTTAAAAAAATTAATCAGATTAATTTCTAGTGAATATTAAGTGTTTACGGTAGCATTTATGAATGATACATTTGAATTAATTTCTAAAACTAACTAGGAAACGTTTATATCTCTAGAAAAATTACAGTAAAATAATTTCTAGTTAGTATCAAGCATATCTGGCTGAATTTATGAATGAAATATTTGAACTATTCTTTAAAAACTTGCCAGAAAGTGTTTATATCAAAAAATTACACAGTGATGAGCATTCCCAGTTAATATTGATTGTGTCTAGTTAAATTTGGTTATAGTACATTTGAGCTACTCTCAATTAATTATAAAGAGTATAAGATAGGGTAAGAACTGGTGAGTTAACAGGCTAATCTATTTTGCAGTGTCGATATTTCTTTGGCGATGGCAGCTCTGCCGAAGATCTTCGACGCCATAACTCAGCTTTGGCTCTCCGAAAAAGCGGAAATCATGACGAAGGCAACACACAGCTTGGATATCTTGATAAGGGACGCTCTAATAAACGCGTGCAGTTCAAGAGAATTGGTCGAGCAGCACAAATCGAAAATAGAACGCTGCATTCAGACGATTCAACTGGGATTGGGGTACCAGTTTAACGCCAGTTGGCATCAAGTGCTACACGTGATCAGCACCCTATTCGAGGTGACAGGTTCCCATTGCAGCGATATGTTACTGGGGTTGTTAAAGAGCTTAGCCGAATTGAGAGATTCTTATAAATTCAGCTATAACAATGAATTAGAACATGCTGTTGGTGCAGCTATAAGATCTATGGGTCCAGAGGTTGTCTTGGAAGTAATATCTCTAAAGGTTTGTTGCTTTTATTCGATAAAAAAATACCTTGTAACTAAATTATGTTGTTTTTTTTTTTTTAGAAACCAAATGGCGATCTTAACATCGACCGATCCTGGTTGCTGCCCGTCCTCAAAGAGAACATCAAATTCTCTACATTGGAATACTTTGTCAAAGGAATCTTACCCCTCGCGCTCTTCTGCCATCGAAGATCCGCCCAATTGGCCCAAAACAACGACGGAATCGGAGCTCATAGCTCCGAGTTGCTCTATTTACAACTGTGGAATCTGCTTCCATGTTTCTGTAACCATCCGAAGGATATCCAGGATGGTTTCAAGGTAAATATATCGTATAAATGTACAACTTGATTATAAGATTCAACCCCATTTGATTTTTATTTAATTACATTTTATTCTAATCGAACGTCTTGCTAGATGACCGGAATATATTATTTTAGTTTTTATACATATTAATTTAATTATTTTATAAAGAAAACATTAATTCAATCCAATTAGAGTCTTTTTTTGTCCCTAAACACATTGAACTGTACTAGACAACCCGGTTTAGTTCCTCATATTTTCAGACTGTCGCCAAAGTCATGGGTACGGCGATTTCCGATAAAAAGGAGCTACGTCTGGCCGTCATGGCGGCCTTAAGAAAGCTGATAGTCAGCGCCAAAGAATCCGAAAACCCGGAGGATCTTCAGGAAATGAGCAGATTCGATAAGAACTACTTGCCGATTTTGTTCAACCTGTACACCACGAAGCCCATCGGTACTGACGAGGAAGGACAAAGATTGGCGGCTTTAGATACGACCAAAGTAAGTTTATTGTACAGTATAAATAGTATATTTCCATCTATCTTCTTTATTTTAGCTGTATCTATCGATAGCTAGGCCGGAATTAACGCAACAGCTCTTCGCGAACGCTTTGGAGCGTTTGAACAGTAGTTCAGATGAACCGGAAGATCATTTCATAAAGGAATCCATTTTGGATTTGATCCGCGCGTTGGTACCGTACCAGAACGACGAAAATATCAACACCCTGTACCAGCAATGCATCAAAAACCTGCCTGATATTAAAAACAGTAAAGAACAGAAGAAGGCGTACAGATTGCTGGAGGAAATTTGCGGCAGCGAATCAGAGGGGTGTAAAAATTTCGTTAAAAGTAACAGAAAAGAGGTAAGTAGGTCAAATGTACCAAAATCGATTGTAACGTCCATGGAAATTGATTGATGGAGTCCTAGCAGAGATTTTATAAAAAGGTTGGATATTAATGGGCCTTCAGTTGTAGACTCTTTAGTCATAGATACTGAAGACTTCTAGATATGCTTTGTGCTATATTAGTATGGCTGCAGTTGATTCTTGAAAGTGTAGATATACAAGAACTGCAAGTTTTCTGATTCATATATTGGCTGTTGTAGAGTTTTTAAGGATGTAGACCTTTAAGAAACTTCTAGTGATTATTTATATCAAAGTTCTAAATAATATCTCTTCAAAATCTTACAATTTTAGCAACTTATATTCCTCCTGATTCTAATGAAACAATTTACTCAACTCATGGTGCCACATTTGGGGTTTTGTCAGTATGGTTTTATCTCTGGCAAATTTACTGTGACAATTCAAATAATGTATCAGAATATCATTCATTCATTTGAAGTGAATAATAAACGTTTATGGTTGAATTTATAAATGACACATTTGAACTATTCTCTAAAAACTAACTAAAAATGTATAGATGTCCCATAAAATTAGTCTAAAATAATTTTTAGTGAGTATCTAAGCGTGTTTGGTTAAATTTACGAATGGATCATTTGAACTACTCTTTAAAAACTGACCAGAAAGCTTTTAAATGTTAGGAGAATTACATGGTAAGCATTTCCAGTTATTATTAAACGTGTTTAGTTGAATTTGTTAATGTTTCATTTGAACTACTCTCAAAAACGTACTACAATTCGTTTAGATGTCTCAAAAATGAAGTGTGTATGATTGAATTTGTGAATGGTACATTTAAACTACCCTAAAAAGTAACTAGAAAACGTTTAAATGCGTCAAAAAATGTTCTAAGATCATTTCTAATGAATATCAAGTGTGTTTGGTTGAATTTAAAAATGGAACATTTGAACTACTCTTTGAAAAATGGCTAGTTGAATTTATTAATGTTACTTTAAACTACTCTTAAAAACATACTACAAATCGTTTAGATGTCTCAAAAATTTACTTCGTTAGAATTCTAGTGAATATGAAGCGTGTAAGATTGAATTTATGAAAGGTTCATTTGAACTACTCTCTAAAAATACTAACTAGAAAACGTTTAAATGTCTAAGATCATTTCTAGTGAATATCAAGGGTGTTGGTTTAATTTACGAATGTAACATTTGAACTACTCAGTAAAAATTAACTATTAAACGATCAGATGTGTCGAAAAATTATTCCAATATCATTTCTAATATTTGTATTAAGCGTGTTGGATTGAATTACGAATGGAACATTTGAACTACTCTTTAAAAACTGGCCAGAAAGCATGTAGATGACAAGAACATTACAGCATGAGTATTTCCAGTTAATATTAATTGTGTCTAGTTGAATTTGTTATTGGTACATTTGAACTACCCTCAAAAACGTACTGGAAAGTGTTTAAATGTCTCAAAAATTACTCCGATATAATTCTAGTAAATATAAATCGTGTATGGTTGAATTTATGAATGGTACATTTGAACTACTCTCTAAAAACTAACTAGAAAACAATTAGATGTCTTGAAAAATGATTCTAAGATCATTTCTAGTGAGTATCAAGCATGTTTGATTGAATTTATGAATGGAACATTTGAACTATTCTTTAAAAACTTATTAGAAAGCTATTAGAAGTATTGAAAAAATAATCTGATATCATTTCTAGTAAATATTAAGCATGTTTGATTGAATTTATGAATGGAACATTTGAATTATTCTTTAAAAACTTATTAGAAAGCTATTAGAAGTATTGAAAAAATAATCTGATATCATTTCTAGTAAATATTAAGCATGTATGTTTGAATTTATGAATGATACATTTGAACTACTCTCAAAAAAGTACTAGAAATCATTTAGATGTCTCAAAAAATTACTCCGCTAGAATTCTAGTGAATATGAAGCGTTTAGGACTGAATTCATGAATGGTACATTTGATCTACTCTTTAAAAATTAACTAGAAAACAATTAGATGCCTTGAAAAATTATTCTAAGATCATTTCTAGTAAGTATCAAGCATGTTTGGTTGAATTTACGAATGGAACATTTGAATTACTCTTGGCCAAAAAGCATTTAAATTCTAGTAAATATTGAACGTGTCTAGATCAATTTGATAATGGTACATTTGAATTACTCTCAAAAACGTACCATTTTATAGAAACTCTTGGTACATCTTAAAAAATTACTCTTCTAAAATTCTAGTGAATACTAGATGTTTATGGTTGAATTTGTGAATGATACATTTGAATTACTCTCTAAAAACTAGCTAGAAAATGTTTAGATGCCTCGAAAAATGATTCTAAGATAATTTTTCTAATGAGTATCAAGAATGTTTGACTGACTTTACGAATGAGACATTTGAACTACTCTTTAAAAACTTTGCCAGAATGCGTTTAGATGTTCAGTGAATATTTTCAGTCGATATCAAGATTGATATTCCTTCTTTTTCTATTTTTTCGGTGATGTTTTCTCAAAGATTTCTAATTTAAAGGACAACTTAAGCTTTAGTCCTGCATATTACCTATTTATATGCATATTTATTAAATATACCTCTGTGTAACATGTTTAACCAGTCAATTTATAACCCTGTAACCCTGATTTCAGTAAAGCGTTTGACTTGTTCTTCACAAATTTAAATTAATTGATTTTCCAATTTGTTTACCCAGTTACCTTAATAGGGAAACACAATTTGTGAAAATTAAAAATCACATTTAAAAGCTAGTAATAATTTCATCGGGAGTTCCGCAGGGATCACATTTGGTACCACTGTTTGTAGTCATTAATCAGAGGCAGAAAGTAACGACCCTAGAGATACTTTACAAGTAGTCTCCACGTCTTTAGATTAATATGGCGGCTGTGCTTAATGATGTAAACCTTTCATAGACGTCCCGATATGATTTTTCAAAAGTCCTACATGAAATCTTTGTTATATTTACGTAATTTAAACGTTGTTAATTGACAGCACCAAAACTTTTCCTAGGTACAACGCCTCTTGATGAAATCTTTAAATTCCGCCGCGGTATCGAGCAAAGGCGCCAGATTGCGCTGCTTGAATTACCTCATCAAAGCCCAACCGCAACTGGACCACGATTCGAAACTGATTAAATCTGCCATACCGGAGACCATACTGTGTTGCAAGGATATCAACGAGAAATGTCGGGCCACCGCCTACGAACTTTTGAATACCATCGGGAATACGCTGCTCGGCCACGATAAGATGCAGGAATTTTTGACGTTGATGATAGCAGGACTGGCAGGAAGTCCGCAACTGGTTAGTTGTACCGTGCTGGCTTTGGCGTCGGTGCTTCACAATTTTTCAGGTCTGTAAAATACGTACAAATGAAAAATTATTGTGTAAAACTTGATTTTTTTGTAGGCACTTTGGGAATGGATAACATACGAGTGATTTTGACTAATGTCTGCACTTTAACCGGTTCAAAAACGCGAGAAATCGTCGCGTCCTGTCTCAGCTTCATCAAAGTCTATATCACCTGTCTTCCCAGTCCCATGATAGCCTCCTCTTTGGAAATTCTGGTAAATACCATAAATATATTTCTTTCTACTTCTAAGTAATGTAATTTCTTTTAATTATTATGTAGATGAAAGGTTTAACGGGCATGACGGAAGATTGCAAGCGACATTTTCGGTTGAAAATTCGCGACATTTTAGATAGGCTGGTTAGGAAGTACGGTTGCGAATCTCTCACACCTTTCGTGCCCAACGACGATACGGTCATGTACAAGAGATTGAGGAACTTGCGAAAGTTGAACGCCAGGAAGAAGAGGAGGAAAGAATCGGAACAGGACGAATACAGCGACGAGGAAGAATTTACGGTCAAAGCGAAGCCGAAAAGGTAAATATGTAATAGATCATCCTACTGACTGCGCCATGTTGTAGAGAATTGTTCAGAAGATTTTTAAATAACACTTAAAATATCCTTATAACGATCTCCGAGAAATGTATTGTCATTATCATAAAGAACAAAGTATTGAACTTGATCATAGAAAATCTTTAAGTATTATTTAGAAATCTTAATAATTCTCTACGAAATATAATATTTTGGTGGAACTGCTGCTACGACAATAATACTGTTTTAGTGTTGAAGACATTTTGGCGGATTCTGATTCTGAATTCGAAGATATGGAAACAGATCAGCCGAAGGTTAAAAGTAAAAAACAAAGCAAGACGTGGATCGAAGAAGATCCCGATAGTATCGTCGATTTTACTGATCCTACTGTCGTTAGCAAGATATCAGGTAAGATTAGTTTCATTTAACCTGCCATTTCTAACCCAATTTTTATATAATTATTAATTTTTTTGTAGTTTAGTTCAACTGATTTTGTTATTTACATACAATTATATCCATAGTAATTTTGGAAACATCTAAAAGCTTTCCAATCGATTTTTATGATTTTAGTTGAAACGTTCCACTGGCAAATTAAATTTTAGAACATCTACCAACTTTCATATCGTTTTTAAGAAGGTAGTTCAAATGGACCAGTCATAAATTTAACCAAGTACTTCATATTTACAAGTAATGATCTCTAGAGTAATTGTTGAAACATCTAACTGCTTTCCAATCAGTTTTTAAGACAGTAGTTCAAATGTTCCAGACGTAAATTTACCCATACGTACTTAATATTTTCAATTAATGATGTCCACAATAATTTTAGAAACATCTATAAACTTTCCAATCAGTTTTTAAGACAGTAGTTCATAAATTTAACCAGACATACTTCATATTTACAAGTAATAATCTGCAGAGTAATTGTTGAAACATTTAACAGCTTTCCAATCAATTTTTATGACAGTAGTTAAAATAATTCAATTATAAATTTAATCGGATACCCTTGGTATTTACAAGTAATGATCTCCAAGATACTTTTTGAAACTCCTGTCAACTTTTAAATCTATTTTTAAGACATTAGTTCAAATGGACCAGACGCCAATTTACCCAGATATACTTGATATTTACAAGTAATGATCTCTAGAGTAGTTTTTGAAACATTAACAACTTTCCAAACAGTTTTTAAGACAATAGTTCAAATGTTCCAGTCGTAAATTGAACTAGATATATTTGATATTTATAAGTAATGATCTCTAGAGTAATTTTTAAAACATCTAACAGCTTTTCAATCGATTTTTAACATTTTAGTTCAAATATTCCACTGGTAAATTAATCAGACATACTTGATATTTACAAGTAATGATCTCCAGAGTAATTGTTGAAACATCTAACAGCTTTCCAATCAATTTTTATGACAGTAGTTCAAATGTTCCAATTATAAATTTAATCGGATACCTACCTACCCTTGGTATTTACAAGTAATGATCTCCAAGCTAATTTTTGAAACGTTTGTCAACTTTGAAATCTATTTTTAAGACAGTAGTTCAAATGTTCCAGTCGTCCATTTAACCAGACATACTTGATATTTACAATTAATGATCTATAATTTTTGAAACATCTAACAGCTTTCCAATCAGTTTTTAAGACAGTAGTTCAAATGTTCCAGTCGTAAATTTAACAAGATATATTTGATATTTACAAGTACTGATCTCCAGAGTAATTTTTAAAACATCTAACAGCTTTTCAATCGATTTTTTAGATTTTAGTTCAAATGTTCCACTGGTAAATTAATCAGACATATTTACAAGTAATGAGATTCAAAGTATTTTTTATAACATCTACCAACTTTCAAATGGTTTTAAGACAGTAGTTCAAATGGACCAGTCATAAATTTAACCAAACATACTTCATATTTACAAGTAATGATGATCTCCAGAGTAATTGTTGAAACATCTAACAGCTTTCCAATAAATTTTTATGACAGTAGTTCAAATGTTCCAATTTTGAATTTAATCGGATACCTACCTACCCTTGGTATTTACAAGTAATGATCTCCAAGCTAATTTTTGAAACGTCTGTCAACTTTGAAATCTATGTTTAAGACAGTAGTTCAAATGTTCCAGTCGTCCATTTAACCAGACATACTTGATATTTACAATTAATGATCTATAATTTTTGAAACATCTAACAGCTTTCCAATCAGTTTTTAAGACACTAGTTTAAATGTTCCAGTCGTAAATTTAACTAGATATATTTGATATTTACAAGTACTGTTCTCTAGAGTAATTTTTAAAACATCTAACAGCTTTTCAATCGATTTTTAAGATTTTAGTTCAAATGTTCCACTGGTAAATTAATCAGACATACTTGATATTTACAAGTAATGATCTCCAAAGTATTTTTATAACATCTACCAACTTTCAAATCGTTTTTAAGACAGTAGTTCAAATGGACCAGTCATAAATTTAACCAGACATACTTCATATTTACAAGTAATGATCTCCAGAGTAATTGTTGAAACATCTAACAGCTTTCAAATCGGTTTTTAAGATAGTAGTTCAAATGTTCCAGTCGTAACTTTAACCAGATATACTTTATATTTACAAGTAATGTTCTTTAGAATAATTTTTAAAACATCTAACAGCGTTTTAATCTGTTTTTAAGACAATAGTTCAAATTGTAAATTTAACCAGATTAACTTGATATTTACAAATAATGACACCCCAAGTAATTTTTGAAACATTTAACAGCTTTGCAGTTTCAGTCCTCAATTTAACCAGAACTGAGATCAAAATTTTCAAAAAAGGATTTCGATGTAGTTTTTTTTTTTAAACTTTTAAATTCTGTACATGCTTTCTAGCAAGTTTTGTTAGTAGTTTAAATGTACGATTTGTAAATTCTTAATTTTAACCGGTTTCAGAGTAGTTTTTGAAACCTTTAAATGCTTTTTAATCGATTTTAAAGGGGGGTAGTTCAAAGGTATCATTCATAAATCAGATTGATATTAAGAAGTGTTTTCTGGTATGTTTTATGATAGTAGTTCAAATGTGATTCATAAATTCTACTTTATACACTTGATACTCATAATAAACGATTTCAAATTTATTTTTGAATCGTCTATGTCAGTTTTTAACCTAGTAGTTCAAATGCTTCATATACATTTTAGATATCTACATGCTCTCTGATAAGTTTTAAGATAGTTGTTCTCGTTTAAATGTACTATTAGAGACCCTATTCAATGCCCGGTAATTTTTTTTTTTTTTTTTAGTTCTGTAGTTCACAAACAAAATATTTATTTTTAATTCTCTTCCAGCAACGAAACCGGGCGAAAAACCGCAAGCGCTGCTCGACAAAAAGAAAGCGGAAAGAGATCGCGGCTTCAAAACGGCCCCCGACGGTAGACTCATCATCAAGGACGACTCGTCTTCAGACGACGAGTCCGATAAGAAACTGAAATTCGAACCCGACTCCGACACTGATGACGACGACGATTCCCAAAGCAAAGCCGAAACGTTACTGTTAACGGATCGCAAACGCAAAAGAAGCGCAGCCTCCAGCGTCAAGAGTGGTTTCAGCTCGGTCAGTGCACAGCCGCCCATGAAGTACAAGAGCGGTGGAGTCGGCATTCACAGGTAAAATATAGTTTTTTTTAGGGGGGGGGGGGGCACCTTTCATAGGTAATGTTTCAGACTGCTACCGGCTAAAACCCCCTTTTTGCCGGATATTCTGGAACCACTTATCGCATTCATAATTTTTTGGTACTAGACAGGCAGTAAAAATGACACTTAGAAACTATTTCAATAACTCCTAGGCAAGCCGGACAGTAAAAATGACACTACGTAATTATTTTAGTAAAAATGACACTTAGTACCTATTTCAGTAACTGCTAGGCAAGCCAGGTAGTAAAAATGACACTTGTTTACTGTTTTAGCAACTCCTAATCATCCCAGGTAGTAAAAATAGTAGTTAATAGTATTAAAAACATTTCTAAGTAATTTCTAGAGATGTTAGACTGGAAAAAATTACATCTAGTAAACTTGTTAAGAACATCCAATCATGTTATGCAGTAAAAACCACACAAACTAACCCGATAGTAAAAAATGACACTTAGAAGCTATTTTAGTAACTTCTAGTCATTTCAGACAGTAAAATTGACACTTGGTAAATATTTAAATAACTGTTAGGCAAGCCAGGCAGTAAAAATGACCTTAGTAACTATTTTTGTAATTTGTAGTCATCCCAGGCGATAAAAATTACACTTAGTAATCATTTCAGTAACTGCTAGTCAGTAAAAATGACACAATTCCTATTTCGGTAACTGCTAGACAAGCCAGGCAGTAAAAATGATGCTTGGTAATTATTTTAGTAACTTCTAGTCATTTCAGGAAGTAAAATTGACACTAGTAACCATTTTAGTAAAGTATTAGGCAACAAGGTAGTAATAGCGACCCTTAGTAGCTATTTTAGTAATTTCTATTCATTCTAGACAGTAATATTGACATTAAGTAACAATTTCAGTAACTATTAGGCAAACCAGGCAGTAAAAATGACGCATAGTAAATATTTTTGTAACGTTTACTCATCCCAGGCGATAAAAATGACAGTATCCATTTGAGTAACTGCTAGTCGTGCCAGGAAGTAAAAATGACAGTAACCATTTGAGTAACTGCTAGTCGTGCCAGGAAGTAAAAATTGGTAACTATTTTAGTAACTTCTAGTCATTCCAGAAGTAAAATTGATACTTACTAACCATTTCAGAAACCTTTAGTCATTTCAGATAGTAAAATGGACAGTTAGTAATCATTTCAGTAACTGCTAAGCAAGCCTTGCAGTAAAAAAGACGCTTAGTGGCTATTTTTGTAACTTTAGGTGGTAAAAATAACCATTTCAGTAATTGCTAGTCGTGCCAGGCAGTAAAAATTACACAATTCCTATTTCGTTAATTGCTAGACAAGCCATGTAGTAAAAATGACAGTTGGTAACTATTTTTGTAACTTCTAGTTATTCCACACAGCAAATTCAGTAACTGCTAGTCGATTAGGCAGTAATTATGACCCTTAGTAGCTATTTTAGTGACTTCTAATCATTCCGGACAGTAAAAATGACACTTAGTAACCATTTCTGTAACTGTTAGGCAAACTAGGCAGTAACAATAACGCTTGTAACTATTTTTGTAACTTGTAGTCATCCCAGATGGTAAAAATGATACTTGTAACCATTTTAGTAATTTCTACCTATTTCAGTAATTGCTAGATAAACCAGGCAGTAAAAATTACGCTTGGTAATTATTTTTGTAACCTTTAGTCATCTCAGGCGAAAAAATTACACTTAGTAACAATTTGAGTAACTGCTAGTCGTGTCAGGCAGTAAAAATGACACTTGGTAACCATTTCAGTAACTGCTAGGCTATCAGACAGTAATAATAACCTTTAGTAGCTATTTTAGTAATCCAAGAGAGTAAAATTGATATTTATTAACCATATCAGTAACTGCTAGGTAAGCTAAGCAGTAAAAATTACGCTTTTTGTAACTTTCAGTAATCTTAGACTGTAGAAATGACATTTAGTAACCAGCTCAGTAACTTCCAGACATGAGCGGCAGTAAAAATGACATTTGGTAACCTTCGGACAGAAAAATTATACTTATTAACCATTTAAGTAGCTTGCAGTTATAAAAAAGTAAAGAAGTCACTTAGTAATCATTTTAGTAACTTCTTGTCATCTCAGGCAGTAAAGAAATAATACATTAGATTTCAGTAACTGCTAGGTAAGCCAGGCAGTTAAAATGACATTTGATAACTATTTTAGTAACTTTACTCATCCTAGACAGTAAAAAATACACTTAACGACTGGTTTTTTAACTTTCAGTTACCCCAGAAAGAAAAATTAAGACTTCGTAATTTTGTTAGTAACTTCTATATGTGACAGGCAGTAATAATGACATTTGGCAACCTACAGATAAAAAAAATATACACTTGTTCACCGTTTTAGTAGTTTGGAGGAATGACAGGAAGCAAAAAAGTTACTTAGTAACTTCCACAAATGTTATACTGAAAAAATGACACCTAGTAAATAATTTAGGAACTTACAAGTCATGTCAGGCAGTAAAAATTACACTAAATAACCATTTTGATAACTTCCAGATATGTAACGCAGAAAAGGTGACAACTACTACACCTTTTAGTAACCTCTAGATAATAAAAAATACATTTAGTAACTTCCAATCATGACAGGCATTATAAATAACGTTTAATAAACATGCAAAATGAATAATAATGTATAGTTTTTTTATTAAAAATTAAAATGTACTACATCTATTCTTCTAGGACGATTGGAGCAAGCACTTCGTCTGTCAAAAGTGGCTACAGCACACCGGGTTCAGATTATCGATCCAAAAAAGCATCTGGCGATGTTAAAAAGAAAGGCAAAGTTGACCCGTACGCCTACTTACCTCTAAAACGAACAGCTTTAAACAAAAGGTAAGAATTTTGAATAATTTGTGACATTCTAACAACTGTCAATGTCATATCTGTCATTATTTCCTATATTAATGACATTTGTCACTGTCAGATATTGTTTTTTTTATGGGTAGTAAATGACATTTGACAGTAGGAAGATGTTTTTAAAACGTGTTTTTTTCAGGAAAAAGAATAAGGCCGCCGGTCAATTCAAGCACATAGTGAAGGCGGCCAAATCGGGGGCATTGAAGGGGGCGAAAGCGAAGAAAAACAGAAATAAGTAATTGTTATTTTTATTTAAGTTTACAAATTATAGAAAATAAATCGTATTAACGTTTTCTGGTGACTTTTATTGTATATAAAAAAAAGAAATCAATTATTTTTTATAATATGCAACCCTACAAAAAAAATGAGGTAATGAGAAGATAATTTCAATGTATTATAAACATTGTCAGTGTCGTTATGACAAACGATATAAATATATCTACCAAAACCTAATTAAAAAATTCACAATTATTATTAGAGCTGCTATCAAGTTTGAATGTACCATCTCGTAATCGCAACTCAAACTTCAGTAGTTTAAATGCACCATTTCGTTTTTAGTAATTTCATTATTAATACCATCCAATTACCAGTAGTTCATTTGTACCATTTTTGCTTTACAATTAACCACAAATTGAAATGCGTCTTATAATTCCTGACTAATAGGAAGAGTAAATAGTTCAAATGCACCGTTACGTAACTGTAACTCTTGAATTTCACACCTCTAGAACTGCACAATATTAGTGAATGTCAAATGTAGTTCATTCGGAATAATAAACTAAATCTAGTAATAATTTGTTTTTTAATAGCGTGTGTGAAATCAGGACATTTGAACTACTTCGAATTTAATTAAGGTCATGAAAAGTGACTAGATCAATTTCAAATTAATTCGCTTTCTAATAACAGGTTCAGCCACGTTTACGACCTGTATATTTGATCTACTAATTCAATAAAAATGTATTTAGCTTGAAGATGACAACCAAATATAGAAAAATGAAACTTCATAAAAAATTGGCACCCAGACATAGGCATCGTAGCAATTTCTAACGAATTAAAAAAGAATAGTTCAAATGTACCATTAAATAACTATAATTATTGAATTTCACACATTTGAATTCGCTTTTTAATAACAGAGATACATCGACGTCTGAGACCGATACATTTGAACTAATCGTCTTTTCATTCAATACGAAATGTATTTAACTAGCCTAAAGGTGCTAGCCAACTATTCATATAAAAAAAATGGAAACTAGGTGAAAAATTTGCACCTAAACATAGCGTGCAGATTTATAAACATAAATGAAATCAGGACATTTGAACTATTTCCAATTTAATAACCAAGTTAGAGTGACTTCTACGACCGGTACATTTGAACTACTCATGTTTTAATTCAATAGAAAATGTATTTAAATAGCTTGAAGATAGCCAAATATTAAAAAAGGAATCTGATTTAAAATTGGCACCCAAACAGGCAATTTCTGACGAATTAGAAGATCAATAGTTCAAATGTATTGTTACCTAATTAATTCTAAAAAACGGCACCGCCACCACCATTGATGGACATCAAATTTAATTAATTCGAAACAAACTACATCTGACAATTATCTTTTTAATAACAAGAGTATTTATAAAATTGGGACACTTGAACTACTTCGAATTTAATTAAAGCTCATAAAAAGTAACTACACCAAATTTCAAATTAATTTGCTTTTTAATAACCGAGTTACAGCGACGTCTACGATCGGTACATTTGAACTACTTTTATTTAATTCACCAAAAAAATGTATTTAACAAGCTTGAAGATGCCAGCCAAATATAAAAACCGGAAACTAGGTAAAAATTGACATCTAAATATAGATGACGTCGCAATTCCTGATAAATTGGAATATTAATAGTTCAAATGTACAGTTACATAACTGTAAATCTTGTATTTTACACCTCTAGACCCACTCGCCATTAACGGATATCAAAAGTAATTAATTTATAGCAACAAACTAAATCTGGCAATAATTTGATTTTTAATAACCGTAAAACAAGAGCGTTTATGAAATCTGGACATTTGAACTACTTTGAATTGAATTAAAGCTCGTAAAAAGTAACTAGCCCAAATTTCAAATTGGCATTTTAATAACCGATGTACAACGACATCTAAGACAAGTACATTTGAACTACTCATGTTTTAATTTAATAAAAAAATTAAATTAACTAGCTTGAAGATGTCAGTTAAATATTTATATAAAAGAAAACTGGGTGAAAGTTGGCACTTAGACAGGCATGCGGATTTATAAACATGTATGAAATCGGGACATTTTAACTACTTCCAATTTAATTAAAGTTCATATAAAGTAACTAACCCAAATTTCAAATCAATTCGTTTTTTAATAACCGAGATATAGCAACATCTACAACCGGTACATTTAAACTACTCTAATTTTCATTCAATACGTAATGTATTTAACTAGCTTGAAGATGCTAGCCAAATATTTATATAAGAAAGGAAAATAGGTGAAAATTGGCACTTAGACAGGCATACGGATTTATAAACATAAATGAAATCGGGACATTTGAACTACTACCAATGTAATTAAAGTTCATATGAAGTAACTAACCAAAATAACAAATTAATTCGCTTTTTAACAAGTGATACAGCGACGTCTGAGACCGGTACATTTGAACTACTCATATTTTAATTCAATACGAACTGTATTTAACTAGCTTGAATATGCCAGCCAAATATTTATACAAAAAAAAAAGAAAAATGGGTGAAAATTGGCACTTAGACAGGAATGTGGATTTATAAATATGTATGAAATGAAATCGGGACATTTGAACTACTACCAATTTAATTAAAGTTCGTATAAAGTTACTAACCCAAATTTCAAATTAATTCGCCTTTTAATAACCGAGATACAGCGACGTCTACGATCGATACATTTGAACTACTTATATTTTTATGCAATACAAGTTTGAAGATGTCTGCAAAATATTAAAAAACGAAAACTGGGTCAAAAATTGGCACTCAGGCATAGGTGTGCGGATTTATAAACACGTATGAAATGAAATCGGGACATTTGAACTATTTCCAATTTAATTAAAGTTCGTGTAAAGAAACTAACCCAAATTTCAAATTAATTCGCTTTTTAATAACCGAGATACAGCGACGTCTACGATCGGTACATTTGAACTACTTATATTTTTATTCAATACAAGCTTGAAGATATCTGCCAAATATTAAAAAAGGAAACTGGGTTAAAAATTCCTGACGAATTAAAAGCCGAGTAGTTCAAATGTACTGTTACATAACTGTAATTCATGAATTTCACACCTCTAAATCGCACGCCATTAATGGATGTCAAATGTAATTCAAAACAAACTAAACCTGTCAATAATTTGTTTTAATAACCATAGCACAAGAGTGTGTATGAAATCGGGACATTTGAACTATTTCGAATTTAATTAAAGCTCGTAAAAAGTAACAACACAAATTTTAAATTAATTTGCTTTTTAATAACAGAGTTACATCGACGTCTACGACCGGTACATTTGAACTACTCATATTTTAATTTAATAAAAAAATTGATAGCACTCTTATAGAAATCTTTAAATAATTAACTAAAAGTATCTAAGTAAATAATTAAAAATATTTGCTATAAATGTGTATATATATAAAAAAAAATCTCACTATACAAATCAAGAGTAATAATATAATAACATAGACATAGAAATAAATATACAATTTTTAAAAACTAAACTACACAATTTTTCTAAATTTCTGATTTTTTTTAAGACTATTATTATAAGCAACAAATATTGTACAGGCTTTTTTTTATTTTTAATATATTTTCAACGTTCACCCAATATAAAACCAGCGTCATGTTGTATAATCAACAGAGAGGATCAAAAATATAAAAAAAATATCATTTTTGTACTATATAAAATGACGTTATTCCATAAAACAAAATTTAGAATCTCAAAACGTAAACCCCAAAAAACGTTTCAAATAAATAAAAAAAAAAATCTTCAATTATTTGAAAGAAGTTCCATATTTTTGATACTCTGCACCATTTTTAATCAATTTTATTAATATTAACTTACAATCTAAGATCATCAGCAAGTGAATATATACCTAAAAGTGGTTGGTAAAATCCAGATTTCTCGCGCGAATCATGGCAATTTCAGTACGACTTTCAAACTGGTCCAAAAAAAAAAAAAAATGATTCGCTGCGGTTGAAACCGAAATAAATCTCAAAGTCAACATATTTTATATCCACAGTCAGCTTAAGTCTTGAAGTTTACTTTCAGTACATGCAAATGCAAAAACGCAATCTACAAACAGGATGTGTCATTCTAAAGACGAATATATACGTCGAACTGACCTTCTACACTTTCGTGACCGAGTATACTCGTCACTTTATACGTTTTGATCTCTGTCAATGTCATAACTAGTAAAATTAGTGATTGAGGCATCCTGTACAAGGTGGAAAGCGGAATACAATGCAAATAATAGATGACGCACCCTGTATACACGATATACTGGTCGACTATTTTAATTTTATATAACAAAGAAGCACTTTAATCTAAATTGAGCTAAAAATTCATTTATTTTGTGCCTTAAAAATAACATTCTGCATATATATTTTAATCAAACACAAAAAAAAATATATTCAAGGTGTACCTACTGAACATATGCAAAATTGAACCTACTTTTTTCTTTTATTTTCATATAATCGTTCCTAGCTATAGATTATATATTTAATATGAAACGTTTTGAAACTAAAACAACCTTTGAAGAAAGAAGAAAATACTTCAAAGATGAAATTTCAATGAAAAATATGTTTACTTTGTTATTGTAGTAATGTTGCCTTAAAAGTTGACTTTTTTGTGTATATACGTGGGTATTAAAAATTAACGCATTCCAGATTTTGAATGCGCGATCAACCACTGAAGCGTAATGTCGATGTTGTCTTTTTCTTTGCAAGATATCGAATAGCAGCATATTTCGCGATCTTGGATAGCAGAGAGATTCCTGAAAAAAAAAAGCTAATGTAGCAAATACATCACAATTTTTTTTGTAATTATTTATTTAGGCACTAATTTAATTTTTTTGGTGATTTTAAAATTGCATGCTCATAAAGTTGAAATACGTTCTTAAAAGATTCTTAAATTCTCAGAAATCATACATAATAATTTTAGAAATATTTTGTTAAGACAGCAATACGATTTCTTTGCTGATTTTAAAATAACAGGCTGATAAAGTTGAAATTGTGTTATTAAAAATGTGACATATTCTTTTATTTTATTACTTTAAAACCAGTTACTAAAATAGTCTTAAATTCTCAGAAATCATACAAAACAGTTGTAGAAACAATTTGTTGAAGACAGCAATGCAAATTCTTTGCTGATTTTAAAATAGCCGGGCTGATAAAGTTGAATTATGTGTTACTAAAAATGTGACATTGCTATCTATATTCTTTTATTTTATTACTTTAAAACCAGTTACTAAAATAGCCTTAAATTCTCAGACATCATACAAAATAGTTGTAGAAACAATTTGTTGAAGACAGCAATACCATTTATTTACTGGTTTTAAAATAGCAGGCTGATAAAATTGAATTATGTGTTACTAAAAATGTGACATTGCTATCTATATTCTTTTATTTTATTACTTTAAAACCAGTTACTAAAATAGCCTTAAATTCTCAGACATCATACAAAACAGTTGTAGAAACAATTTTTTGAAGACAGCAATACCATTTATTTACTGGTTTTAAAATAGCAGGCTGATAAAATTGAATTATGTGTTACTAAAAATGTGACATTGCTATCTATATTCTTTTATTTTATTACTTTAAAACCAGTTACTAAAATAGCCTTAAATTCTCAGACATCATACAAAACAGTTGTAGAAACAATTTGTTGAAGACAGCAATACCATTTATTTACTGGTTTTAAAATAGCAGGCTGATAAAATTGAATTATGTGTTACTAAAAATGTGACATTGCTATCTATATTCTTTTATTTTATTACTTTAAAACCAGTTACTAAAATAGCCTTAAATTCTCAGACATCATACAAAACAGTTGTAGAAACAATTTGTTGAAGACAGCAATACCATTTATTTACTGGTTTTAAAATAGCAGGCTGATAAAATTGAATTATGTGTTACTAAAAATGTGACATTGCTATCTATATTCTTTTATTTTATTACTTTAAAACCAGTTACTAAAATAGCCTTAAATTCTCAGACATCATACAAAATAGTTGTAGAAACAATTTGTTGAAGACAGCAATACCATTTATTTACTGGTTTTAAAATAGCAGGCTGATAAAATTGAATTATGTGTTACTAAAAATGTGACATTGCTATCTATATTCTTTTATTTTATTACTTTAAAACCAGTTACTAAAATAGCCTTAAATTCTCAGACATCATACAAAATAGTTGTAGAAACAATTTGTTGAAGACAGCAATACCTGATTTACTGGTTTTAAAATAGCAGGCTGATAAAATTGAATTATGTGTTACTAAAAATGTGACATTGCTATCTATATTCTTTTATTTTATTACTTTAAAATCAGTTACTAAAATAGTCTTGAATTTTCAGAAATCATACAAAACAGTTGTAGAAACAATTTTTTGAAGACAGCAATACAATTTCTTTACGGATTTTAAAATGATAGGCTGATAAAGTTAAATTATACGTTCCTAAAAATGTGACACTACTTTCTTTAAAAATTCATTAGTTTAAAACCAATTGCTAAGAAATTCTTAAATTCTCAGAAATCATATACAATAATTGTAGAAATATTTTGTTGAAGACAGCAATACTTTTTATTCACTGGTTTTAAAATAACAGGCTGATAAAGTTGAAATATGTGTTCCTAGAAATGTGACAATGTGATCTTTAAAAATTCATTAGTTTAAAACCAGTCACTAAAAAAGTCTTCAATTCGCAGAATCATACAAAACAGTTGTAGAAACGATTTGTTGAAGACAGCAATACTATTAATTTACTGGTTTTAAAATAGGAGGCTGATAAAGTTGAATTATGTGTTCCTAAAAATGTGACACTGTGATCTTTAAAAATTCATTAGTTTAAAACCAGTTAATAAAAAAATCTTAAATTATCAGGAATCTTATAAAACGGTTATAGAAGAAATTTGTTGAAGACAGCAATGCGATTTCTTTGCTGATTTTAAAATGGCAGGCTCATAAAGTTGAAATATGTTCCTAAAAATGTGACTGCTATTTTAAAAAATTCATTAGTTTAAAACTAGTTATTAAAAGATTCTAAAATGCTCAGAAATCATACATAATAATTGTAGAAATATTTTGTTGAAAACAGCAATGCGATTTCTTTGCTGTTTTTAGAATGACGGGCTGAGAAAGTTGAAATATGTGTTCCTAAAAATGTGACATTGCTATCTATAAAATTCGTTACTTTAAAACCACCAAAATAGTCTTAAATTATCAGAAATCATTCAAAACAGTTGTAGAAACAATTTTTTGAAGACAGCAATACGATTTATTTGCTGTTTTTAAAATGACGGGCTCATAAAGTTAAATTATGAGTACCTAAAAATGTGACACTACTTACTTTCTTTAAAAATTCATTAGTTTAAAACCAGTTACTAAAAAAAGTCTTTAATTCTCAGAAATCATACAAAACAGTTATAGAAACAATTTGTTAAAGACCGCAATACCATTTATTTACTGGTTTTAAAGTAAAGGGCTGATAAAGTTGAATTATGCCTTTCTAGAAATGTGACACTGTAATCTTTAAAAATTAATTAGTTGAAAACCTGTTCCTAAAAAAATCTTTAATTCGCAGAAATGATAGAAAATAGTTGTAGAAACAATTTGTTGAAGACAGCAAAACTATTTATTTACTGGTTTTAAAATAGCAGGCTGGTAAAGTTGAATTATGATTTCTAAAAATGTGACACTGCTACTTAACTTTAAAAATGAATTAGTGTAAAATTATAAAGTGGCCACCCTGTATTAAAAACAAATGAACTTAAAATGTGTAACCTAGAGGGAAACAAAAATGTACTTTATTATTGACTCCTATGGCTGTGGTATGCAGATAATAACAACAAATAAAAATGATAACAACATAAACAAGTACAAATTTGTAATGATAAGAAAAATAATGGATGGTAAATATTTGTAATTATTCTAAAATTAGAACCAACCGAAAAAAAAAAGAATATCAAAATAGTTCTAATAGAAAATTATTAAAAAAATGTATTGGGCATTCCAAAATTCAAATCAGTACACTATTTATAAAACAAACAAATATTTTATCAGCAATGGAAATGCACAAATGTTTTTATTTGTTCTTAGTGTTTGTGTCCTTTAACCTTTCATTGTTATTTTTATATAAACACAGATTCAAATTGTCTTTTTTTATAAATTAAATACACATAACTAGTCTCAAGAGAAGTTCCTCAGGGACCTATTTTATGACCTTCACTTCTATTGTAGTTTTTTAATGGTTTGCAAACAGTTGTAGAAATAATTTATTAAATACATCAATACAATATCTTCAATGGTTTTAAAATGGAAGAATGATATTATGCGTTTCTAGAAATGAGACATTGATGTGTTTAAAAAAATATTAGTTAATAAAAGAGTCTAAAATTCTCAGAAAACATCAAAACAGTTGTACAAGCAATTGGCTGAAGACAGTAATTCAATATAGTTACTGGTATTAAAGTGGGTGGCTCATAAACTTGAATTGTTTCTAGAAATGTGGCACTTAAAATATTAATTATTTTAAAACCAGTTACCAATAGACTAAAAATCACAAAAATTATACAAAACAGTTGTAAAAACAATTATTTTCCAGATCCAAAACAATTTAAATTCCTTCTGTTTAGGATAATTCCCAACAGAACGAACAATTTCTCATTTAATACAAGAACACCAAATTTTAATCACTTACATTCGTTCAATGAGACCATTTTCATCTAAAGCTTGTGGTTTATCACGTTTATTACCCAAAACTAAAACTGGAATACCAGCCAACTGTGGCTTATCAAGCAAATTGTGAAGTTCATTCCTAGAGGCTTCGATTTTATCGGAATCAGCTGCATCTACCATATATCTATACACCAAAAAAACAAGTATTGATTATTATTTATATGAGTCATTTTGTTTAATTTTGATTATTTGTTGTTTTTAGCTTACACTATAGCATTAACGCCTCTACAATATCGTTCCCACATAGACCTAAACCTAGGTTGGCCCCCAATGTCCCAAACTTTAATGGTAACATTCCCCTTTGTTATTTTTCTCATGTTGAAACCAACTGTTGGAATCATATCTTCGCTAAATTGACCAGACTAAAATAAAATCCTGTTTAGCATTAAATTTTATAAAAAAAAATCTGTACACTCACCGCTATTACATTAACAAAGGTAGTTTTGCCAGAATACTGCAATCCTACTAGCGTTAGCTCCATCTCTTCCTTCCAAAATAGGCTTTTGAACCAGTCTAATATCCTGTTCATCAACGACAACATCTTGAGCGACTTTATTGACTACTGGAAATTTTTTGTCCCTTCAGTAATTTGTTTAAAATTTTATAAATAAAAAATCGAAAAGCCAAAGTGACACCCAGTCAAAACGTCAAAATTATAATTGTCAATCAATGTCAATGTCAAAACAATGTTTTCGGTTCAAGCCTAGCCAGTGGGTTTCATAAATAAGCTGTAGGGGAAGTGCGGCAACCAACTACTCTAATAATATCCTTACTATATAGAAGGTTATTTCGTTCGTTCCACTGGTGTAAGAATAAACTACACCAACGAACACTATACCTTTCGTTTGACCCGGTGTAAAATCCACTACACTTTCCTATCGGCGATGTGGTCCGACTCGGGTAATGTCTTTGAACGAAAATCGAAGTTTTGTTTTTATATCGTGGAAATTTAGAGATGGACAGTACTATGTAAACTACACAAATAATTAAAAGTTTATTATAAATGAGAAGTTTATTAAAATAACTTTAAATAAAACAAATATACAAAAGAACGGAATAAACACGTAGAAATATAAACCGTTTTAAAGCGACCAACCGGTAATTTTCGGTATTTACCGTTTTAATTAAAGTGATGTTGGTTATCCTTGGTTACTTTCTATAACGTCATATTTAAGCCCTTTGAAACGTCATTAATTATAACCGGTATATACCTGAGTCCAGACGTGGGTTAATAATGACAAGTGGAAGTGACATGTAGTTAGTGTTTTTTGGTTAGAATATAGACCGGTTATCTAGGGTTTAGTCACGTGATTTTAAGGTTAACCAAGGGTATAACCAAAGTGTTTTCTGGTTCATCGCTTTAAAACGGTTATAGTCTTATTAGAAACCAACTGCATTCATGAACGGCGTTTGATGATCTATTTATCCAAATAGTTGTCTCACTGATTGAACGACCCGTTTCTGTCGACCGCCCGGTTTATGATGTTTTGGTTTCCCAGAAATCGTCTCGGGTTAAGGGACCATCCAAACAATATATTACAGTCGGCCTACCTGACTTTTTCACGACCCCGTGAAACATGGTTAAACTATAACAAAAAAAATATATTAATTAGGCTGAAATTAATAAATATGAGCACGAATATTTCTATTCGTCCTCGGCTTCACAGTCTCGCTTTGCGAAACTGTCACTTCATTTTGTCTGAAGGACAAATGCCCGTATAAGCTGTCCTACAACTTTCGGATCCTGGCAGTTCGTCAACCTCGTACCGATCATTATCAAGTACTTTAGTAACTAGGAGGCATTGATAAGGCAACGTAAGGATACGTCATATGTATTATTTTTGATATACAAAAGTGGAACCGGTAGGCGTGGCTTTTGCACTCACTAAAATGGTGGAAGAGCAGTACCGGATTTACAAGTTTTGATTGTACTATTTCTGGTTAAGTATCATTATTTGAATAATAAAAAATTATTTTCCTTTTTATTGACATTGACTTAAAAGGTAGTGGAAGGCCGAGGTTATAAAAGAAGGGGATTTAAAAGCTTAAATACCTATGCCCGGTTTTCAGCCGAGAGGTGCTAAATAAAGTAAATAAAAGAAATAAAATATAACTGATTTAATTATCACTCAGGTGGCTATTAAGCGCTGGAGAATATATTATTTGCAAAATTGCAACTAATCAATGACCATGATATAACTAACTTGGGGCCGATTCCACCATTGGGTTTAACGAAGTTTAAAATGACATTTTTACATAAAATGTAATTTTAATCTTCAATAAATAGTTTAAACTTTAACACAATGGTAAAATTAACCCTAAAGCGTTGAAATCGTTCACAGAAAAAATAAATAATACATTTTTAGTTCACATAAGCGACAAAAGTAAACAGAGTTCTATTTATTGGATCAGTCGTCACACGTTTGCACTAGGGCACATAAATAGCTCAATCTTTAGTTTTTCGTTTTTCTATGAGTCCAATGCTTTCTGTCTTTAAATCGGAAAGTACAAGGTCGCAAATGTCAAGTAATCTAACCTTACTTTAATTAACAGCTTTCTCGAAATTAAGAACAAATGATCATACACTGAAAGCTCGATAATCAGATACGAAACTGAATGCAAGGCTCGCGGAAAATGGCTAATAAGCAATCTCTGTGTAGGTAGATGCACTATTCAGAAAATCAGAATGTGGATTAATCTTACCTGGTCTTGGTACTTTTGTAGATTCAGACTGAAAGGTGTATGTCTTCATGCAAGACATTCAGTAAATCAGCGAAGCCACCACCAGTGGTGTGCAGGTGCACTTCTAACAAATGTAAAATATAAAGTGATCTTACTTGAGACCTATAGATCCAATGACGAAATTATAGTAGTTGGTTTGAGCTGGGCTTCTCACCATCTGCAGAGATTATGGCTACTTATGCAAAGGCCTACCCTAGTAACACACAACATGCACCACAAGCGTGCCGGTCCCATTTAATTGGTCTATGAACAATAATCATGCATGTATGAAAGTCAGACAAATAATGTGAAGATAAAGTTGAAGTCTCAATCATAGCTAAAGTCACAGATAAAGTTAAAGTTAACAGCAAAAGAGTTGAAATTGTAGGCTGGTGATAAAGGGAGGCCAACATCTAGGTAATAAATGTTTATCGAGTTAGGAAAAGTATCCACTGTAAGCGCTCTTCTTGACCACTAAGGTAAAAACCAGAATATTTCCTAATACACAATTTCTTCGCTAGGCAAAATAAGAAATAAATTTGTGAGAGTACTTCATAAGTGTTTTTACAAAAGCTCTAAGAACAAAATTGACGAAAATGGCCTAATCCAAGTTCAAATTCTAAAACTTGAACATTAAAGATCAGTATCTTACTGTAAAATAAGTAAAACCCCATTGTTGACTAAATGGTTGAATAATTCATTACCTACGGGAGGTAGAATAGGGACTAAAGTTTAGCAGAAAAAGCCACTAGAAAAGGTGAACAAAATAGACTGGGGCATATGAACGTCAAGCAAATATTGTAAATGAAAATAATGTGTGCTGTGATTAAATAAAAGTGTACAAGGAATAAAGTTTTAATATTTTCTTATCCATATCTAGGAGTGATATTTATTTTTAATACTAGACAAACGGTTATGGTTTTGTTGCTAGTCTCATTAAAAAAAAGTGAGTATTGATGTTAAATATTTATTGTTATAAGAACTTTTATGCACTATAAAAACTTAAATATCATATTCCTGAATTCATTTCAAGCATAAAATGTCCTATGAACAAATATCCAATTCTACATGGTTATTAAGCTACAAGAGTTTAAATATCAAAAGATATATTAACATAGTATGCCATGTGCCATGTCGAAACACAGCACTGAATGTTTGGTGCCTTGGAACTTGGCATATTATTAATTTAAATTTATCATAAAAAGGAAACGTAGTTGACAAGTGTAGTACTGAGTAGCCAACTGACGTTTATAATTATTGTTGATAAACAGATCAATAATATTTTAATATCAACAAAATTAAATATAATTATGAATTTATAATGTTTAAATATTAAAGTGTTTTAAAAACTATTTATTAACTGACTTAAAAGTATTTATTAGTGTTCAAATTCGTACAACAGAAAATACTTTTTTATTTTTGATGGAGGTATATTATTTATGTATGGGCCAGAGCCCATTAAAACAATACAATAATACAGAATACATATTACAGTAATTAAATAATAATAAAATCCTAAATAATAATAGGTAAATTAATTAAAAATATGTACATATTAATTATTAATAATAATGAAAAATCTAAACATAACTGCTAAATTCTGTGGGAGAGATATGTTAAGTCGATTAGCAGATATTATCACTCTAGGAATAAAAGAATGAGAAGCATCATCTTAATGCGTTGTTCGATATTAATTTATTCTTGAGGATTTTCCCATACAGCACAAACACATTTCGGAAATATTTCAAAAATATTACATTGAAATATTTGTAATGTATAAATATTACGAAACATCCCAGAAACATTTCTGAAATGTGCCTGAAACGTAAAAATGTCCACTAAATATAATATTTCACAGTAATATTTCTGAAATAAAAATTTTAAATCTTTTAGAGATATTAAATACTAATATTTCAGAAATGTATTCTAGCTTTTTTTCTCCAAAATATTATTAGACTAAAAAAAAGACATTTATAAATATACATGTCTATTTAAAATACACAAAACTCAAATATTGATTCTTAAAACATTATTTCATAAAATATAAAGGGAATCACTTCATTTCCACAAAGTCCTTTAAATGCACTAATCTGAAACAAATAGTTTTTTTTTAATAAATGCCCCAAGTAAAGAAACATTTACGATTGTTACAATCTAATCATTAAGATCAATTAGAAATTTTATTCTAACTTATCAAGGGATGAAAAACTTCACAAACTGATATTCTACTCTCTAGTATACCTTAGAGTCTAAATCACTTAACTACACTAAAAGTACTATGCTTTAACATCACTGAACTCAAAAGGCTTGGTCTCTTGAGTCTTCTTATTAGATTTGGCATTGTTGAGGAGCTGGGTAATCTCGAGGTTTCCATGCTGGAGCAGTTGTTGTTAGTGACTATTGGCAAATTTTTGTATTGTATTTTCAACAGTCTCCACTTTAAGGTTCCTATGAAGATCAGTATTGTGGCAGTACCAGGGTGCATTGACGATGTTCCTTAATGCTTTATTCTGGAAACGTTGAATAACTTTGATGTCACTTTTCTGACACATCCCCAAAGTTGGCGAATCGCTTCATTTTCACCAATTCCTTTAAACGCACTAATCTGAAACAAATTATAGGTAATTAAAAAGGTATATTAATATTGTTTTAAATTAACTATAATAAAATAGAATACTCATGCATACACAAAACATGAAGCTCTACTTTTCAATCAGCTGTAGAACTAATAAATAAAATTGGCGGAAGGACAGCAAATGTAGGTTATATTTAAATTGAAATAAGAATATAAAATGCCTATAAATTAGATTTGATAAACGAAATGGCGTACGATTAATGTACTTCTCAAGAAAATGCTTGAAACATATACTGCTGAATTTAGAAGGTTACCAATTATACTTGTTGACAAACTGTATCCACGCGCTACGTTTTAAAGGATTTTTTGGAAATCTGTAAATATTATTTCGTATGAAAAAGTATTATTCCAATATAGGTAGGCCCAAAAGTTGATAGATGATTTTTTTTGCATTTTTAAAAGCATACTTTTACACATTTTATACAAACCTGTCATAATACTGTCCTGTATAATATTTATAATTTTGATACTAACCTATGAAACGTTATTCCAGTCGATTTTTCACAAAAATGCCTATCGCTAGAGCAGGAACGTATAACACAGCAAGGCATTATATACTTTATAAGTTTGTAACACTCAAAATTTGCTCAAACACAAATTAAATTCAAATTTAATTACACAAATGACACTAAAAATATAACCTATAAAATTTGACAATTTGCACTCACAGTAATGGCGGACCGGTCCCACTTTTCGCTTACGCATGTCGTATCCCTAGGTTGCCAGATCAATGCTAGGAGGGGTCCTCTATAACCACAATATATCCCCTATAGTAGTGCATCTCACTTGTTAAAGAGTTGGCACTAAGTTTGCAGCGCAAGAATGCGTCTGTGTCTGGCCGCTCAACTAACTCGATATGGCGGTAAATTCAAATATAATTTAAAGGCGAAATTTAAATTTCCCGCCAAAATTGTAAATTTTCAGCCGCGGAATGGCGGGAATTTTTAAATATATTCATTCGGAAATATATATTGAGAAGTATATTGCATGTTCGATTAAACGAGCTGTAAATCCAGGCGCTATTTTTATTTTGATAGCTAAAAATAATACTAATTCTTTTATTATTAGCTATTACAATAAGAGAAGCATTTGGATTAACAACACATTTAAAAGAACATGTAATATACTTTTCAATTTTACCTAAATCACTTATTTTTTACCTATAGAGGTTAGATCTGAAAAAAAATTGGCTCTGGTAAAAAAACAAAAAATTGTATAAAGTATTTTATTTGAAAAATTATAAAACTTATTTAATATATTTTAAAGACGAAGATAACTCTAGCCATATCCATTTTACTGAAAAAAAAAAGAAACTATTAAATGAAATCATTTAGTTATTAAGAGATGTTTGTGATAATACAGTGGCAGCTATCGAATGTTGTACAATACGTTTTGCTAATGTCCAAGTAAAAACTACAAAGAGTTAGCATTAGTGGGAGAAGGAATAGAATACTATGAACGTAGCCAGCCGGCTACGTGGGGATGCATCACACCGTGTGCCTGTTCATATTACACAGCACACAAGGCAACATTCATATTATTCGTTTCCTGATCGAACTAATGCACTAACTCTTTTGTTTTATTTTCGATTCTAGCCAAGCGTATTGGAAAGTGTTCATTAGCCGATACTGTATATAAATGCTAAAATCAATAAGTGAAATAAAAAAATTTAGTTTAAATGGACATCTACTTCGAAAAAAGTAAATTATTATACTTGAATTTTAAAGGCTGTTGCCACTGGAAAACTATTATCTAGGGCTTGGATGACAGCCATAGGACTCCCTCCTTGAATCGTGTCCATAGGAAAGCATAAGATCATAGTTAAATTATAATATTAAGAGGGTAGGTAATAACTGAAAAATTATTACAAACTTACCTCAAAATTGGCACCTACATTAAAAGAAGGGAAAACGGAAACATAAAATTGTTATACTTGAATTTTAAAGGCTTTTCCCACTGGAAAAGTATTATCTAGGGCGCAGACCCTTGGATGACAGCCATAGATAGCAATCCCTCCTCGATTCCTCTTTTTCTGAGTTTGTTGTACGTTTTGTTTCCCATATTAAATAAGAAAGCACTTAATACAACAACACAAATCACAATAAATATCGCTGAAACAAAATTAATATTAAATTTCGTAGAAGAAAAAATCAAAAAATTATCACTTGTCAACACTGACACTTCACGCTTCACTTATAAAAACTCAACGCTAAAGAATGAAATATGATTCGAAATAGAAATTATTAACTGGTATCTCTTTCTTTTATAAGTATCTAAACAAAGAGAAGGAGTGGGAGTGAGTAACGCTCCGATCAGATTGTTTTGAATTCGTCGTCAACCAATGAACGTGCCGAAGTCAAAAATCAATAACGATACTAGCGCCATGAGACCTGTGTCTGGCCGCAGCGTAACTCAAAGCCATTTCTTGAATCCCAGTTACATTACTATAGGGGATATATTGTGCTCTATAACAAGGTTCAAGCTTTCTGCTCCATTTCCTTGTATCCTGTATCAACACATGTTGGCCAACCTTAAATGTTCGTAACGGGGCATGTCTCTTATCATATATTGCTTCTGCAGAAGCTACTCAGACAGCACACCAAATCTACTGGACATCCCAATATCCACTGAATGTCCAGTCCATGGTGGATATCTATTTTATATCCATGAGATGTAATTTATAGACATGCAAATGTCCATAAATAATAGTAATTATATAGCAAATTATTAAAAAATTACGCCATTGTGACTAATACTGCTAATAGTACCGTTCAGATATTTAAAATTAATTTTTTTAAGGTGTATTCAATATCCCATGGACATTCACTAAATATATCAAAGTCTACACGCGAACGCAAACCATGGTGGATATCCACTAGATGTAATTTTTGATTTTGTTTACTAAGTATAGATGGCGATACTACTTTCGCTCGTTGAATATCTACTCTTTCTCAACCCGCCGTAATTGAGTTCGATCGAAATTGGTATCCCAATCAGACTCCATTAGAGACTGGAGTCGAGAATTTTCATTTATTGCTGAAGAGTCCTAATAAGGATGACTTTCTCCTTAGTGGGCAAAATCAAAGGCAGTGTGTTGAAAATATTTTGAGTGTTGAAAATATTTTTTATCTCTATTTTCTTTCGACGTTATTCAATAATCATTGGTTACTTATGAACCCTCTACTAAAGATACCCATAAAATATTTTGTTGAATATCCGAATATCTTCTATATCCTGGGATATAGACGGACATTTGGATATCCATATTAGATCCACTGGATATATTGGATATCCACAAAATATATTCTGTGGATATCTCTGGGATTTCTTGTATTGTCTGGAATATACCCATTAGATGTTTTGCTGGATATCCATAGGATATCTTCTATATTCTGGATATAGACGGACATTTGGATATCCATATTAGATCCACGGGATATTTCTGATATCCTTTGGATATATTGGATATCCACAAAAGATATTCTGTGGATATCTCTGGGATTTGGTGTGTTGTCTGGGATCAGCTTCAATCATTGGCAACTCTTCCGATAAGGCAGAATCGATTCAGCGGTCTCCAATACTTTTTCCTTCACGGAGTGTCCAAACATCAGAGGAACTAACTTTTCGAAGCCCAAGAAAGGAAAAACTAAGGGATATCAACAATGCCCTGAAATTTGAGAACAAAGCGTTGAAAAGAGACAACCAGAGGTCCTTCTTAATAAATGTAACAATCTTGAAAAGAAGCTTCAAGAAAAATTGGAAGACTCGATCACTCTCGAACAGTTCAAAACTTGTACGTATTCACTGTGCTCATCTAGGAACTCAGACTCAGTTGAGTTCTGTTTATAAACATGGAACGACCTAGAAAAAAAGCTTTCCGTTTTAAAAACATACTTAGTAAGAGACGACTAATCAAATATCTCAATACCCTAATATCGTCAATACACATTTGGCCTCAAATTCACATTTTTAATTTAACTTTTTAATCCATGCTCTTTAAAAGTTAAGGTTCATTTTGTCCCACTCTACCTAATGATCATATATGACATGTACCACTTAGATTCTTCTTTTTGACAGTTATCTTTTACTATGTAGTAGAAACAGCCACTATAAAATTTAAAAATATCAATTTCATGTCTAAAAAATGTTGTACATATTTCAATTGCTTGTAATAACATGATAAATAATCCTCTTATTCATAGATAAAATTTGTTTTTTAATATACATCATCTATAGTTACGTCGATTTTAATTTATTTTGTATTGGAACTTGTAATAATTATTTAAAAAGTTTTAACTATCTGTATAGTATTCCGCTGCATTTAATCTAAAAATATTCTCACATTCCTGTCTACTCAATTTAAATACTTCCGTCTATAAAAACTGTATAACTTTGTAGAATTGGTTCAATTTTAAGTATCAGGTTTCAGTTTTATCAAAATTTAGTCGAGTTATCAAGCAAATAAGGCTATAATAGCCCAGTTATTTAATCGATTGTATTTTTAGACACATAAAAATTTGATTTTATTTACCAATGGTTTAACACGCGAACAATTTTGCGTTTGAAAAGAGAACAACAAAATTATCAAGAATTGTCTAGAAAGGGTAGGAAAAGGAAACGTTTTATTTTCGGCCTCAGGCTAAAAAAAACCTAGATGAATAAGTGGATTAGGGAAACTGATGCCAATACTATACTCCTCTCGCTTTACATTTCGATATTTTTGCATTTATCTATTAGTTTAATTATGGTTTAGAAACAATTCATTTATTTTTCAGTTTTTAAATTTTATTTAAGACGCTAAAAACTATTAATATTACAAATATTTAGGTAGCAAAACAACATTAATCCCTAGAAGCGAATTTCTAGTCTTTGACAGGTCTTTGTATTTGTTTGGGCTTCCCGACGCCGATGACGCATCCAAAAGGCCAGGATCAGCTGATTGGCGTTTAAAATGTACCGCGAAATTCAAAATACTGCAGTATAGTGGTACGTTTCCATGACGAAAGTAGGAAACGCAAGGTAAAAGTTATATTTGATAAAAAACATATCCTCTCTAAAAAATATTGATAACATGTAGATAAACGCAAAGATTAATCAAAATAGTAGAAACCGCATAAATTTAGTTAAATAAATATGTTTTTTTCTAGGTGTGTTATGACAACATGTAGGTAATTGTGGTGGGACATAGATAGAATAATGGTATAGTTTTGATTAAATAATTACTTATTTCCTTGATAAGATCTGGTATAAATAATAGCTCGGGGTTTTAGTAATCTATTCATATCACTTTTGTATGCCCTCGCATTTTGATTTGAAGCTTTTCGTAAAGAAATTCGTCAAAAACCCAAAAGATGTCTTCGTTATCAGCTGATCAAAAGAACGCTTTGGATACGCAAGCTGTCAACAATTTTAGAGAATATTTGCAAATTCCGTCTGTCCACCCCGATGTAGACTACGGTAAGTTTTCAATTAATATTATTAAGAATGTTTCGATTATTTTTAAGTTATTTTGATGTAGGATAAATTAATGCATTCACATTTTGTGTATCGGTGCAGGGGTCAATTTTATTATTTCATAGAAATGCGTAGTCGGCTATGGTATGTCAGTTAACAGAAAATCGGCTTGGCTTCACTTTTTGGGTGTGGAGTTCAATATTTCTTGAATTATTTGTGATTAGGGGTGTTAATTTAGTTTATTATGAGTTTTCCTTCGAGAAAATACTTTGAAATAAACGTGGTAAGTTATATTTAATAAAATTTGTGAATACTAATGTTCGAAAGCGTGTTTTCTGATTTCATTAGATCATTTTTATTAAAAGGCTACGGTATTTGATTCTATTGCTGTTTTTTTACATGTGGTAATTATTAAATCAATATTTGGCTTATTTAGTTTAAGCATATGGAAGATGGAAGTAATTAAAATCGTATTATATTTGTTTGGTCAATAATTTGAAATCCATAACTAAATTAGTTCAATTTAAATCTGGTTCAAATAGAGTTCAGTATAAAAATATATACCTACTTCTGTTTATATAAATTTAAATTCAATCTAAAAGTGAATAGTCATGTAGAGGTGTCTATTTATTGTAAATTGTTTTTTGGTATTTTTCGTAGGCATATACATTTAATTTATTAGGGGACAAAAAATAAATTATGGGGTGTTTAAATGTGTGTGTGGCAGTGGGGCACATTAGGTATCTCCGTTATAAATTCAAATATTACTTCAATTTATTAATTTGACACTATTAAATCGATTTATATCTTTATAACACCATAGGTATTCTTTATATAAGCATATATTAACTTTAAATGTTGATATTTGATAAGATTTTTGTACTGTTTACTGTCTCCATTTTAGTGTAAAGGTAAAATCACAATTAATAAAGATATTCCTAATTCACTATAGTTTATAAACGTTTGTCCGCACCTCAATTGTTAAAAATTTGTTATAAAAATGAATATGCTAGAATATTTTGAAATAAATTCCAATTTAAAATAGAGAGATACTAATGACTGATAACTTGTTGATAAACTAATAGATTTACATAATGGTTTTTGTAATAAGACAACTAACACAAATGGAAAAGGTTTTAAAGAGGCCTTGGCAAAAGGCCAGAGCAGTCAATATTGTGTAGCCATCATAATTTATGAGTTCTTTTGGAATAGGAAGCATTAATGCATAAATATCTTCAAAAACTTTTGTTGGATACCTTCAATTTTATTAATAGAGTGTGTAAAATGACACCAATGTACATACCAAAGAAGGCAACATAGAGAGTGAATTTATGTGGTTTCACATCTAGTGAAATTTTGGTACATTCAGATGTGCCACAGGGCTCGCATATAGGACCTATATTGTTCATACTTTTCATTAAAGATGTAACAACTTGTTTAAATAACTCCAGTTATGCAGATGACCTAAAAAAAAATTTCAATCATCAATGACCTTTCAAACAATCACTTACAATCAGATCTCAGCAATTTGGTTCAATGGTGCAATGATAATTTGCTTAAACAGTATATCAAATAATGTAAAGACGTAAGGTTCAATAAAACAGCTAATATCAGTATGCATGATTATGAATTGTAAAGCATCCTCGAAGAACCCAAATAATTTTAACTTTGAATTCTATCAAAAGCCTTTGAAAAATCTATACATATCACATCAACTTGGCTTCTATTATCTAGAGCTTCAGATATATATTGGGTTATAATTAACAAATTGCTTACGGTGGAGCGATTAGAAATAAATCCATGTTGAATTTTTGTTAATTGGTTTTGAATACAAGGATACAATAATATTTCAAAGACCTTTGACACATTACATATAATGGAAATTGTCTTATAGTTTTCAATATTTGACTTTTTACCATTCTTAAAAACAGGACAAACTTTTGACTCTAAATTGAGCAGGATATTTTTTTGTTAAAAAAGGGTGACATTTCATTTGAAAGCTAGTTTAATTAGTAATTTAATGCACAACATAACGAAACATAATTTAATGAAATGTAGCTTAAATTAGCATAATAATGTTGCCACTAATGTTAGGATTAAATCTTTACAATAACTATTTTGTATCCCACTAGATTGCTAGAATCAAAATGTACACCGTACTATATTGCTTAATTTTTCATAAAATTACTTATTCAATGATGTGTCACACGTTGTAGTTTCCCTATTTAAATTGTATTGGTTAGTGTCAACGAGAGGAGAAAAATGACATGTGTTAGAAATATGAAGACTAGAGATAAGGAGGCGAATCGGTATACTCAAAATATGGTCCCCAAAAAACTCATGCTAATTGAGCTATTATAATTAACCGCGCTAGTACGGCTTACGGTGTTCAAAATACATGGCTTCTTATGGAAATTATACATAATTTTGTCAAAATAATAAAAATAAACTTGTTTATAGCTAAATAAAGCACAGAACATACTGTTGTATTTATTTCTAAATAAGTCTTGCATGTTTTAATTGATAAGTTATTTAATTTTATCTATACAAAATACAAACTATTACCAAATTCGAAAAGGTTTGTTAAATGCTGAAATTTGATAAGTACAATTGTGTGGCAATTTTTTTTTGAATTGAACCTATATATAGTTTTAAGAACAAAATAAAACACAGTTAACAGATTTTTTGTTGTTGTAATACACAAGTATAAAGGGATATTTGGGAATGTACATGGTATTACCTCATCCTTTAATTTCAGCTTTCCCCTTTTTATTTTGCTAACAGTACCATCAGTAAAAATAGTCTCATAATATTTGATATCTTCTAAAAAGTATAGAACAGCATCATCTTTAGAAAGTGCTTTATCGGCACTAGGAACGTTATATACGTATATGCTGCCATTGTTCTAAGCGTTTAGTATCCTATAAAAAACATTTTCAATTGGGGTTCAACAAAATAAATAATAGCAACTCATTATCTAACATTAAAACTTTATAAAAAATAAATTTTCTTTTCTAGTAAGTTAAATTTAATGTATAATTATTGTTGTTTGTAAGTCAGGATCTATGACTGTAAAATTTTATGGTATAGAAACTTATAAAAAAATTAATTACACTCCGTAAGATACATATTGTGACTAGTTTACAATAAATATTATATTTAGACATAAATACATTATTTTACTTACATTAGAAGCTTGAAAAAAACATTGAATTAATTTTTCCTTGTGTTTTTTTAGTTTTACATTTGATTTGTATCTTGTTTTACAATCTAGAACGACGTAAATCTTGCATTGATGTTCTTTGTCACTCATGTTACTTGTATTCAGGTACTTTTTTAACCGACTTCAGAAAAGGAGGAGGTTATCAATTCGTCGCGATATTTTTTTTTTATGTATGTTCAGCGATTATTCTTTAACACGGTGTCAGATTTCAATAATTCTTTTTTTGTTAGAAAGGGGCTACTTCAGGGGTGGTCCCATATAAATTTGGTTAAAATCTAATAATTGGGTCCATAAGTAAATCCTCACTCTTCATTTTGTATGTATGTTTAGCGATAATGCTTTACCACCATGCCCGATTTATATGATTCTTTTTTTGTTAGTAAGGGGGTACTTCAGGGGTGGTCCCATATAAATTTGGTTAAGATGTGGTGATGGCATCTGCACGTTTTTGAAGTCGGTTTTTTTAAATTTTTAATTTCTAATACTTGTTTCACATTATTTTTATTCTTTTCACCAATTTTTTAAAAAATCACTTCATTTTACATTGACTTACATAGAAAATTGACACCGCTGTTATTCGACAATTTCGCGAACTTTATAAAAAGAACGACGGAAATTTGACCATTGCCGATTCGTCTCCTTCTCTCTGGTCTTCAGTGCCGGATTTAAACTTTTGCCGCCCTTGGGCACTGAAACAAATGCCGCCCCATTATTGAAATATCACTAAAAGTTATGTAGTTTTGATATCTTATTTATAAAAAATTTAAATATCTAATGTATTGCAAATAACGAATATTTAGAATACTCGTCTAGGAATCGAAAGGTTCCGAGTTCAAACCCACGAACAGACACTTTTTTTTTTATTAATTAATTTTATTTTCTAAATTGGTAAAACTTAAATTAATTTCAAAACATTAATTTTACGTTAATGACATCTAAACCTTCATGCTCAAATTTCGTCTTTTTGCTATGGCCACTCGGGTTCATCAAATTATAATAGAATAGGTATAAGGTCCGGTAATTTTATTTAAATCTTTTGACAATGAAACTAAAAATGTGTGTGTCTAAAGGAGAAATATACCGAAAATAACAAGTATTTAAATTTTGCTAATAAATTTGTATTAGGTATGTGTTAAAAGAAAATACATCATTTTGGATTTGAATATACAGTGTGTCGCAAAATGTCTGCACCAAGAAAACACGAAATTACATTTTTCTTTAATCTACGTAAAAAAGTGCGAATTAAAATTTTTTTACTGAAAATTATTAGGTACCTAACAGGGTTATTCATTATAAATTACCCTCCCTTTATGCCATAATTATTATTGTATAATGTTTACATTGACCGAATTTTGTAAAAATGTCATCAAATGACCATATCAGTGGCATGCATATTTCACAGGATTTAACATGAATATTTTTTAATAGGGATAGCATAGATATATATATTTTATTCAATTTTCGGAATGATCTTTATTCTTTCCTGATTAATTAAACGTCGAATATCTTATAAATATTTACACTTTTGATGACAATAAAAAAAATTTTTTTCACTTTCCAAATTTTGCCGCCCTAGAAAATTTGCCGCCCTGGGCACTAGCCCCGACTGCCCCTAGTGTAAATCCACCGCTGCTGGTCTTCATAGTTAGAAAGATGTCCCCCTTGAAATTAAAATCAACCTGTTGTGTAAAAAGCATTTTTTGATATTTTTTTATTAAGAGATACTGCCAATGGGAAGTTTTTAAATTGACTTTCTTCATTTTTAATTTTGAGAATCTGGCATGTGTTTCAATTATGTATTTAGTTTGGTTTTAGAGAATATATTTATTTTTAGAAAAAAAATTTTTGTTTTAATTATTTTTGGTTTTATAGAAGAATATATTTATTTAGATTTTTTCTGGTCATGTATGTTTAAATAAAAATGAGGTAAAGTACGGTTTTGACTTTTTTAATGCATAAAATACTTTTAACTTTTAGAACGTACTAAGGGGTAACCTGAACTAGGGTAGGCACCTCATATTAGATAGGGACGAGGGGTGGCAATATTCAATTAATTTTGTCTTTTATTCATATTGTCTATAGTTGTGCTTTAAGGGAGCAAACTGTCCCTTACTTCTCTTCACTGGGTACGCCTTTCGGCTCGAAACCATTGTTGAGGTGGCCCCATAGATTCATTTCCTGACTGTTCACATTTCTTTCTGACTGTACTTTTCAGTAGAACACCATGAAAGATTTTTTAAATCAACAGTATTATTAGCTTTTTTGGTATGTCTAATTATCGACATGTGGGAACCTTTTTTCTTATTTTGTTTGACTCTATTTCGTTTTATGTATCTGTAACATACTCCTGAAATAAAGAACTATTATTATTATTATTATAGAAATTTTAGATATTTTCCTATATGTAGGAAAATGTAATATAATCGACCCCTGGAGGTCTTTAGAGATGACAAACTTGTATTTAATGAAGAAATTGTTACAATATTCACTGGTATTATTAAACATTTAAAAATCACGTTTTTCTGAATGTTTATGTTGATAATATTTTACAAGCAATTTGTATCGGAACTTTTTGTAATGAGATTCTAATGAATTGGTAAAGCTTGTTCGAAAGCTAAATAAGGTAATTAAAATGAGTCTTTATCATTTGAAGGTCAATACATAATTAAAATTTGGTTGTTTCAGGAATTAATGAGGAGGAAAGATAAATGTAAATATTTAACTTTAGACAAATTACCTATAGTATGACAATTAAGTTGTAAAGGAGATTATCTGGAATATATAAATTTATTGCACTGCTACTAAATAATATTCTTTCATTCCTATTATAAAACAAACATATTCTAGATTTTGTTGGGTGTATTTGAAGATTGTGTTCTTTTAAGATGAAATCGTTTGCTTTAAGTACAGGTCAAGCACGTCATCAATAGCGCTCCGCCCACTGCCGTTGTATTGGTGGATTAACAACTTTGCTATTATTCTATCGACAGCACAAAACAAATTCATAAACATGCAGTGTTATTTTTATTATATTTTTTTGCTTTTTCACTGTACACTTGTATACTTATAGTATACAATAATATATAAACTATATACACAATGAAATATTCGCTAGTACAGTAAAATAAAATAATGCTTCTTATATAATACGTATTTCCTTTTTTTTAACGAAAGCAGTTAATAAATTAGAATGATATGCTTAAATCTAATTGTTTTTTAGTTCCCTTTTGAAGGAAACCAACGAAATACAAAAAATATCACTATCGCTACAATATTTATTAAATAGCTCACTTGACCTAGTCATATAGTATTAAAATTTTTAATAGATAACAACTGCCTGTTACTGATTTATAGGCCTTAGAAGAAAGGTCATACTGAAAAATACAATGAAAATTTTCTATTGATCTTAAACTATTGAATATTTGTTCGTTTTTTTTTTACTATTTTATAATTTCCTTTGTATTATCGATCTCTTAGATATTAAATTGAACTAATAACTAGAATGAAGATATTATAATGCTTTTGGCATTCTATATTATACTCGATTCGAAAGTTTTCTTTCTTTATCTAGTGGAATTGTTTTTAACTACATTTAAATTGATTTTATTTATATTCTAAGGTGAAATAGTAAAGGATTTTTATACATATAATTTATTGATCGTATTTTTTGTAAATAAACATTGTTATTATTACTAATATTCGATAATATACACTTGGTATCCGCGCGAAAGCTTTGGATGGCTTTATTTACGGTATATTTAAAGTAGGAAAATGATTTTTGGAAAGTGCTTTAATATACAGTGGTACATAATATAAAATATTTGTTTTTTTTTTTTTTTTTTTTTTTTTTTTTAAATAATCGCATCAATCTCACAATTAATTTGTAGTATAGACGAACAATTTTTTGAGAACTATTTTATCCTACGCATATATAATTTATTGTACATAATATATATGCTTTGTTTTAATTTCATAAAAAAATATAATGTAGTGGTTTTATCTTTACTTCGTTCACTGTAAGTAAAAATAGGTCAAAATAAATTAAATACTTAAAAAAAAACTTTAATTACCTACTATTTTTAATGAAACATTTTATTTTACATAACAAAATACAATCACAAAAAAAAAATAAATTAGATCAGTTTCTTCTTACAATTTCTTTTATTAAATATTTTAAATAAAAATCAACTAACTTTGGTTCAGCACATAACCAAAAATTGTCATCTCTCTCAATTTTCTCAACGAATATTTCTAGTGGGGTCCAAACTATAAAATAACAATATTTGGCTTTCATTATAAAAAATTGTCCTTGTACCTGATGATAATAATAATTATCTTTTTTTTTTAATTTAATTTAATTTTGCCATCTGTATTGGCTAGATATTTAATTTTTTTTCTTGAATTTCCATTTCTGGTGTCAGTTTGGAACAAGAATATGGACATTTAATTACAATTAGTTCATTATTACTAATAATGCCGTCTGGACTTGCTCCCAAGTATGGATGTTTTTCATAAATAAATAATTCACATTCTTGTACCGTTTTTCTATATTTATTTTTAAATTCTTCTATCGCAATAGATTCATGATCTGGTCCCGTTTGTAGTGACTGATCCGTAAAAAGATGAAAATAATATGTTATTAACAGTCTTTTTTACGTAATTTGCAAACGGTTCCAAAATTTGAACCCGCGAGCATATTATTACGATGTTCTTTCCACAGATCATTACTGGCCTGACCTCTAATAGATACTTCAATTTTACAAATATCATCTCTTAATTTTGGTTAAATTATCCAAAAATTGCAGTTGCATGCCCCCCCCCCCTGGAGCCGGCCTTGCCCCTTGTAAAGCTAAGATTTTTTCTGAAGATTTCATTTTTAGTTGAGATTTTTTTCAATATTTCAACCCCTTTTATCCCCCCATTCTTTTAGTTATTATTTTTCATTTTTAATTTGATTTTTTTTAGTTCCTCAAACTCCTCTTTTCAATTAGATTTTTTTCAAAATCAAAGGGATGCTTCCTCTTATAAAGTTTGATTTTTACTAAAAATTTCAAGTTGATATCATTTTTTGTTTTTGAGTTAGGATTTTTTTTAATTTTTCAACCTCCCCTAAACCACCCAATTCTATTCAGATTTCTTTCATAATCAACATACTTCATCTTCTTTTAGAGCTTGATTCTTACTAATATGTTGATATACCAAAAAGTACAGTCCGGGGTTTTATAAATGACTGGATTCGGGAACAACATATCAACTATTGGGGAAGCACCCCAAAACAGGCACATGGAAAAGCCTTCATAGGCAGACCATGTCCCAAAAGAACTGGAGAACTACTCTTAATGAATAGGAACCAGTTGAAAGTGATAACAGGGTTCATGACTGGGCACGCCCCAGTAAAGGGACACTTGAACAAAATTGGCATGTACAATGGGGAACTCATGTGCCGACTATGTCACAAGAAACCAGAAACGGCCAAACACATACTGTGCGAATACGAAGCTCTAGATCGCAAAAGACAGGCTCTTTTTGGACAACCCCAGGTTGATCCAACAACGTATAGAACCCACTCACCCAAGGATCTGTACAAACTTGTACAAGGTACAAAGGTGACAGAGTGGGTGCTATGAACTAACATGGGATAAAACACAATAAGCCAATAGGCTTCAGTGTTATTCGGAGACACATAGTCAGACGAGCCCAGGACAGAAAAAAAAATATGTTGATATCGTTTTTGACCTATTTATTTTTTTTTTAATTTCAACCCCTCCATAAATCCCCTATTTTCAATCAGTTTTTTTGCAATATTATCTTTAATATATAGCCACAAGAAGTAGTTCAACGGTGTGAAAACACATGATCTTGGTGGCCAATTACATCACCTTTTCTGGAGATTACACGTCCAGGAAAATTTTCTCTCTATTAAGTAAATCATCATTCATAATAAAGTTGAATTATTTGAATAAGTTGTTGCATGGTATAAATTCCATTTTATAAATTGCTAGCTATAGCAGATTGTAAATGTCAATATATTTTAACATTTCTAATGTTCAAGTATAAGAATTATAACCTCACAAATAAATGCGTGCCTAATAGAAAACTCAAACACTTGCAAAGGACCTTTCTCAGATTTTTGATGAAAATGGTTTTATGGTTGGTTAGGTATACCTTCAAACAATGTTGCCAAGTTAGATTTACTTGTATTCAGTATGGATCTTACAGCCGAAATACGTGTTTACTATACCAACTTTGTTTTGACATTTCGGCCCCGTGCGATATAAGTACCATTCTGACTTATTGAACCAATAATTTGAAATCTTGCATAAATTATTTTTGTTTCTCTTTGTTCTAGAACCTTGCATTAAATTTTTGGAAAAGCAAGCCAAAAGTTTGGGTCTGCCACATCAGATAATAAAAATCAAACCCAATAAACCAATTGTGATAATAACATGGGTGGGCAAAGAACCCAATGCGCCCAGCATATTGCTAAACAGCCACATGGACGTCGTGCCTGTATTCGAGGTAAGTGTCACACAATCCCGTTTTTTTTCCTTTAACAGTTTTGAATACACCAATAAAATACAAGAATACCACAGGGATATACTTTAGGGCCTTTACTTTTCTCACATTTCATTAATGTTATCGTTGATTTAGTGTTTTTATATCCTCTTTTGTATGTAATTGAGTTTGCTTGTATCAGTATTATAATAATTAAAATAAGAATTAAATACTTCCTTTTTGTTTGTTTTAAAGGAAAAATGGACCCACAAACCGTTCAGCGCTTACGTAGACGAAAAGGGGAACATTTTCGCTAGGGGTTCGCAAGACATGAAAAGCGTAGGTATTCAGTATTTGGAAGCAATCCGAAGACTTAAACTACAGGGTGTTAGCATAAGGAGAACGATACACATAAGTTTTGTGCCAGGTATACTGATATTAAAAAGAAAAGTAAAATTACGAAGAATTTTTACAAGTTTTCTGTTTCAGATGAAGAAATTGGCGGTGTTGAAGGAATGAAAGCCTTTGTGGATACGAACGATTTTAAAAATTTGAACGTCGGTTTTGCCTTAGATGAAGGTATAGCTAGTCCGAATAATGAATATCCCATATTTTATGCTGAAAGAGTGATATGGCGTAAGTATTGATCAAATTTTTTTTAAGATAGTTATAAATGTTCCATTTTAATTTTAATATTTCCGTTTTTAACCACATGTAGTTTCGTAATCTTAAATATAAATTCAGTAGTTCAAATGTACAATTGTTATATTCCAACTCAAGCTTAATTTCGTTATTAATTCCATTAGCCATTTGTGAGTAGTTTGAATGTATCATCCCCGCTTCAATAACTCCGGTCATTAGCAATTGACGAGTAGTTCAATTGTACAATTTTATCATATCAATTAAAATTTAATTGATTTCATTTTTTAATAACGAAGTCATTTATGGGTAGTTTGAATGTATCATCACTGTTTTGGTAATGTCGGCTTATTATTGAATAGTTTTTATTGAATAATTCCATTAGTTAGTTTTGAGAAGTTAAAATGTATCATCCCCGTTTTAGTAATACCAGCTTATTGCAAATAGTTCATGTGTATCATTTTGCTTTTAGTATCGCTGCAATTAACAAGTAGTTCAAATGTATCATCCCCGTTTAAATAAAGCCAGTCCATTACAAATAGTTCATATAAACTATTTAATTTTAGTACTATTGTAATTAATGAGTAGTTCAAATGTACAATTTTAACATTCCACCTTAAACTTAATATCGTTTTAAATAGCGATGGCATTTATGAGTAGTTTGAATGTATTATTCCCGTTTCAGTAACGCCATCCTATTGTAATTAACGAGTAGTTCAAGTGTACAACTTTAGCATTCCAACTCAAACTTAATTAATTTGATTTTTCCATTCCATTAGTCATTTATAAGCAGTTTAAATGTATCATCACCGTTTTAGTAATCCCAGCTTCTGGCAAATAGTTCATATTTTACTTTTGGTATCACTACAATTAACAAATAGTTCAAATGTACAATTTTAGCCGTCAAATTGAAACTCAATTATTAAGTTGTGAGTAGTTTAAATGTATCCTTCCAGTTTTATTAAAGCCGGTCTCCTGAAAATAGTTCATATGTACCATTTTAGTTTTAGTACCACTATAATTAACGAGTAGTTCAAATGTTCAACTTTTGTATTCCAACTCAAACTGAATTAAGTTCGTTTTTATTAATGATTCCATTAGTTAGTTGTGAATGGTTCAAATGTATCATCCCATTTAGGCAGTGCCAGCCTATTGCAAATAGTTCATGTGTATCATTTTGGTTTTAGTATCACCGTTATTAATAAGTAGTTCAAATGTACACTTAATAGTTTCGTTTTTAGTCATGATTCCATTGGACAGTTATGAGTAGTTCAAATGTATCATCTCTGCTTTAGTAACGACAGCTTATTAAAAATAATCACTGCAGTTTAACCCTTTAAGGGTAGTTCAAATATACATTTAAAAAAAAAAATAACAGGAAATTTTTGTTATGATTTATCGAAATTTTCTTTTTAAGAAATGCTGTTTCACATACCCGGTCATCCGGGACACGGTTCCTTGTTGCTGGAGAACACGGCCGGCGAAAAAGCTTCGTATATTTTGAACAAATTGTACGAATTCAGAAGGGGCGAACAACAAAAATTGAAAGAAAATCCTAATTTAACCATCGGAGATGTTACCACCGTCAACTTGACGCAAATACACGTAAGTTAACAGTTTTTACGTTAGCATAATCAATGTTAAAATTGCAGTTTTTAAAACTCCTTTGTTTTTTATCCAGGGGGGCGTTCAGACAAACGTCATTCCACCCGAGTTCATTCTGACCGTCGATTGCCGTCTAGCAATCACCGTCGACTTCAAAAAGTTCGAGGAAACTCTGAACCGGTGGTGCAAAGAAGCCGGCCAGGGTGTGTACATCGAATTCGAGCAGAAACAGAGCTTGGTCACGCCCACCAAAGTCGACAATACCAACCCCTATTGGGTGGCGTTCAAGGAAGCCGCTGATGAACTGTAAGTACCAGCGAAAAATTCTTAAAAGTTAAATAAAGGTGTACATAGCAACTATTGACAAATGACTGATATTTGTTAAAGTTATTTGACTTTAAAAACTATGAAAGCTGCAATAATGATAAAATTTGTGACTTTTGTCAAATGATTGACAATTAACTGACATTTGTAAAGTTACTTGACTTTAGGAACCGCTGATGAACTGTAAGGACCAGCTGAATTGTAAAAAGTTAAACAGATGTGTAAATAACGACTTGACAGATTCAGTATTTACATTACATAATCTATGTTGATAATTGATGCCACTAAGGGCCGATTCCACCGTTGTGTTAAACAAAGATTAAAATTACATTTTTAATCTTAACAACTAGCAGTAGAATTGGTTCAAGATGGTTAATAATTGGCATGTCTTACAAATTATTTGACTTTAGAAACTATGAAAATGCACTAATTATAAAAATGGTGTTTTTTTGACATATGACAGACATAATATTGTCAATTAATGCACTTATCCGTTACTAACTGACGTTTGCAAAGTTACTTGACTATATGAATTGTAAATAGTTAACTAAAGATGTAAGTAGCGACTTTTGACAAATGGCAGATTCAGTACTGACATTACAGACTATGTTGTCAATTAATGCTCCTAACACTGTTAATAATTGAAATGTATTAAAGTTATTTGACTTTAAGAACTATGTAAGCTGCCCTAATGATAAAAATTGTATTTTTTGACAGATGATTGACAATATTGACAATTAACGCACATATTACTTACTAACGGACTTTTAGAACCGCTGATGAACTGTAAGTATCAGCGGAATTGTAAAAAGTAAAAAAAAAGTGTAGTTAGCGACTTTTGTCAAATGACTGTTGACGAATAATGCACCTTATGACGGTTAATAATTGACATTTTATGTAGTTATTTGAATTTTTGAACTATAAAAATTGCACTAATAATGAAAATTGTGGATTTTTGACAGATGATGTACATAATGTTAACAATTGACGTATTTAATTTACTTTTTGTTAATGTTACTTGACTTTAGGAACTATGAAGTGTCAAAAGGGTAAAAAATGGTGTTTTTGATATTGCAGGCCTTATGTTATCAATTAAAGCACATATGACAGTTAAAACTGACTTTTGTTAAAGTTACTTGTTTTTAGGAACCATGAAAGCTGTTATAATGATAAAAATTGTGATTTTTGACAAATGTCTGGCAATATTAATAATAAATGCATCTAAATTACTTAATAATTGATATTTGTTAAAGTTACTTGACTTTAGGAACTATAAAGTTTTCAGTTAGGATAGACATTACATGCTTTATTTTGACTTAATGTACCTATGGCGGTTAATAACTGTCATTTGTTAGAGTAACGACTTTAGGAACTATGAAAGTTGCACGAATAATAAAAATTGTGATTTTTGACAGATGACACAATGTTAACAATTAACACAATTAAATTACTTAACTGATATTTGTTAAAGTTAATTGACTTTAGGAACTATAAAAGCTGCACTAATAAAACTTGTGATTTTTAATAGATGATACTTAATATTTACAATTAACGCATTTAAATTACTTAATCACTGATATTTGTTACAGTTACTTGACTTTAGGGACTAACAAAGTTCCAATAAGGATAAAAATTGTATTTTTTGATAGACGACTAACATAATATTGACAGTTGACGCATTTATCACGTAATAACAGGAATTTGACAAAGTTACTTGATTATAAGGATAAAAATGCTATTTTTTGACAGATGATTGACCTAATATTGACCATTATTACACTTACGACAGTTAATGCACTTATAAATAACAGACATTTGACAAACTTACTTAATCTTAGGAGCTGAAAAGGACAATTGAAGATATAGATAGCAACTTTTGACAGGTGAGACATACATTATGTTGACAATTAATGCACCTACGTTGGTCAATAAGACATTTTTGTTAAAGTTACTTGACTTTAGGAATTATAAAAACTGCAATGAGGTAAAAATTGTGACTTTTGACAGATGATGGAAATATTACTGACAATTGACACTTATATCACTTAATAACTGACGTTTGGTAACGTTACTTGACTTTAGGAAATGGTGAACAACTTTTGACAGATAACACATTATGTTGACAATTAATGCTGTTGTAGCAGTTAATAACAAACATTTATTAAAGTTATTTAATTTTAAAAGCTCTAATGAGGTACAAATTATGACTTTGACAAATGACTGACATATTTTTGATAATTATCGCCCTTATATCTTTTAATAAGTGACATTTGTTAAAGTAACTAAGATAAAGGTTCCAATAACAATAAAAATTGTTTTTTTTTTCACAGTTTGCGCATTTCTATCACTTAATAAACATTTGACAAAGTCACTTGATCTAAGGAAATGATAAAAATAATTGAAGCGATACAATTTTTGACAGACATGTTGACAATTAATGCACCTACGTTGGTTAATAACACATTCTTGTTAGTTATTTTACTTTAGGAATTATAAAAGCTGCAATGAAGTAAAAATTGTGACTTTTGAGAGATGACAGACATAAAACTGACAATTGACACACTTATATCACTTAATAACTGACGTTTGATAAAGTTACTTGACTTTAGGAACTATAAGAGTTGCACTAATGATAGAAATTGTGACTTTTTATATATAATATTGGTAATTGACATACTTATCGCATAATAATTGACATTTGTTGAAGTTACTTCACTTTAGGAACTATAAAAGCTACATTTTGACACATAACTGACAATATTGACAATTAATGCATATATATCCTTTTCCAAGTAGCACATTGTCATTCCCATAACGAATTAATTTCCATGCAGCATCAAGCGCAATTTTGCAAACTAAACTCTGTGTGCGTCCCCGAACCACCCACAACCAAAGCAAATTTTTTCTTTTTCGTTTTTTCCAGCGGCCTGAAATTAAAACAGCAAGTTTTTCCGGGCGGCACTGACAGTCGTTACATCAGGACCGCCGGTATACCGGCCGTCGGCTTTTCCCCCATTTCCAACACGCCCGTTTTGCTGCACGACAACGACGAATCGCTCAACACCGACGTGTTCCTGAAAGGGATCGAAACATATTGCAAAATCGTACCCAAAATCGCTAACATGGTCGACCGAACGGGTTAGGAGAGACGGTTAAGTCTCTGCAGAACCGCCACTTGTCGTATAATTGGTGACATATGTCAGAAATGTCGCTGTCAATTCTCGCTAATTAAACCCTTCAATTGTTAGTTTCTAAATTGTAATTTTTAGCTGTCATTAGTTTGCAATTACGTTTTTAAACGTTATTAAGTCGTAAAGAGAAATATGTTGAATTGGATTCAAGACGCGTGACATTTTTGACAGACGTCATTAATTATTTGACAGCCTTTTCCCGTTTATCGTGAACAAGTGGTCTTTATGTGATCGAATATCGACAAAGATAAAAAAAAAGATTTTTGATATAAGATTTTTGGTATTGTGTATATTTTATCGAATGTTTTGTTTTGAGAGGTCTATTTGAGGTTGAAATAAATCATGAAAACTTACGAAAATGGATTTTTTGAAGAAATCTAAAATTTTATTGTCCTTACAATTATTTGAGTCGAAACAGAAGATGAGGGTATAAGGTTTAATCCCGGAAAGAAGGATTTGAGTTTCGTTTCGGGGCTGTCACTGCCATTTTTCCATTTTTTGCTTGGATGTTCGTTGATTGACGTTTTTACAGTTACAGATGCTCCCACTGTTTTTTTTTTAATACTTATTCGCCAGAAATCGACACTATATTGACAATAGTTGGGCGCCAAAATGTTGTGATCCAGAAAATCATTATACCGGTGATAATCAAAAATATTTCTAGAACAGGATAGGACAAAAAATAGGATATTAGAAAAGCAAGAAACCAGAAATAATAATGGGAAAGCAATTTCTTCATTACTAAATTTTACCGTTTCTCTTTGATTTTGTTTCTTAGGTTGTTGTAACAAATTGACATTATACTCGTCATTTATTGTTTTTGACCAAGATAATTCCATGAGAATCCCAAAACAGTTGCCATAACCTTTCCTGTTGACAAAACCGTTTTTGTCCTCTTTGGTGGCGGAAAACCTTTGTGACTCCATTTTTTGGAGTTCCTTGAGAGTATAATCGTGGACCCCAAACGTCGCAAAAAGTCCTTTGCATTGTGACGTATACATGCCAAAATGTCGCAAGTAACACTCAAATGATTCAGTTTTTGCCCTGGTGTGATCAACAGTGGCACCCAACTTTCACTTTGGAGTGCTGTCAAAAATAGGCTAATTGACTTATCGCTCTGTACTGTCGTATTTAACCTATTAAAAGATGATTCTACAGAATGGTAAAAAAGATTCCTCCGAACTAGCCCAATTTATGTGTTGGGCCACATAGTTACCCAACAATCTTCATAGATATGATGAAAACATTGTCAAAAGACAAAGGGATCTCAGGCCAGTCAATAAAATCATCTAACATCGCAAACACGCATGTACCCACGATCTTTTTATGTGTTAGTGTAGTACCCCTGAGAGTAGTTAATACCCTGAAAACCCTGTGTTACTCCCGTAGTTATAAAAAACTGCCTGGTTTCTTAACAATTTTTTAGAAAAAAAAAAGTACCTTAAGAAAGCGTTTTAGGTTATCTTCATTCCGCACTTTTGTAATGCAAACTTAATTGGCTACAATTTGAGCTACACTCGAGCTCTCTAGGTCTATTGATTGCTGATACAGAGCCAGTCAAAGATTGACATTGTTTCCAAAAAGTAAAAATTTATCGGTACGGTCATTTTCCAAGACACCTACCGGTTAAACTAATGGTCGTAGAGAAAAGTCAAAAACGGAAAATTAGTATAACATCGGATTTTGAGAAAACGATAAAACATTGTACTGAATAATGTTGCTATGCATTTCTTTAACGATGTTTTATTATTTTATTGTTTTTGAGTAAACTATTAGGCACGATTTTACAATAAAATTGAAGCTAATTCAATTCTCTACATTTCTTTTGTCATGACTTTTCTCCAGGACTGTTAGTTTAGCCAGTATATGTCAAAAAATTACCCTACTGATAAATTTTCGAGTAGTTCAATTGTATTCAAATCATTTTTAATAGTCGACTAGAGAAATAGTTCATTTGTGCCTCATCGTTGTGTTATTTTTTTAAATTTAAGTTCTTCAAGGAGTAGTTCAAATCTATCTTCTATCAATGTAAGTAGTTCAAATGTATCTAAATTTCCTGTATTTTTTTTAATAAAATAGTTCATAATAAGGCACATCTAATAATTAAACGGTAGAAATACGTCGTATTTTAATATGATTCTCCCTGAAAAGCAACACATCTGACTGATCTACGAAGGATTAGTTCAAATGTATTTTATAGTTTTTTTTAATTTAAATCAAAAGATAGTGATTGATTCAAGCATTTATTAAATAAAAACTCTTAAATGTCTTGCCATTTTTAACAAAAATTGGCCGAATAGAGAAGTAGTTCATTTGTACCGCATCGTGTAATTATTCTAAATAATATAATATTGTTAGAAGTTAAAAGAATTAACTTCAAAATTATTGTTTTTAAATGATTTAGCACCCTGTATAGCCACTTCATAAAACACGTGTTAACATGGTTTAATAACGTTTTATTAAATATCTCGTAAACAATGTTTAAAATGTAATTAATTAAGGAACAAAATAAAGAATGTCTTTAACGGCATATTGCGTATCACTTCATAGCGTTCGGCTGGTCGAACAAGTCCCCGCTCTCGGCGCTTTCTCCTGGTCCTGGACACTGAAACGGGTAGACCATGGAGGAAGGGTAGACGTGGTATTGTCGACCCCAGTGGCAGCGACATCCTAATTCGCTGACTCTAACAGACACTGAAACGGGCAGACGTGGTATCGTCGACCCAGTGGCGGCGATATCCTAATTAGCTGACTCTAACAATATCTTATTATTTTTTTAATTTTACACAGAAATTGTCGCCAACAGAAGTAATTTATATGAACATTATTATTATAATAGCGAATTTATTAAAATAAAAACATTCTTTAAAGAGTAGATCAAATGTAACTGATTTTTCTTGACATTTTTTTTATATAAAAAATAAGTCAGTAGGGAAATAATTCAATAATTGTAACGCATCATTTTCGAGTTATTCTCTTAAAAGTTTTTTAAGGAGTAGTACAAATGTATCTTAAAATAAATTTTTCAATTGTGCAGAGTTATCGTCCATATAAGTAATTTATATAAACATCATAATTTTGGCAAATTCATTAAAATAAAAACATTCTTTAAACAGTAGTTCAAATGCACCTGCATTTTTTTTACAAAAAATGGGGCAAATAGGGAAATAGTTCAATTGTACCGCATCGTTTTCGAGTTTGTATATTAAATAAAAGTTCTTCAAGAAGTAGATAAAATGTATCTTGAATTGATTTTTCAATTTTGAACAAACATTTTCACTTTTTGGAAAAAATTTACCATATTTGACTGGCTGTATCTCCGCAACCAATGGTCCTAGAGAGCTTGGGTTTAGTTCAAATTGTAACAATTTGTTTGATTTACAAAAATATAGAATGAATATACTCAAAAAACGCTTTAAGATAGTTTTTTTTTGAAAAAACTCCAACAAGTGACAGAATTTTGCAGTTTTTCGACCACCATTGGAGGAGGACAGGGTTTTCAGGGCTGTTAACTACTCTCAGGGGTACTAACATACAAAAAATCATAGATATACACGTGTTTGCGATATTTACCTATTTTTGTGTTGATATTGGTTGGCCTACCTGGAAAAAATGGGTAAAAGAAAACAAGGAGTCCTTTTCCGACACCTGAAAAGACAAAAGGAACCAGAGAAGAAGAAGAAATATTTCTATTCTCATGCAATTGCCTCTTAGATTATTGGTTTTTTTGTATAATGCGGATTTGCGGGTAACATCTTTGCTTGATGCCTAGCTCGATATAACCGATTTATTATGTAAATAATGTAAGCAGTTCTGTCTCCGCGATCACCCGACACGACCCCGTTGGACTGAATGAATAATTATCCATCACCTCAACTGTGCTAAGTAGTGAAATGAAAATAAAGTACAAAATCAATACTACAAATAAGTTTATTCACAAAATGTCACTAGTTTCGACCTACATGGCTGTCTTCAGGCGTACATTACAAATAACAATTGGTAGGAAAATTGTGAAAACATCATTACACATTTTAAATAATCACCGTAACTTGTACTATATTTCCACTTGAGTTCACTTAGGGTGGATATCACAAAATACACAATTTTTAGGAAAGCAAGATACACATCCAGATCCGCGATGTGTGCATTTAAGTCACAAGTGACGACAGACTTGTGAATTACATAGTAATATTTTTATAATTCTATGGAATTCAGCTGTTAGTGCAACTTATAGAACTTGAAAATTATATTGAAATGGAGTTGAGAATCCATATTTTCTAATAACTGGACATCCGCCCTAAGTGAACCCAAGCGGATATATTTACTCATAGATTTTGATTTGTAATGCCATTTTCGCCATTTTTCTTGTTATTTGTATTGTAGAACTGAAGATATAGCCACGTACTACGAAATTAGTCGCGACATTTAATAAATAAACCTATAGGTACACTGAGGTATGGATCGTGTACTTTATTTCCATTTTAATAGAGTAAATACGCCAATCGACGCAAGCAATTCACCTATTTCAATGGAAAACGTATGTGGAGTGGCATCCCTGCTTATTTTTTTTCAGCGGCATGTCCGTGAAGACCAGAGTGTTTCCGGCCGGCACGGACAGCGTCTATATGCGAGCGATTGGGGTCCCGGCTTTGGGATTTTCGCCGATCAACGGTACGCCTGAGCTATTGCACGACCATAACGAGTACCTCAACATTGATATATTCCTCGAAGGCATCGCTTTGTACCAGAAAATCATCGAGAAAATCAGTAATGTAGCTGGTTACGTGAGAATCAAGGAGAAGAGACTGAAGTTGTGATGCTTTTTCTTTTTTAAATAGTTGCTAACGTTATAATTCAAGGTACGATAGTTTTTAACATTACATTTTGGTAGTTGTAATCTTACAAGCCTGGGTAGATGTAGTTGTGACTGTTTTGGATGTTTACTGTTATTTTAAGGCACGTCTATAATGGCACGAAGCACGAATATGTTTTATAATCGCTTTTTCAAGAGTTGTATTCATTAAATTATATCGCGAATTAATAATAAGGCGCATCTAACAATTCAGCGGTAGAAATGAGTCGTTTTTCACTTTTATGATTCTCCATGAAAAGCAACCTAAAACTGACTGCTCTGTGAAGGATTAGTTCTAATGTATCTTACAGTTTTTTTAATTTAAATCAAAAGATAGTGACAGAATTGATTCGAGCACTTATGAAATAAAAACTCTTAAATTTCTTGCCATTTTTAATAAAAAAAATTGGTCGAATAGGGAAGTAGTTCATTTGTACCGCATCGTTTTCGAGTAGTTATTTTAAGAGTTCTTCAAGAAGTAGTTTAAATGTATCATATCAATTTTTACTAATAGAAGTAGTTTATATGAACAAAATCTGTTTGACGAATTAATTAAATTAAAATCATTTTTTAACTAGTAGTTCAAATGTTTCTAAATTTTTTGATATTTTTAATAAAATAAATAGTTGAATAGGGAAATAGTTGATTTATACCGCATCGTTTTCGAGTTATTCTTTTATATAAAAATTCTTCAATGAGCAGTTTAAATGTATCTTTAATTAATTTTCACCAAAAGAAGTATAGTTTATGTGGACATTATCATTTTGGCGAATTTATTCAAGAGTAGTTCAAATGTATCTAAATTTATTACAATTTTTAATTAAAAAATAGTTTCGAATAAGTAGTTAAGTAGTTCATTTGTACAGCATCGTTTTCGAATTAATATTCTAAATAAAATTTCTTTAAGATAGTTCAAATGTATCTTATATCAATTTTCACACAAAATTGTTGATAATAAAAGTAGTTTATATGAACATTATTTTGGTGAATTTATTAAAGCAACATTTTTAATGAGTAGTTCAAATGTACCTAAATTCTTGTCATTTTTTGTGTCGAATCGTTTCAGATTTATTCTTTTAAATAAATAAAAGTTATCTGAAGAGTAGTTCAAATGTACCTTAAATTAACTTTTCAATTTTATATAAAAATTATCAACAACAGAAGTAGTTTATATAAACATTTTAACAAGTTTATGAGAATAAAAAAATTTTTTGGCGAATAGTTTAAATGTATCTACATGTATTGCCATTTTAAATCAAAAATTAGTCTCGAATAGAGAAATAGTTCATTTGTACTGTGTCGGTCTCGAGTTAATACTTTAAATTAAATTTCTTCACGGTAGTTTAAATGTATCTTATATCGATTTTTACACATTTTTTACAAAATTGTCGCTGCGAATCTAAATTTCTTGACATTTGTTTGTATAAAAAAATGTCGAATGGGGAAATAGTTCAATTGTAACACATCGTTTTCGATTTATTTTAAATAAAAATATTTCAAGGAGTAGTTCAAATGTATCTTAAATTAATTTTTCAATTTTACACAAAAATTGTCGCCCACTAAAGTAATTTATATGAACATCATCATTTTGATAAATTTATTAAAATAAAAACATTCTTTAACAAGTAGTTTAAATGTACCTGAAGTTCTTGACATTTTTTTATAAAAAAAAAATAGTCAAATAGGGATATAGTTCAATTGTACCGCATCTTATTAGAGTTATTCTCTTAAATAAAAGTACTTCGAGGAGTAGTTTAAATGTATCTTAAATTAATTTTTCAATTTTACACAAAAAATGTCGCCCACAAGTAATTTATCATTTTGCAGAATTTATTAAAATAACGTTCATTAACGAGTAGTTCAAATGTATCGAAATATACTGCCATTTTTTAATAAAAAAAATATAGTCCAATAGAGAAATAGTTTATTGATGCGGCATTGTTTTGGAGTTATTTTTGTACTTAAAAGTTCTTTAATGAGTAGTTCAAATGTACCTTCGATTAATTTTTCAGTTTTATTCAAAAATTGCCAACAGAAATAGTTTAAACATAAACATCATCATTTGGATAAATTTATTAAAATTAAAACATTCTTTAAGGAGTATTTCAAATGTATCTAAATTTATTGTCATTTTTAATAAAAAAAATAGACTGAAAGAGAAATAATTCATTTGTACTGCATCGTTTTCGATGTAAAATTTTACATAAAAATTGTCGATAATAGTTTATTAAAATGAAAACATTTAAGCAATTTAAGTACCTAGGTAGTTCAAATGTATCTGAATTTTTTGCCATTTTTTTAATAATAAAAAATAGTCTAATAGAGAAATAGTTCATTTGTACATAAACGTTTTAGATGTATTTTTAAATAAAATTCTTTAAGGAGTAGTTAAAATGTACCTTAAAATAATTATTAAATTTTACACAAAAATCGTCGCTCACAAAAGTAGTTTATATGAACACATCATTTGGCAAATTTATTCAATTAAAAAAATGTTTAGCGAGTAGTTCAAATGTATCGAAATTTGTTGCCATTTTTTTATGAAAAAAAAAAAAAAATTAGAGAAATAGTTCATTTATGCCGCATTGTTTTGGAGTTATTCTTGTACTTAAGTTATTTAATGAGTAGTTCAAATGTACCTTCAATTAATTTTTCAGTTTTATACAAAAATCGTCAACAGAAATAGTTTAAACACAAATTTATTAAAATGAAAACATTTTTTAAAGAGTAGTTCAAATGTATCTAAATTTATTGACATAAAAAGAGAAATAGTTCATTTGTACTGCATCGTTTTCGATGTAAAAATTATCGATAACCGTTTATTAAAACAAAAACATTAAGCAATTTAAGTACCTAGGTAGTTCAGATGTATCTGAATTTTTTCCATTTTTTTAATAATAAAAATAGCCCAATAGAAAAATAGTTCATTTGTACATAATCGTTTTAGATGTAATAAGTTCATTAATGAGTAGTTCAAATGTACCTTCAATTAATTTTTCAGTTTTATTCAAAAATTGTCAACAGAAATAGTTTAAACATAAACGTCATAATTTGGACAAATTTATTAAAATAAAAACATTATTTAAAGAGTAGTTCAAATGTATCTAAATTTATTGCCATAGTCGGAAAGAGAAATAGTTTGTTTGTACTGCATCGTTTTCGATGTAAAATTTTACACAAAAAATGTCGATAACAGTTAATTAAAATTTAAGTATCCAGGTAGTTCAAATGTATCTGAATTTTTTTCATTTTTTAATAATAAAAAATAGCCTAATAGAGAAATAATTCATTTGTACATAATAGTTTTATATGTATTCTTTTAAATAAAAGTTCTTTAAAGAATAGTCCAAATGTACCTTAAAATAATTATTAAATTTTTCACAAAAATCGTCGCGCACAAAAGTAGTTTATATAAACATATCATTGTGGCAAATTTATTCAAATAAAAATATGTTAAACGAGTAGTTCTAATGTATCGAAATTTAATGCAATTTTTTAATACAAAATATAGTCTAATAGAGAAATAGTTCATTTATATCGCAATGTTTTCGAGTTATTCTTGTAAATAAAAGTTTTTTAATGAATAGTTCAAATGTATCTTATATCAATTTTTATACAAATTTTGTCGCAAACAGAAGTAGTTCATATGAACATCAGCATTTTGACGATCCTACTATATTAGAAACATTTTCCTAACAATTAATTCAAATCTATCGGAATCTCTTACCATAAAAATAGTCTCTTAAAGAAATAGTTCATCTGTACGGAATCGTTTTATAGATATATAGCTAGAGTAGTAGTTCTTTTCTGTAAAACAAGTTTTTCTTCTTTATTTACAGCCGAGTCTTAATTATTTTTCTCCTAACGGAGATATTGGCTGTGTAATGATATTTGGAAGACCCTGTATTTATTTCTTTCATATATTTCATTAACTAAAGAAAAATGGATATCATTTTACATTTATATAATAATAATAAACGACTTTCAAAATATTTAAGAAATACAATACAAAAAAAAATAGTTATAAATTAAATTACACATGCCAGCTGTGGCAAAGTCTAGCTTAAGCTACTCCTACTCAACCACAACATCATTCATATTTCTTTTTTTCACATAACTACGGGTTACTATTAAGTTGACTTGCTTAAAAGTTGTAATTTGGCGTCACAAACGTAACACCCATTTTGTTTTTTTTATTATTATTTTGCACTAATTTATTCTAATGCATCTGTTATGTTTAGCTTTTATTTTCACACGCTTTATTTTTTATTTTACACGGTAAGCATTTTTCGTCGCCCATTTTTAAAAAATGGTTATATTTTATTTCCAGAGGTTTTACACTGGTTCCGTGGATATTTCCAGGCGGCAGCGACGTAAGATTTTTACGTCAAAAAAACATCCCGGCCTTTGGTATTTCATTTCTACCGAATACAAAGTTATTGGTGCACGATAACAACGAATATCTGAACAGAGACAGTTTTCTCAAAGGCATCGGCATTTATATCCATCTAATACCAGCTTTGGCTAATTTGAAATAGTCTTAATAACCTTTTAATTTCAACATATTCTAAGGACGCCTCTGGATTTTACTATAAGATCCTGCTAATCTTTCAGATGTACAAATTTATATTTGGTAAATGTCGAAAATTACGTCTTAATTTTTTTTATAGGATAAAAAATTATGTATAAATTCATAAATATTTATAAATGAGATTTTTAAAATTCTATTTATGATCAAAATTAATTTCAGAATAATTTTTTTGAATAAAAATGTTTTCAGTCGTTGTAATTGGAGTCTGTAATCGTGTCAGACTTATAATCGCTCTCATCAGAACTATTAATACACATTTCTTCTTTTTTATCCTCAGTTTGTTCTTCATTTCCAGCTTCCTCAGTTTTATCTTTTGCTTCGTTGTTCGTCTTGTCTATAATAGCAAAAATAAATTTAATCATCACATTTGCATCCATATATTTATGTGTATATTTTTCATCAATAATTATAAAATTTAAAATAATACCTTCTATATTTTCAAAGCTTGTTATGCTCGTTATACTTGGTGAAACTTTATTACCGTCTAAAACGATATTAATAAATAAAATAAAAGTTTTAATGTTTAATTAACCTATATTTATTGGTTTAACATCATCATTTGGACAAATTTATTAAAATAAAAAATATTCTTTAAGGAGTAGTTCAAATGTATCTAAATGTATTGACATAGTCTGAAAGAGAAATAGTTCATTTGTATTGCATCGTTTTCGATGTAAAATTTTATACAAAAATTGTCGCTCACAAAAGTAGTTTATATGAATACATCATTTAGGCAAATTTATTCAAATAAAAAAATATTTAGCGAGTAGTTTAAATGTATCGAAATTTATTGCCATTTTTTAATAAAAAAAAAATAGTCTAATAGAGAAATAGTTCATTTATGCTGCATTGTTTTGGAGTTATTCTTGTACTTAAAAGTTCTTTAATGAGTAGTTCAAATGTACCTTCAATTAATATTTCAGTTTTATTCAAAAATTACCAACAGAAATAGTTTAAACATTAACATCATCATTTGGATAATTTTATTAAAATGAAAACATTTGTACTGCATTGTTTTCGATGTTAAATTTTACACAAAAATTGTCGATAATAACGTCTTATTAAAATGAAAACATTAAGCAATTTAAGTACCCAGATAGTTCAAATGTATCTGAATTTTTGTCATTTTTTAATAATAAAAATAGTCTTGATAGATAAAGAGTTCATTTATGCTGCATTGTTTTGGAGTTAGTCTTGTAATTATAAGTTCCTTAATGAGTAGTTCAAATGTACCATCAATTAATTTTTCACTTTTATTTAAAAAATCGTCAACAGACATAGTAAACATCATTTGGACAAATTTATTAAAATAAAAACATTCTCAAGGATTAGTTTAAATGTATCTAAAATTATTCCCATTTTTAATATAAAAAAAATAGTCGAAAAAAAAATAGTTCATTTGTACTGCATCGTTTTCGATGTAAAATTTTACACAAAAATTGTCGATAATAACAGTTTATTAAAATGAAAACATTTAAGCAATTTAAGTACCTAGGTAGTTCCAATGTATCTGAATGCTTTTCATTTTTTTAATAAAATAGCTTAATAGAGAAATAGTTCATTTGTACATAATCGTTTTAGATTTAGTCTTTTAAATAAAAGTTCTTTAAGCAGTAGTTCAAATGTACCTTAAAATAATTATTAAATTTTTTACAAAAATCGTCGCCCACAAAAGTAGTTTATATGAACACATCATTTTGGCAAATTTATTCAAATAAAAAAATGTTTAGCAAATAGTTCAAATGTATCGAAATTTATTGCCATTTTTTAATGAAAAAAAAAATAGTCTAATAGAGAATTAGTTCATTTATGCCGCATTGTTTTGAAATTATTCTTGTACTTTAAAGTTCTTTAATGAGTAGTTCAAATGTACCTTCAATTAATTTTTCAGTTTTATTCAAAATTTGTCAATAGAAATAGTTTAAACATAAACATCATTTGGACAAATTTATTAAAATAAAAACATTCTTTAAGGAATAGTTCAAATATATCTAAATTTATTGCCATAGTCGGAAAGGGAAATTATTCATTTGTACTGTACTAGATAGTTCAAATGTATCTAAATTTTTATCATTTTTTTATAATAAAAATAGTCTTGATAGAGAAAGAGTTCATTTATGCTGCATTGTTTTGGAGTTAGTCTTGTAATTATAAGTTCATTAATGGGTAGTTCAAATGTACCATCAATTAATTTTTCAATTTTATTCAAAAAATCGTCAACAGACATAGTAAAGATAATTTGGACAAATTTATCTAAATTTATTCCCATTTTTAATATAAAAAAAATAGTTCATTTGTACTGCATCGTTTTCGATGTAAAAGTTTACATAAAAATTGTCGATAATAACAGTTTATTAAAATGAAAACATTTAAGCAATTTAAGTACCTAGGTAGTTCAAATGTATCTAAATTTTTTTGCCATTTTTTTAATAAAAAAAAATAGCCTTCGCATGAATAAGTATTTTGGGCATCTTGGGTGGCAAAGGTACAGCTGCATATATAAACGAGCAGCATCTAATGCGTATTTGTCATATTTTTCCGGATCAATTATATGTCCGCTTGAAATCGTTTCTAGTATGATCTTTAATTGATAAATTAGGTCAAAAGTAATGTCCGTTTTATTTCGGAGGCCGCTTTCGGGTCTTCAAAAAATCAATCAATCATTTGTTTTTTTTAAGTTATGACAATTTAAATTCACAAATTTTCAATATATTATATGACTTTATATGGTAAAATAAATTTTGAAGTAAACTTATTATGGCTTGCCTGACATTAAAAATATGAGTAACGAACTAATAAAAACGACATTGCGATAGATTAGTCCCCACTTGAAAATCCATTAAATAAATAAAAATTCATAAAAACTAATTAAAAAATAAAACAAAATAAAAATGATTAAAAATAAAATAAATATATAAATAAAATTATACAAAAATAAATCAAATTAAATAAAAAGATAAAAGTAAAAGAAAATAAATAAAAATAAATAAATTAAATAAAATTAAAGTAAATTAAAATAATTTAAAATAACATAAATTAAAATAAATTTCTTAAATTAAATAAAAATAAATGAAAATTAATTAAAAGAATTAAAAAAATAAATATAAAAAATACAAAAAATAATTAAAAACGAGAAAATATTGAAAAAATAAAAATAAATACAAAACATAAATAAATTAAAGTATATAAATATAGAAATAAATAAAATTAATTAAAAATGTGTAAAAGTAAATAAAAAATAAAAGAAAAATAAATACAAAAAAAATAAAAATATGAGTAAAAGTAAATAAAAAATAAAAGAAATAAATACAAAAAGAAAATTAAAATATGCGAACTTTTCCCGGAAAAAAATGAAATCTAGGGAGAAATTCGTGTGGGTGGTGAAGTAGGGAGAGGATGGTGGTGTTTTTAAAAAATAATAAAAAAATTATTTATTTTTAATAAATCGTCGAAGAAGGATAACGAAATTTTCGAATCGTCATAAAAAGTGACAGTTTACAGGTGATAGGCGAAACTCACCTATAGTCACCTCACATGCCTAGAGCGTCGACCGATAACACAAACTCCCTTCCACCGTTCACCCAATACGCGGAAAAAGGAGCAAGCGGATTTTTGCACGATTTTTCGTAGTTTTTCGCAGTTGCCATGGAAACTGCCAAACGGACTTCGAAAAAGTTTTTTTAAGCCTCTCATGGGTTTACAACTTCTGGCCAAGTTTCATTGAAATCGATTCATCCGTTCAGAAGGTACGATGTTTTTTGTGATTTTGGAAACCTTATTTACTTAATAAAAGGAAATATTTCTATCGAAATTTGTATATATTTTAATTTATTTTTAATTAATTTTTTGTATTTAATTTTATTTTTTTAATATTTTGTTATTTTTAATTAATTTTCATTTATTTTTTAATTTTTATTTATTTATTTTTTTATTAATTTCAATTTACTTTTACTCATTTTTAATTAGTTTTATTTTTATATTAATTTATTTTTACTTAAATTTAAGTTAAATTATTTTAATTTACTTTAATTTATTTTCTTTTACTTTTATTTTTTTAGTTAATTATATTTATTTTTGTGTGATTTTATATTTATTTACCTATTTTAATTATTTTTTTATCTTTATTTATTTTTATTAGTTTTTATTTATTTAATGGAATTTCAAGTGGGGACTAAACTGTCGCAATGTCGTTTTTATTAGATCGTTACTCATATTTTTAATGTCAGGCAAGCCATAATAAGTTCACTTAATATATTGAAAATTTGTAAATTTAAATTTTCACAACTTAAAAAAAAACAAATAAAAATAATTATTTTTCTGAAAAGAAAGTTTTTTCTAAGTAAATAATAAGAAGAAAATAAAAACTCATTGAATTTTCAGCTCATATATATTTCCTCTTAACTTCTAACCACCCTAACTCTGTTAGTTTTAATAATTGCAAAAAAAATGCTAAATATCATTTGTATGTAAAGCTTTATGCTTTACAATTTTTATTAAGAACTTTTTTTTATAGCACCTACAGTTTTTAATTAACCTTAAAAAACACTTGTTTTCTTGTTTTTCGCCATTTGCCGGGGCCTGAGAAACAAAATCGTATAACTAATTCTTTATTGAACTCAAATCATTGGTCAAAAATATGCTATATTACTTGTAACTTTCAATACACTAAGACAATCTTAAAAATGATAAAAATTAAAAAAAATATATTACAGATAGTGTGTCATTACCTGCTATACTAGAATCCATAACTTTTTCTTTAGAAAAAAAAATGTAAAATAATAAATACACTGTTTAAATTAAGGTTTTCACATACACATATTCCAACTAATACAGTCAAATTCAAATTGCCAGTGAAGAAGTGGGGTTCACTGAAGAAAAACGGGAGAGGATGAATAATGTGCTCTAACTAGTCTCCTAACCCAGGTAATCGTTTTTATTTAAAAATTTTGCATTTTGTAAAATGGACTCCGATAATTCAAATGCCCCTATGTGCGTCGGTACCATTTAAAAATGTTTTATATCCAAGATCTGTCGGTCAAAATTGAGGATGACTCCAAAAGTGAACTATGTATGATGGGGCGTAAAATGTGTTGGAAATAGTTCTGATTTACATGGTGGAAATTTTGCTCCATTAATTTTCTTTTTAAAAGTAAAAACATGTTTTTAAATTCATTTCGTATGCTTCATAGAGGTACAACGTTATTTATGCTTTTGAATCCTTATACAATCATTATAATCATTGTTTTTTGAAATGTCTGTAGAGGCTTTTATGTAAGCTGGTAATTTTTTTAATATTAGATTCTGCATACATAATTTACAGCTCTTTATTTTCAAAACACAGTTTCAACACACCGATATAAACGCTAATGCTTTCCGACGAGAACTCTGTACTGTTCCCAACAGAAAATTCAAGCTACGTACGACTGAAAATTCGTTTAAATGGCACCACTTACTGTTACGCTAGGAAAAATTAATTTAACGGCGATTTAAAGACATTGAGATACAAAAAATGGTCTTTCTAAAATATTTTAAGCACAATACCTCGCTTTCAGCTCCTATATATTTGATATTATTACAAAATTCGCAAAAAAACAATTTTTGGTGTTTAAGAAATAAAATTTATTGAAAAAACTGGCGTTTTAATTCTTTTTCAGCGGTTTAAAATTGTTACCGATGGTTTGTCCAGCTCGTGGAGACGTTCTGTACCTAAGAAAAACTGGAATTCCGGCTATAGGATTTTCGCCGATGCCTTATACTGAGTGTTTAATGCACGACAACGATGAAAGTTTGAATAAAAACGTCTTTTTAACAGGAATAAATACCTATGTCGGCTTGGTAAAGGCGTTGGGAAATTTATAGTGTTATCGTACTTTTTGACACACCCCTGTACTATAATTTTTTATTACCGAATTGTGTGTGTCAAAATGGACGATATTTTTTATAATTATGTTGAAAATTTGATTAAAAACTGAATTTCCTTACAATATAATGTTTTATTAAAAATTTCCTACAAAAAAATACTGATTTGACTCTATAATTAATCTAGGTACCTAATTAAATTCATATCTTTCTTAATTTCATTAACGTTTTCTAAACATTTCGATATAAAAAATGTTCATACCTACCTATATACAATCGTAAATGTATTAAGTGTATATTTTTATACGATCATAAAATGAAAAATTACTTAAAATCTGTTTATCCGGTTTTTGTGAGTAAATAAAAATTCTACCTTACTCCCCTCGTACATTTCGGAAAATGGACTCTGCCAATCAACAAATCGATTTTTCAAAACAAATATTAATTTAATTTATTACGCATAGTTAACTTGTAACCTCGTATATTTCATTAAAAAAACGTTTTAATTTTTACGAAGAAATCAATTTTATCGAAATATTTTGATTTGTTAAATGCCGTTTTAAATTTACCCGGCTGCCATGACACCGTTTGTAAACTTCTTCCCGGCAAAATAGTAAAGATAACAAATAAACATCGGTCTATTGCGAAGTATCCGGTTAATAATACCCCGCATTATTGGTACCAAAATTTTCGTAAAAATTCGCAGTTTAATCTGCAAAAAGTATTCAAACAGAATATTATTTATATTAGCGGGAATCCTAGGTTAAATGAAATGTCAAGCACCAAATCCATGTGCTTGCAGTTCGATGTCGGCGATCGGCTATTCGGGTTTTTCTTGCCGACCAATCATGCTCGCGCGGGAAACACTCGTGACCTGCGCGGGCCAATGGCACGCGGGCGATTTGAATTCCTTCTCCGTCTTTGTGAATTGCCTAGAAGTTTCGTGTTTCGTTGTGTACGTTCGTAGGGTGTACAGTGCTGTCAGTGTGTAAAATATATTTATGCCCGATTTTGATGTAAATACGGCCAGACACAACGAAAATCTTAAGTAAATTAAATCGGTAAGTACAATTATATTTTTTGTTATTTTATTCAGGCGCAGTTCTGTTAAAAAACACGATAAATGTGAATATGTTGTTTACTGTAATGATTCCTTTCATAATGGACTCAACCTAACGTACGAATCCCGCTCTTTTGAATGGAGCGCATGTTATCTTATCGTTGATGTTTTGGAACGTTTTTCTTTTTTAAACATGCAAGTTTTCCATGCAGTTTGTTGCATAACCGGTGCCGCGTGATAATAAACAATTATCCAACAATTATTGTTCGCCGTTACCAATGAAACGGGGTACACCCACTTCGTATTTTTTTTCTCTGATCTTCGAAACCGTTTCCAATCTAAATAGTTATGATTCAGACCGATAAATCGTTTAGAAATACGTATTATTATCGTTTTAAAAGTCCTTAGACAGCATATTTAAATACCACGATATTTATTTTACGTCTAGGCGGGAAGAGTGAACAGAGACTCCAAGGTCAAATGGAAGTTAGTTTTGATACAAATCGATGAATCTCGAGAAGGAAGCATTGCCCTCCCAAACCAAAACTATAGCGCTTACTCGAAACTATAATTTGATTGTCTAGTGCGTGATCTATGTCTATCCTAGCACTTTGTAAATGTTATTCTTTGTTTAAATGGATCCCGGCACTTAACTTTTTAACCTGCAGGTTTGTTTACGCGTTGATGCAAAAATGTGCCGGCAGGTGCTTCGAAGACAAGGTGAATTTGAACAAAAGTTTCACTTTTGTATAAAGCACAATGGACTCGGAATTCTAACGCTATTGTCGTTTAATTTCTGCCCTAATCTTAATGGTTTGCTTGTTTTTAAAAGAGCGATAAGGATTGTAAATGCTTTTTAGATTATTTTTCGTATAGGTACCTAAATAGGTACAAAATATCTACCGGTCTAGTTACGTAGGTATTTTAATCGTTATACTAATTCAAGTTAACAAATAGGTATCTAATTTGTTATTTAATGTTTATAAATCAACATTCTTTAAACTTTTTATCGTTATCAAATTTCCTAATGTAAATATTTATTGTCGATATATCGTCGTCTTTCTAGAGATTTATTTCCGTTTTTATCACGTTGGAAATATTTCGATTTCGTTTTTTTTTACCTATTCGGGTGATGAGATATGAAATGAAGGAAGCTGTAAAAAAATAGTATAAAATTTATACGTTAAATAAATCGGGGCTCGGTCTTTTCACCCTCCTTGTCGTTTCTGTTCCCCTCGATCGGAGCAGAAGCGGCCATCTGCCGTGTGGTAGTGGTACAGTCCCGCAATGAAAATTGTTGAGCTTGAGCTCTTCGAGTCGAGCACATCTGAAATCTACCCGTACTGTACGTACGGTGTGAGAGACAGGGCCGTAGTTGGCACAAATCGCTATTTCGCCGAGGTGACTGGAATGTTTTTTTAGGATGTAATATTTATTTATTAAGAGCAAACATGACAGGCGCTCCTCCGCCAAACAACAATTTTACATTTGAGGCAGTTAAAAAAAATTGTAAAAAAAATGGTTCAGGCCAATCGTTCTAAAAATGAACTAAGAATGACGGTAATTCGCGAAAAACATATTTTTAAAGAAAAAAACAAACATTTCAACTTTTTAACAAATTAATTTTTTTGGCTCTTTAGCGTCATTCTATAACAAATATCTTAACTATTTTCTAAAGAACATTTTTTTAAAAAGAGTATCAATTTTAAACAGGACCAAAGATTAACATAATTTTCATTCCGATACTAATTCTATTAATACAATGATACCAGTGAATATGGCAACGCTGCTAGTCTATGAAGTAGTGATGGGCATAATCGAATGAATTTCGTATTCGAATGATAAAAATATAAATAATCGAATGATCATTCGAATTCTCTTCTTCTTATTTACATTTGTATTTAGAGGTAAAAAAGAAGAAAAAACTTGGTTATTTTATGTTTGATTTTTTATTTTGTTTTATATTGAAAATTTAGCGTGTCAGTTATCAAAAGAGTCAATATTAAGTTTGCTCACAAAATGCTCACAATCTGCCACTGCTCTACTTTTACTCCACATTTCTTTAAATGCTCACAAATGTGAGCAATTGCTCAAACATTGGCAACGCTGTATATTATATACTTTTATGAAACTTGACTTTTTTGAGGTTAGGTTATTTACAGGCCTCAGATGGCGGGACTATTCGGCCTAATGTCAGTTCTACTAAATGATTTGAATTATGCCAAATAGCTGCGGCAGTTGAAGCCTTTAAATTAAAAAAAGAATAATGTTGATATCGCCGATTTACAATAATTGCTGGGGGGCTATTTTCAAACTCGAGAGAATTCATTTCTCTCAAGAGAAATGTCATACGTCAACGTAAAACCGTATTTTTAGGGCTCTTAGGGCCAGTGTGAACTCACTGACTGTTTCTCTCGGTTTATTTAGAGACAATTAAAATCTTCCTAAGAATTTTAATCCTCGATGCCTTTAAAAACAACATTTCCACATTGACCTATGACATTTCTGATGAGAATCTTGAGAGAAATGAGTGCTCGCATACTTTGAAAATAGCCCCCCTGAATAGCCTAAAAAGTCTAAAATGTTTCGAATCATTTTTAGGTAATTCGAGACATTTCGAATAATAGTAATAATTCGAATATTCAAATGATTTTGCATTCGAATTGCCCATCACTACTATGAAGCCCGTGGTTAAAAGGGTAGCTGCTGTTTAGTTAAATTTGTTAATTCCTGTGTCGAAAAATAGGTAGTTGTTTTTGAAGAGGTGCGAAATTATTCTAATCGTCTTAGTTTGTTGTTGAGGCGTTGTTAGGTTTTGTTTAATTTAGTTTTTAGTTAATTTATGAAATGAAAAATTCTGTAAGGCAAAAATGCTACCACAGCTGACAAATTTCTATTTTTATTGTTTGCTGCCAGAGTTAGTAGATCCTAGAGAAATACGACATGTGCCAATTAGAGAAAAGAGATTGTCAAGAATTTTGTCCGCTTAAAAAAATGTGTAATATACAGGGTGTTTCTAAATACATGCGACAAAATTCAGGAGGTGATTGTTCGTATGAAATTAAGATGGCTCTTTCCTATAACAAAATTTCCTCAGCCCACCCCTTTTCGAGATATCACCCTTAAAAGGTGGTGACTAAAATTGAGTTTTTATTTTTTTTTTCTAAAATTTCAGTAAAGCTAGAAACTTGAAATTCTGTAATCGCAAAGGATTAACCACGGGTATTTTTTCAATATTCCTGTTACATTATAGGGGGATGAAATTAGCAACTCTTTATTTCATATCAAAACTTTTTTTTGAGATGAACTTTTATGAAATAAAATTATTAAGTGTAAGGGTTAAAGAAAAGGTCCTTTATTTCTCACAAGTCAATTTAATTTGCCAATTAAATTGACTTGTGAGAAATAAAGGACATTTTCTTTAACCCTTACACTTAATCCCTACTACTCACATATGGCTACCCTCACTCCAAAAAAAAAAAAAAATAAAATTATAACTTGAAATTCTTGTTTTATTTAATTTTTTTTATTCTTGAATTTTTTTCCCAAAACCAATAGCGTCCGAGAAAAAAAAATAAACACCCTAATTTAGCATTTTTTTTTAATAAATTGACTGGAAAACAGTATTTTTTTTTCTATGAAGCTATTGGTTTTGGGAAAAAAATTTAAAAATAATTTTTTTTTATAAATAAAACAAGGATTTCAAGTTACAAAATTATTTCATAAAACTTCATCTCGAAAAAAAGTTTTGATATGAAATAAAGTAAGGGTTGCTAATTTCACCCCCTATAATGTAACAGAAATATTGAAAAAATAACCGTGGTTAGTCCTTTGCGAGTGCACGAAAATTACAGAATTTCAAGTTTCTAGCTTTACTGAAATTTTAGAAGAAAAATAGAAACTCAATTTTAGTCACCACCTCTTAAGGGTGATATCTCGGAAAGGGGTGGGCTGAGGAAATTTTGTTATAGGAAAGACCCATCTTAATTTCATACGAGCAATCACCTCCTGAAATTTGTCGCATGCATTTTTAAACACCGTGTATGTTGGTATATTAAGGTGAATGCAGCAGCCTTTATAATTTTCGGACAAGGATATTTCAAAAAGTAATTTTGTTAAAAAATTAAAATTTTGGCAAAATAAATTAAGTAATATTAACTAGATATATGCCTATATTTTAAAGTTTTAATTCCTTTCAGTTTCCAAACAAAAAAATCAAATATGATAATGAAAATAAATGCATTCCTCAAAAGCACTATTCTTAATATAATCCCGAAATTTAAACTCTTAATGTCTTGATAATGATTAGTGGCTAAAACGCCTCGTTAAGTGCTGCCTTCTGGTGTAACGCGCTTGTAACTATCGTATCGTACACTCTGTCATTATTCGTTTCTTGCAACAATTTACACCAGTTTACACCAGAAGATAGCATTTAAGGAGGTCCTTTCGCCACCAATGTTAAATAAAAAATATTAGATTATGACTAAAATTAATTTTTTTCTAATAGTAGATGTCCTTATTTATCTAATAGTGAACTTTCAACTATACCTTACCGTGCAAATTTTTGAGAATTTTTTTTTAAAAATGTGTGTGTACAGTTTCTTATGAGGAAGTAAGACTTCAATAACAATTTTCGAATTATAATTAATTTTACTATTATTTATTGATTAGATGGAGTAGAAAAAAAAACTAAAAATAAGGTTTTTGAAATATTTAGGTTTTGTTTTTTACAATAAAATATATAGGTTACCGTGGAATTTATTGAGAAATTATTATTAAAAAATCACAAAAAAATTTCAACTAGGTTACTTGAAAAGGTATAGTTAAAAGTTCAGTATTAGATAAATAAGGACCTCAACTATTAGAAAAAAATTAATTTTAGTCTTAATCTAATAACTTTTTTTTTAACATTTGAGGCGAGAGGTGTGGCGAAAGGACCTCCTTAACGAGGCGTTTTAGCCACTAATTTTGCCGAATTTTGAGAAATCATTAACAAGACAT